CAATAGGGCGTTTTGAGCGTCTTCGCGAGGCACGACCCCCCCTCCCTTTTCGGGGAAAAGTGATGTTCGGGTTTGGGGATGATTGGCGGATATCGTGAATTGGATGCACTGGTTGAGGCGTTGCGTTTAGGTGGGAGAGGCATGTCGAATGCCAGGAAGAATCCGTTGTGGCGACGTGTATCGCCGACGCAGTTGGTTGGCATCCCGAGAAGTGATTCTATCATCCACTTCGACCTCGTACATGACGTTGTTGCTGCTCTGAACTCGTCCGGGGACCCAGAATCGTTTATTTTGTTTCTGTGTCCTAACGTAGACCGGATCATTCGCGCTGATTTTTTTCGGTAACTTGCAAGTATTGCAGTCTTCACATCTTCTGACGAATTCCTGGATGTGGCTGTCAATATTTGGCCAGTAGACGATGGATCTAGCGAGAGCTTTCATTCTGTTCTCGCCCGGATGTCCTTCGTGGAGAGTGTCCACTATTCGTTTTCGCAGCTCGCTCGGCACGACTACATCCCTGGACATGATGATGTCGTTCGTGATGCTGAGTTCAGTACGTCTCGAGTACAGCGTGAAAATCGGGTCATCACGGGACGTTTGAGGCCAGGCGTTATTGATGAACTCGCTTGCCCGTGAGAGTATCAGATCGCGTTGTATAGCTGATCGAATGTCCTCCCGTGAGGCGGGTAGGTTTGAAACAGTTTCGTTCAGAGTGTTTTCATAGTCGAGTTCAACGGTGGCGATCATTTTGTCTAGTTTTCCGTGACGTCATCGTGCTGCTGCTCGGCGATCAGACGGGAGAGCGCGTCAGCTCCGCCACAAGGTGAATTTGTGGTGCTCTTGTAATCGATGATGAATCGGTAGTCCGAATGGATCACTGCCCTACGCTGCAGTCGGTTAGCGGAAAGCGCTGAAATTCCGTTCTTCGAACCAAAAATCGTCAATAAAGGTTTGTGATCTGTGTTCAGGATGAACTTTCTACCGTGGACGAACTTGTGGAGTTTTCTGACCGCATTAACGAGGCTTCTTTCTCGATTTGACTGTATCTTCTCTCAGATCCGGAGAGTGATCTGGAAATGAGCATCACTGCCTTTTTGTTTTGTCGGGAAATTCATGCATCAGAACAGCTCCGATGCCGCTTTGGCTGGCATCCGCGCTTATGATGATTGGAAGCTTAGGATCGAAATGCGTCAGTATAACATCCGAGCAGAGATAATCCTTCAATTTTTCGAAGTTTACTTGACATCGATCGGTCCATTCGGATCTCACGACCTTCTTCAGGAGATTGTTTAGTGGTTTCTTCAGCGTTTTCATATCGGGGATGAATCCGAGGAATTTCACCTCTCTTTTTAGTAGTGAACACTTGTCCTCTCGTATCTTCAATCCATGCTGTTGGAGCCTGGTGAAGATTTCGTCGAGTCTCGCCTTGTGTTCCGCCGCGGTGCTCCCTGTCACCAAGATGTCATCGAGGTATGCGCTTGTACGTGGTAGATCGCTGGTGACCCTATCCATTATCCGTTGAAAGACACTTGGAAGGGTTCTCCCACCGAAAGGGAGTCGTTCCATTTTGAACAATCCTTTCACCGTGCTGATGGTGAGGAGTTCTTGTTAGTTATCTTCTACCGGAATCTGAAGATAAGCTTCAGCAAGATCCAGTTGGGAGAAATATTCTCCGCAATTTAGTTTCGCAAAAATATCGTCAGCCCTTGGAAGAGGATAGTTGTTCTCTTCAAGAGACTGATTCAGGCCTGTTGAATAGTCAGCGCACAGTCTGATGGTACCGTTGTCCTTTTTGACGATTACCACTGGCGCAGCGTGTTTTGAGTGAGGGATTTGATTCGTCTTTTGAAGAGGGACGTGCAGGTTGAGATCAGCTTCATCAGAAGTTCAATTGTTTCTTCCGGTTCAAGCTCCGTCACTTTAGCGGGTTTGACGTAATTCGCAAATGTATAGTATCCATTTGTGTTGAGCTTACTCACAATTAATCTTACGAGATCGGCTTTGGCAAGCGCTATGCCCTCTGAATTTAGTATGGGCATATGATGGTTGTAACGTTTTTCGAAGGTGTTGCTGTTCTCCGTGCTGTGTGTGAAGCGAGGGATTCTCGAGTTGGGATAGTCCATGATCTCGTGAGCTCTCGTTGAGCTCTTGGGTGTCGTTGCACTTTTGAGTGCTTCCTTGACCGCACTCGCGACGATTCCTTGGACTTGTTCCGCGGAGAATGCCATTGTAGCTCACCGATCGATGTTGCTAGTCGTAGTAGATGGACACGTAGATTCAGAGTTCCTCGTTGCCACTTATGTCCTCAGCGACGTGGTGGACAATCGAAGTTGTCCCGGGGCCTAGATGGAAGCTGGCTATCACTGAGGGCACACTCGCACAGATGTTGGTTGGAAGAAGAAAAAAAGACGTTAGGCTGATTGAATCATCTGCAGCGCGTGACTGCAGGGCCGAGTCTGAGACTGAGACTGAATCTTTATCAAGTTTCCTTTCACGTTTATAATCCCGATAGGGAGAGGCTCATGGATAGTGGTACATGACATGTTGACGAGTAATATCCATGCAGAATATTCGCTTCTGATCGCTACATCCTTGAAAATCCTCGTAAGCGCAACATTCGAAACAAAACGTTTGTAAGCGCGGTAGCGATCATGTTTCACTTAAGCCTTTTATGGTACGGTGGCTTTGCTCGGAAATGTCAGGGGAATCGGATGCCGTGGTCTTCCTCATCGAGCTTTTGACTTCCTGAGTAAGATCGTCTCGTTCCCGCCTAGGCTTCGGCCCCAACATTGCTGAAGATAGAGATCGAATGAGGGATAAGAACATTCCCATCGAGGAATGAACCTCAAGTGGCTGAATCATATAGCTCGTGCGGACGAAATCCTGGCCTACCCTACAAGTATCTGATCCGGAGTCTTGCTTCATATCGATCCATCTGCCAAATACCCACGCTCTCGAGGATTCGAGACGGCGACTTATATTCCCCAAACTAGTCAGTCGTTGGGTCGATGAATCCGCTGGGACATATTTCCGCGGTCGGAAGGGACCGATGAATTCATGACGTGAGCTGAACAGACGGTCTAGATTTCGACTTTCGACTGTGGAATCCTCCCGATGCCTTAAACGAGCCTCTGGCGACTTTCCAGGAGTGCAATTGCCATTTTTGTATTATCCTCGTTGTCGTCTCCGCGTTTATTGTCGCTGAGAAATTCTCATTTTGGGTGTACGCACGTTGACGGCGGAACGAGCGAGCGGTCCTGCAGCTGCACGGAATACATGGATGGCATTGATCTCGGCAAGCCTGACCCGCCCACGCGCCGCCTACCCGCTCGAGGTTCGACGTTCATTGGTCCGTGCGTTTGAGACTTGTAGAGCGAGTAAGCGGAATCGCGAACGAAAGGGCGAAAGCAGCGACGAACGAGCGAGTCGCACCACTGGGGAGAGCAGGCTTTTGTCCCAAGTCGGCCCACCATCCCAATACCCACCCAAGCTGTCCGTCCATGTATCTGTTGGTTGGTAGGTCGGCTCCGCTCGCTTGTCGCTCGCTGGCTCGACGTCGAGAAGAAGATGGGAATTCGGCTCGGGGGAAGACGCCACGGAAGCTGCGCGTTCGTCGGAGCAGGCAACAGGAAATGCGGATTGACAAGGGGTAGGAGCTTCTTTTCCTTTTTCTTCTCCGCCGCCGACTTCGTCTTCATCTTGTTCCTGGTTTCTTTCTGTGTTCCTCCTCTCTTATTCCTCGTCTCCTTCGTCCTCCCGGTCTTCCTCGTCCTTCTTCTACGTACACTGCGCGTCCCCCTCCCGCTTTTTACATCTCCCTGCGTCTCCGAGCTCTGCCAGGATCCTTTCCAGGCTCCCTCGGACGCTCGCGCCCGACTCGAAGCTCCCCCCTCCCCTCTATCCGCCACAGCGCATTGCCCTACATAGGTCTCTTTTGTTCTCCATGACTTCGGTCGTTCGCCCTGAGCCCTTTTCTTATTTCGTTCATCCTAAGCCCGATGTCTCTCCATCCGGGTAATTTCCCCGATTGACTTCAGCTGGCCCAAATTGAATGTAAGCGTGTAAGCGGTGCAGGTTCCAGCTGCGGGGCGTGCGTCCCGGAGCAAGCCAGGAATTCCGGTCTGATTTCCACAGTCTCGGCTCTCCTGTTCGCGCAGTCTGGGTCGTTCCTGATTCGCTCCGATGATCCTCGTACCGCTCGCACACTTCATTGGAAGTTAGTATTCGATATTCACGGCATCTATATTATAGAGTCGATCCTGCGCCGGAAATCTGTTAGAAAAGGGGACCCAACTCTGATTCAAGCGAGATCTTTGAGCCGTCGCGGTGCGTTCGGAAAGCTGGAACATGATCGCTTAGCGACGAACTTCTGCTCGAATACTAAGTCGCTCGTCCGGCGAACCTCTATCACCTCCCTATCGACGTAACGATAAAGGCCGATACAAGGAGGGGCTTAGATCTTGTTCGATTGAAAAGGGAAGCCTCATGTCGTTAAGCTGGGTCGGGCTCGGTGACCGCTGATCACTGCGGACGAGTCCTCAAGAAGGATCGTATGGATTTCGGCTGAGGCCCAATGAATACGTGTCGGCTCAACTTGATACTCGATGTGATAGGGATGCGTCCCGAGCCCTCGGGGAAGATTCTATCGCAGATCGGTTGCCGAGCCAAAGTCCTTCGAGGAGTTCTCTCAGCGCTAGAAAGCGGAATGCCGAGTCACTTACCGGACTCGATCGATCCGAGACGTATGCTCCGAGATCTGCTCAAGAGGGATCCTTTTCACAGCCCGATCAGTTTACTCGACTCCCAAGTAAGATCTAGAACGCTCCGGAGAACTCCCCGGCGCTTGCTGACGACCGCCTCGCCTCTCCCTTATGGAATAATTTATTTTCGCCGCCAACGAAACAACGAAATCAGAGTAAGGTATCAATAGACTTCCGTAAGCCCGAAGCCCCTCGAAGTACACAGCGGGACTTTCGTGGGGACGTGTCCTCGGCAGGCACATCTGTCTACACGCACGTTTGCGTCGGCACACGTGATGTGAGGGTTGCCGTGCAAGAGTCATCCCTTCAAGCCAAGAGTCTCTTTCAGCGTCGACCAGCGTGCGGAGCGGTTCCTCGTAAAACACTGTGAACAAGAAAACTCATCATGGCATCCCGTCTTGAATCTTACCTTAACCAGGATGTTTCGGTGATAACGACTCGGGAGATTCGTTATCAAGGGGAACTTGCCTCTTTTGATAAGGAAAATCGGACAATCACTCTTAGAAAAGGTGAGACTCGGCTCGACGCATCGCATGTGCTCAACCTCTTTTTCCACTCGTGGGTCTCAGGCTCAGGAGGCTCCCGGGCTTGCGGGTGCGAGGGCCTCCGCCGCGAGGCGGAATATTTTCCAAGCATTTTCAAAAAATTTCATTCTTTCGCAGTACACAACATGGGCACTGAGGACCGCGTCTCAGCGATGAGGATGTTCCCTTCAGCCAAAGTGTTTGACTTCATTGTCTTCCATGCTGAGCATCTAAAAGATTTCAGAGTTACTCCACGTAAGTACTACGATTTCTCTGAGACAATGAACTCGAGTCTTCAGCAAATCTACCCTTCAAGAAGTCCGAATTCGTATTTGACCTCGGTTCGACCTTGACCGGTGTTCCGACGATCACTGACGTTGAGTGCGCTTGATTGACATTTTCGATGATCTGGCGCTCATCAACGCAGGAATTTCCCCGTGTCAGTGATTTTTCTCGAGAAGGGAGACCTTCGAAGCCGCGAGCCTCGTACGTCCCGGACCAGGGAGAGCCGAGTCCGTATAAATTTCTGCTCGATCTTCCAGGCGATGCGGAAGATCCCGCAATAGTTTCCTGCGTCGGTGAAAGGCCAAATCGGTCCTCCCAGGGTGTCATGAACATGCTCGAGCGCCCGGCAGCTCCCGAGATCAGTCGACAAGGCCGCGTGCGCAACATCGATATCCAGCAAATGCTGAAGGGACACAACGATCGTCGCCCGCATCCCAATAATCGACGCGGACCCCACCATGATCATCAGAACAGAAACAAGGTAGGTGTCTCACGTGTGCACCGTGTGCCGAATAAAGACGAATATTTGCTCTGTCATGCCCCTTACACAAGTCCTAGTCTTTTCAAAATGAATATGAGCGCTCAATCGCGTGATGAGTGAGACCCATGGGTTTTCTCCAGGACGGCCGCCGGGTCAGCTTCAAGGACGCAGCTCTCGAAAACGTGCGTGGATCTAGACAACGTTCATCGTCCTACACGCACGTCCCGGTGATCCCTCGGAGCATGGTACTCCGCTTCACGAACGCCAAGAAACGCGACTCGAAGCCGAGCTCGCGCAAGGACCCGCGTCTGTTCCCGGGACAGTTCGTCGCGTCGAAAACCGCCAAGCTAGAGTTCGAGGACGACTTCGATTTCCAGAAGGCTCTCGAAGACTTTGAGAGCCTCAACATGAGCGACAAGAAACCCGCGAGCGAAGGCGAGGCGACCGAAACCGAGCAGGACAAGGACTACTACAACAAGGGACGTTCCTTCTTCGATAATCTGACGACGTCGACTGCAGATGCTCCGAAACGCACCCGGAAAGACGAGTTCGAAGCCAACAAGGTCACGTTCGGAGTCTCTCATATTCGCAGGGAGAAATGGCGGCGGTCTTCCATGAGACACACTCAGGGTAGACGACGCGGCGGCCAGAACCGCATTATGGCATGAGTTCGATTCGAGTTCTCGGACAGGATATTCAAAACGAGTACGGCAGCAACAGAAGTTTCATCGGGCACAATGCCATAGTTGTGATGAGCGGCTGAAGATCATTATAGTAAGACCGCTCTAACACCGACTCTGAAGGAAGTGACCAGTTTCCAAGGCTGATTTTGTGCACGTGTCGACGGGGGTGAACACCCACGAAGTTCGGAAAGACACAGGGAGAACGTGAGGAGATAGAAACATCACGGAATCAGTCTAGACTGGGGGTCACTTAATTTTTTGTACTTTTATCAGTTTGTTGTCCGTCGGTGGTCGATAATCCGCGTGAGCGATGGTGCGTGCTGCCAAAGCTGCGAAATAAAGCCCAATTAATCTACAACTACCGGCGACGAAGTAACTATCTTGCCTCAGCTGCCCAAATACTGCATGAGCCCCGGACTCTGCCAGGAATGGGCGGCCCGTTTTCAGTGGAACCATTGCGTTTCGATTTAGGTTCCGAAACGGAACAACCTCCCCCCACCCATTGCCCAAGTCCCTCCGTCCCGGCATCCTTCCATCAATCTGACTTCAATCATTGGCTCATTAGCGTTCGGCGAGGCATCGTTGCCAAGTCGGTGATCATTATCGCGTCCGGTGTCTCTCTCCCTCTTCCGTCATCGTGTTTCTCCCAACAAAATTCTTCACCCTCAGAGAGATATTGCTATGCCGCTTATTCCTTCCTCTATCAGCGGGAGCATAGGCAGCCGCAGATAGCGGGACGAGCAGAACATTCTGCAAATGAGTGTGTGTCTGTGCATGGATTATTTTGGATTCGTCATTACAGCAGCGAGGGACACCGGCGCGGCGGCGGCGGCGAGCTCACTCTGCCACGACCACCTCCACTATCGACTCATCATTTCCAAAAGTCGCTCGGCCACACAGACGGTCACACATCGCGGCGGAGACAACGGGTTCGGATCGCACGAATATTATCAAATAATTACGAGTTGCAAGGCAACGCGGGAAACAACTCCTCCGCATCCACCACCGCGATGAATGAGAAGATTAGCCGCGGCACATTTCGAGATCGGAAGCTGATTCAGCTCACTGTAATTACGCTCCGCGACGAAATTCAGAGAAATAGATACTTGTTCAATCTGTCGAAGAAAGCTTATCGGATGTGGAGGGATCGCTCGCCACCAAGGTCGAAAGCTTGTTAATCGAAGGAAAATACGTGAACCGAAGGAAAATAATATTTTCCTCTCGGATGGAAAAGATATCATTTATTCTTATGAAAGAGCGTAGTTTGGAACCACCTGGCACTACAGCCTTCCGCCCCTGACTGCTCCTGGAGGTGCTCCACGAGCCTTTTTTCCCTGCTCGCTTCGCTTTTTTCTCCGATTCCTTTACCGGGCCGTAACATGAAAATAGACTGCGACGATCGTGGCTCTGAAGTCTCTTTGCCTCGTTGTGATTCACTAGCAATCATTCCTGCTCACATTATACGAACATATTCATATTTTCATCTATATAGATTCATATAATTATCATCTATTATTATTATTATTATCATCCTCTCATCTAGTCGATTTTCGCACCATGCGTCGCTCACTCAGGCTGTTTCCTATCGTGCGGTGATATCCTCATCGTTCATGGTCTATATACATCACATTCATTATCTTCGCCAAGGCTCCGAGCCGACTGCACACTGGCCGGAAGCGCTCGTGTTTCGGTCGTCCCCATAAAACCTTTGGACATCTGGAAATCTTTCCTCACCATGTACAACACCAAGTTCTAAAGCATGCACGATCAGTCGTATACCCGTCACGAGCTCACTTCCCTCCATTCGTGAGGGCATTCGATAACCTGGGATAGAATAAGGAAAATTATTCCTCCAGCCGTATAGCGGCCTGCTGGGTTCCCTCGAAACCAGGATCGGATCGCCACAGGAAGAGTCTTGGCATGATCCACGTCCTAAGCCTCTCTTCCGGGGAAGTGGAGGGAACTCACCATTCCATTGCTTCATCCAGACCATCGCCCTTGACCGCGGACGTTTTGAAAATTTGGAACGTTCGATCCCTTAGAGCGTCTAGTCCTAAAGCTGTGTGCATCTCAGAAACTGTCATTGCGCCGGCCATGTCCTGTTTGTTCGCTAAGACTACTAAAATCGCCTTCTTCAGCTCTTCCTCCTGGATGGGGACGCATGGGGGATTGAGTGAAAGCGCTCGAGCGGACGAGACAACAACATCGTATTATCAGAATACGACAGATGATATGGTCGGTTCAATTACCTCTAGCATGCTGACGAGTTCCTCTTTCGAAATGCCGATTCTGTCCCGGTCGGCGCTATCGACGACGTAAATGATAGCATCGGTGTTGCTGAAATAACATCTCCAATATGGACGAATGCTCGTCTGGCCCCCGAGATCCCAAACTTGAAACTTGAGGTTTTTGTATGTCACCTGAAAAGTCGCAGAACAGAGTGCTGAGTCACAAACTCCCCCAACGAAGCAGATGGAGATTCTTCGATCGCGTCTACGATGTGTTATCAATCGACATCCCTCAATGGGAAGGATTCGAGCCCGAGAGAAGCGACGAGGAGAAAATTGACGCGCTCGAATTCCCGCTCTCCTCTCTCCGATTCAAAGTCGATGACAATGAGGAAGAGAGTCGATGCCCCTTCATCGCAGGCACCGTTTAATCACCCATGACTTGAACGAAGGCTAATGATGCCTCTAGCCTCCTCTTCGAATTACCACCCGACAAATGATTACAATGCGCATAGGAGCGGAATTATTTTCAATAAGAAGAATCGAACTCACTTGTTCGACATTGAAGCCGATAGTCGGGATCGTCGTGACGACCTCGCCCACTTGTAACCTGAAAATACGAGGATGAAGTGAGTCATTTTCCGTGAGGCCTCCTCAGAAAACTGTATATCACTGATGAGCATTCCGACGGGACCCGCCATCCCAACGGGCGCACCAGCATACGCAGGCTCTGAATGTTCGAAATACACGCTCCACTCCACGAGCGGGGCGCGCCATGGTGTTACTCCAGAATCGCTATCGACTCTATGATAGAGCTTTCACAAACCTATAGAGAATGGTTGTCTTCCCGGCGCCGTCGAGTCCCAAAATCAGTATTCTCAGTTCGCGGCTCCCCAAGAGACTCTTGAAGTAGCTCACCAAACCGCCTGAAAGCGTCAATGATATCCGCACTGTGATCTCCTGTCGTGACGGTTCATCTACCGCGACCGGTCGACCGCGAATTCCAGCCATGGAACATTTAGAACATCGCTGCAGACATACCCATACTGTTACGACGTGGAAGCTGTTGGTGGATTCGGAGTAGCGAACGGCCTTCTTTGTCTACCCCGCACTGACAACAGAAGAACCTCCACTTCGATTTTCGAGCGATCCGGAAGCACGCAGCACTCGAGAATCTCTAGGGTCAGTAAAATCTTGTTCAAGAACGCTTTCGTGAAATGATGACAGAACACGATGGTACAATCCAACGCTGTCGGGAGGCGGTAGATACCGACGACCCGACTGATCCAGCGGAGTGATACTGCGACGTCCATAGTTGAGGCCAAGTCTCTTCTCCCAACATCGCGCTTGCCAAGAGGAGAAGAGAGCGGAATGAGTTGTCCAGGATTCCCGTACTAGACAACCGGTATTATTTGTCGGATCCACATTCGCCGCTTAAAGCACGCCTATGGATATCTGGCTCATCTCATGGCCAAGAGCCACAGGGCCTGCGGGAGTCAGGGTTAAAACTACCGGGGGGAGCGAGAACGGCGCTTCATTCGCGCGGACTCACTTCCTCGGGGATTCCGATACAATGTATCGAAAGACAGAGCGCCAGTCCGCTTATTGAAGAGATGGGCTCAAGCTCAGTGAATGCTGCGGCCGAGAAGCAGAGGGAATGAGAGCGAACCCTGCGCGAATCAGCATGAATTTCATTCAAATATATCGAGAATGGAGATTAATTGCCTCTTGAGTGCTGAATCCAGTCGCGTTGGATTCTGTTTTCGAAATTCGCCTCCCATTCTCTGCATTTGGAACTCTCATAGGAGACTTCGGAAAACGCGGTGCCGCTCATTAAGCATCAGCTGTCACCAAGGATGATCAATGATCAGGAAGCTCCAGGCATAAGATGAATCTGTGAGGAATCGACTTCAAGGGCCCGTGGAGCATTGAGGGTCTTCGCAGACTCCTTTTGGCCAGTGGCTGAGGGCCAGCTGTCGCGAAGAAGCCGCGGAAATTATGGCCCTGGAGACCACAGCTGCAATATTCTATTGTGAAGGAAGCTCCACAGCCTGAATGCGCGGGGATTCTTCAATTGCCTACCGCTCGGCTTGGACCCACTCCATGCAGGTTCCAGACAGATCCGAGCCCTGGTATCTGACCGCAGAGTTTCTCACGATCAGACTCGGACCCAGGAGGGAACTGTCCCGAGAACTGCCGGATGCATGGATGGTTTTCAAATCGAGCGCGCTCTCGCATTGTTTGGGCCAGACGAAGCCCGAAGGGGAACTTGTTGCCGGCGGGTTGATATTGTGACGCGCCTCCTAACCGTTGTGCTGTTGATATAGGAGAGGAAGAAGGAGATTGTTGCTGTATTTCGGCACGCGTCTGTTTCCGAAATACAAGAGCTTCAGAGTGTGAGGACATCATCAGACAACCGATCAAGCGTCCAAGATGACGGACGCTGGTTTCTTCAGGGTAAGTAATGGCGAGAATCCGAGCGGCGAATATCGATCAGAAATCAGTCTCGGCTTTTAGGTGGATGATTTCACCCACGCCGCTGTTGGGAGACACTTCAGTCGAAGTAAAATTTATCAATCCACTCATGGCTGGCGCTCGACGGAGCGTCAGCATCCTCGATGGACTCGAGAACGAGGATTCTGCCGAAATGAATGATTTACGGAGACGACATCATAAGACCTTTCGGAAGCCCGATCGTCGATCGCTGAACCCCCCGGCTCACCGCACAGCCCTGGCTGTGTTGGATGCGAATCTGTAACAAAACTCAATCCTTTTCGTGTAGGGTACCAGTGCGGAGCAAGACAACCGCTTCGCAGACAAACAGAAGAAGCTTCTGAAGTCGCTCAAGTTCGACGATAGCCTCTCCACGAAAGTAGACATGCAAAAAGTGCAGCTGGACTCGCTGAAGCCCTGGATCTCTCAGAAAATCACACAGTTCCTGGGTCTCGACGATGAGCTAGTCGTTGACTTCGTCAGCAATCAACTCGAAGACACACGCGTGAGTTTCCGGACAGCAATTTCACCCAGGCGATCCGATCTTTTTTTCATTATCCCGGCATTTCGGAAAGAAAAAGAGGAGTGTTCTCGGAATCGTGTCTTTCGAGAATCGACTCGCTAAGCGAGCCCTCCCCTCCCTTTAGTATCCAGATCCCAAGCTCATGCAAATCAACCTCACGGGATTCCTCAATGGCAAGGACGCGAGGATTTTCATGGGAGAGCTCTGGAGCAGACTGGCCTCGGCTCAGAATTCTAAGGGCGGAGTCCCCCCGGAATTGCTCGAGAAGAAAAAAGAAGAGATCAGAAAGATACTGGTTAGTGCGAAATTCTTAGTGTACAATGTCTCGGCGCGTACAGTGCTTCCCCTCCGCTTTTCCGAACTCACCGACGGGTGGGGATTCCCTACACGTTTGACCTACACCAGTTTTGACGAGATCCTCTCCGGAGCAGATCAAAATGCAATGTATATGTATTTCTAACGCTTCTCGAATTTGAAATCCCAGGACGAGCAGCGCACGACCACCGAGAGCCATGGAAGAGAGTGAGTACTAGATTATAGGTATCTGTTTCCACGGGATGTGCTTCGATTAGTGGTGCTGCCTCCGGGCATCTGACTATCGATCCCTGTTCTCCCGATTATTGAGAGAATCAGAGATTCGAATGCTTATAGGTATCTCATAGATCGTATTCGCCCTACTCTGGCGAGATCTCGCTTCATAGGGCGACGCTTTGCATGGCGATTGCGAGGGTGGTTTCTCCCCACTCTATCTCGCTCATACTCTGTGCAGTTTCCTGTGTCCGGAAATTACCGTCGCGTCGTACCTCTGAGGCGGCAGTATATTCGGCAGCGGTTTTCCACGTCGATCCCTTCGAGTATCCCGGGTTCCGATGAATTCTCCTTGGGGTCGTCCTGGCCCTTCTCGTCCCCTTGAATGCATGCTGAAAGAATTCATATCTCGGATAGAACCGCGAGAAGTCAGTGTGGTGTCGTCCGATAGATCGTCGTTCGGTTTCAATTGAACGAGGTTTGCTTCCTGCAAAAAGTATTCGAGAATAGAATCAAGTCTAAACTTTGAACCAATTTGCCAGTGGCCGACTCTGGTGCTTCAGAAGCTACAACGTTCTCCGTTCGATAGGTCATCACCAAGCCGCAAGAGAAGCCGGAGCCGCGACCGCCTAGAGCGTAATAGAGATCGTAGGAGGTGAGAAGAATCGAGCTTATTGCTCAGTTTTTCCCTATTGTAGCAAGAAGGAACCTCTTCGCTTACTATTTTTTCACCGAGCCCGAGTCATTATCTCGATCATCAGATCTCAGACTAGGACTACTGCTCGAAATCCCAGAATCCGAATCCATGATTTCCGAAACTAAAATATTCCCATGGCAGGTCACGCTCGGGATCTTATCGCAATGGTCGCGATCGCAGGGTGAGCCCTCATCAGAGACCAGCTGATTCTGTTCAGAACAAACGGAGCTACAGGAGCAACCGAGACAATTCAGGATCACCGAGACGGAGCGATCGTCGGAGCCCACGCCGCGACAGTCCCAGACGGGATCGACGCCGCAGGGTAAGAACGCCCCGGAGCTCTGAAGTGATTTCGCCCCGGGAACCCGAATATTTTCGAATGACGAACATTTCCGTTTTTTCTCGATGCTTCAGGATGACAGACGGTCAACATCACGATCCCGGGACAAGAGAGATAGACGAAGTCCGATCAGGAGGGGTTCCCCCCGAAGGAGGTCACCGAGACGAGACTCTCCTCGAAGGAGGTAGGCTATCTACAGATAAAACATTTCCTGTGTCCTTCTTGCATCAATCTCAGGAAACTCTGAGGGAATGGTTAGAACTGTCCTTCGCTCCTACTGATGACGAGACAAGTCTAACGTCGAGCGTGTGAATCCGTCACACATAAGCTCTTCTTAATCTAGGATGGCGAGTCCTCGGAGGAGATCACCAATCCAGTCCCGAAGATCGCCTATCAGAAGGCAGTCACCTTCGCCTGTTCGACGGAGGTCCCCTGACCGGAAACTCGAGTCGCGGAGGAGCCGCTCCCCACAACCTCTGAATAGACGAAGTCGCTCCCCGCCCCCGCTGAATAGGAGGAGCCGTTCTCCACCGCCACTGAGCAGAAGGAGCCGATCGCCTCCACTTGCGAGCAGAAGGAGCCGATCGCCGCCCCCCGTGAGCAGAAGAAGCCGATCGCCGCCAGCCGTGAGCAGAAGGAGTCGATCTCCGCCCCCAGTGAGCAGAAGGAGTCGATCTCCGCCCCCAGTGAGCAGGAGGAGTCGATCTCCGCCCCCAGTGAGCAGGAGGAGTCGATCTCCGCCCCCAGTGAGCAGAAGGAGTCGATCTCCGCCCCCAGTAAACAGGAGGAGTCGATCGCCGCTACCCGTGAGCAGAAGGAGTCGATCGCCGCCGCCACCGCCTCCTCCGATCAGCAGGAGGAGTCGCTCTCCCCCTCCCGTCAGAAACAGAAGTCGGTCCCCTCCTCCTAGGAGGCGAAGTCGCTCTCCGATTCCCCCACCGCCTCCAGCAAGACGGAGCCGAAGCCCACCTCCAGCTAAGCGGAGCCGTTCCCCTGTGTCTCAGAAGAAGAGTCCACGAGGTGCGCCTGAAAAATTCGCCCCAGAACCCAAAAGACGAAGAGCCGCGTCGTTTTCGGATGACGAGCATCCGTCAGGCGGCGTCGCGAAGCAACAAGGTAGGCCTTCTACACATCGCCGAGGGCATGAGAATTCTCCCCTTGGACTCTCAGACATCGACCGAATTGATGAATCGGAATTCCCAAAACTTATGATTTTTTTCGTTCCCTCAACTCTCGCAGACAGCAGCCCGTGTGAGCCGCCAGGCGTCTCAAGACGATCAAGCTCACCAGAAGTACCGGCCGTAGCCCCGAGACGTAAAGACGTTGCGCCTTTGCCCCCCTCCACGAAGGCCAGTGTTCAGCCGGCAGAGAGCGACGAAGAGCAAGCCAAGCGTAAGTCCAAGGACAAAGGATCGGAATCCGAAGAAGATTCTCATGGAGAGTCGAAGCGAGACAAGAAGAAGAAAAAGAAGAAGAAGCACAAGAAAGAGAAAAAGAAGTCCAAGAAGTCCAAGAAAGAGAAGAGAGCCAAAGAGGTAAGCGACGCCGTCCCCACCTCATGAGCAGCATCTCGTTCGTATTGGCTCATCCGATTCGCACGTTTGAATTTTTTTGCAGAGCGATGACGACTCAGACTCAGATGAGGATCCCGAGCGAAAAGAAAGAATCCTCAGAGAGAGAGCTCTGAAGTCCTTGAAGAAGGCTCGTCGAGACGAAACTTCTAGTGATTAAGCTGGCCGTAATACCGTATCATCATGGACATACGTCGTCATCGAAACCTCGAGGAAGAACCTCTCTCATGCAGTAGCCCGTTCAAACTGGCCGATGGGAATGCCGGCAGATGTCTCTTAGCTAATGCGTCCGAAATCATGCGACCTACTTTATTATCCTGACAAAGTAAATAAAAAGAATTCCTATACAATGACAGTTGGCTACTGACTGACTCCATGAATGAGTATTTTATTCGTTCCGAATATTTGGCTGAAGGAGCGAGCTCTGACTCGTTCCCTCTCCGAGAGTCGAGCCTTTTGTGGAATCCGCGAGGGGATTCGGTGGGGAACGGGGGAATCTTGCGAGGTCGAGCAGATTCTGAGAATCGCTCGCGCCGTCCCCGGTCGGCGGGACGAGGATGTCGAATGCAGAAAAATTAGAGGACGGAAACGTTTCCTCGCAATAGGCGATATCCACTCACGATTCGAGTTTTCCCCTTCGCTGCCTATCTTCTCCATCTTTAGCTATCGCTCCGTCGATCGCTTATCAAGAACAGCGCCGTCTGGTGAGACGTACTCGAAGCCGTACAGCCGGTGGCCGCATTTTGTTTACACTATCAGCAGCAGCAGCACTGGGGTGTCCACAGGTGATCGTCGGATCTCTCTGACGCGGGTAAAACAGCATTCCGCAAATGTTTCGGCGGACCGTAGCGGCTCTCGGCGCACAATGGCCGCGGCGAATGGAGACTCGTCGGACAGCTGCTCATTTCACCTTCACACCGAACCAGACTCAGCCTCCGGTGCAAGGTCGGTAGAGGGCTTCTCCATCCGTCACAGGGACGGCTCCGACTGGGACCCCCGTGACCCGGCGACCGGTCCGTTCGCGGTGTATCCGTCAGTCTCGATTGTGGAAAAGACGGAAAGACTGATTGGGTTCCGGGTATGGGATGTGAATACCTAATCGAATCAATGTGTTCGGCAGGGAACTCGGAGAAGCTCAACATGTATCAGAGTATAACTAGTGCCCTGGACATCGCGCTGAGTAAAGACCCGACGGCAGGTAGGAGAGAGTTCGATTGTTTTCCCGCGTCGGATCCGATGCCCTCGACGGGGATGGAGAGAAATGAGAGAGGCTTGCTCCAGACGAATACACGTTCCAGGAGTGAGAACGCTCCAGGGAAAAGTTTCGCTATGGAGCCGAACCGAGACAGCCTCGATGTACTAGATCGACGGTATCAGATGTCATGAGCGTTTTCTAATCATTGCAGTGATTTTCGGAGAAGATGTGGCGTTCGGGGGAGTATTCCGCTGCACTGTGGGCCTTCAGGAAAAATATGGGTCCGACAGAGTTTTCAACACTCCTCTGTGCGAGCAGGGAATCGCCGGCTTCGCAATCGGCGTCGCGGTCAGCGGTTCAACGGCTATCGCCGAAATGCAATTCGCTGATTACATTTTTCCCGCTTTCGACCAGGTGAGACCGGGCCAAAGATAGATTCCTCCTCCCGAGGTTTAATGTCACGGGGACCGCGTCCTGGCATGGAGGACATCGCGTGTTCCCTCCCCGCTTCGTGTGATGGAAGTATTCTCCTTTGGATATAAGTTTCCTTTGTCGATGTCCCACCGATCACATAGATTATTTCTACAGATTGTTAATGAAGCGGCCAAGTTTCGATATCGTACCGGCAATCAGTTTGACGTCGGCTCCTTGACGATCCGAACTCCGTGCGGGGCCGTTGGTCATGGCGCTCTGTACCATTCCCAGATGACCGAGGGGTATTTCGCTCATTGTCCGGGTCTGAAGGTGAGCCGTGTTCTCGATGGTTCTGCTGGCCCGGTCCGGCATTCGGTACAGTCAGGTCTCGATATCCCAATGCGTCACCGGTCAATTCACTTCCATGTAATATTTCTCCTGCAGCTAGTCATCCCGAGAGGTCCGACCCAGGCCAAGGGTCTTCTACTCTCATGCATAAGGGATCCCAACCCTTGTATATTTTTCGAACCGAAAATTCTCTATCGATTGTCGCAAGAAGAAGTTCCCGTGGACGACTTTTCCATACCGTTATCCCAGGCGGAAGTCGTTCGACCCGGTGAGTGAGGCTGAAGACCCGAGAATTAGATGAGGCATTGACACGGATGTGAATTTCCCGTTCTAAACTACCACAGGCAAGGATATCACAATCGTCTCGTGGGGTACGCAAGTTCACGTGGCCAACGAGGTTTGCGATCTGGCGGAGAAGGAGGGGATCGAATGCGAACTCATCGATCTACAGACCATTCTGCCCTGGGATAAAAAAACCGTCGCCGAGGTAACGGACGAGCGGGTATCTCATTCACTTACTCATTTCGATCATGACCATACGCCAATTTCACTGCTGCATATCGCTCGAGAAGCCTCAGCGCAGAGAAAACGCGCCTCCATTTCTTTCGAAAGCATTTTTACCCGATTTCAGTCCGTCAAGAGAACCGGACGGCTGATCGTCACTCACGAAGCCTCGCTCACCGCCGGCTTCGGCGCGGAAATCGCCGCATCGATACAGGAAGAATGCTTCCTGTATCTGGAATCTCCCGTGAAGCGGGTCACCGGTTATGACACCCCGTTCCCGCACGTCTTCGAGCCGTTTTACCTCCCCACGAAGTGGAAGCTTCTGGACGCCGTCAGGAAATCTCTCAAGTATTGACACTCGTCGTTAGAAGGCTTTATCCATTGACCATAATCATCCCAAAGACTTGGGAAGAGCTTCTTTGGAACTATGAGTCTTTTCATCTTTGTGCAAAGGACTGAAGTTTTACAGACTCAATTTTTACCGATGGACTGACAATGAGTAGCGGCATTGTCTTATGCAATAAAATGTTTTTTACTGTTCAAGCGCTCCCTGAACTCTGATCGGCTAGCTCATCGTCCGTGGGACGGGATAAGGAGCGGGGCGGGAGGGCGATGAAAAGGAGTCTTTCAAAGACCATCAGGAACAAATTTTATTTACAGAGTGTTCGGGGTGAATGTCCGGAGATTATATTATCACAGTCTCAGCTTCGGTATAAATTGTCGATGATGTTGAATAGAACGGAGTTCGTATAGATCAAGGTTTCGTTTTGCTGGATTTCCGCCGAAACCTGATTGATTCTCTCATTCAGTTCAGCCTCCGAGGGTTTTATGTTCATTTGCGACAAAGTTTCCAACAGGAGACTCCTCTGTTCCGGGGAGACTTTCTGCGCGACCAGAGCCGCGGCGTTGACGACGCGAATTATTCGAGATCCCCTCGAGTATTTCTGCAAGTGTTCCATGAGAACCGACAGGTAATCCTCACATGTATCCTCCTCGGCATCGCCCAGGAGTTTAACGATCACGACAGCCGCGTGTTCGCTCTGTCGCAGAGTTTCTGCGACATTCGGGATGAAAGAGACGTTCTCGCAGAATAATTCGATTATCATGTGTTGGATCTCTTCCAGGTAGCCTTCGACGGGCAGGACTAGTCGTTTAGGGAATTTGCAGAGAAGTCTCGACAAGAGTTCGAAGTACCGTTGAGGGTACTTGGATTCGAGAGTCTCGAAGTAGGTGTGCAGCAACGAGTTCGCGACCGTTGAGGCTGCCAGAGCCACCCGTCTGTAGTGTTTCATGCTCGCAAGCGAGGAGACCATCCGCTCGAGATATAGGTCTCCCCTCGCGTCAGAGGAGAATGTCTCCCCCAGGAGCATATCCAGAGTGGGTTTTATCGCATCGACGACATCCTGCCTTAATTTGTCATGTGGGGCGATCAGAGCGGCTGTAACGGCCGGACAGAGGAGCAACTTCCGGAATACGTGCTCAAAGTTCTCCTCGGTGATGCTCGCTGCCAGAACTTCAGTGAGGTCGATGTGTTTGGGGAAACGAGCGAATATCTTCAAGTAGCCGGGGAAGTTGTACTGCACGTGGCGGGCTATGTTCTGTAAGTTGCTCCTCAGGAACTCCACGACAGTGTGGGCATTACTGGTGTTGGATAGCGCGGCGGAGATGATCGACGATACGCTCACATTAGCCAGCGCCACGCTCCTCTGAGGGTCTTGCGAGAATTTGCAGCAGAAGGACTCGACTTGTAGACACAGGAGAAAATCGACGCTTTTTATCTTGTTGACGACTTTAATCGCCCAGCTCTGCTGAGATTCGTCGTACGTGCACAGCTCGTTGAGGCACTGGACGGCTTGGCAGAGAACAGTCGCGTTTTCCGTGGCGTTTATTTGCATGGCGAGCTCGACCACAGCCGCAGAGTACTCCATGGTGGCTTCGAAGAGGGCGCTTTTCTTAGGGTGGTTCTCCGAATGACTGACCCCCAGCCAGACCGGGAGGAGAGAAAACGTTGCAACATTCAGAAACTGATCAGAAGTGTGCGACCGTACTTGGTTGCTAGCGGTGAAATTCTTCAAGCTTGGATCGTTGAGCCAGAGCGGAATGATTCCTATGATGGTATCCTTGGCTTGAGGAGACACTCTGTCGGGGGAAATCTGCGCCAATTGGGTATAGAAGCAGAGTATGCTACGCTTTGTGATCGAATTAACTTTCGGGTCCTTCAAAGCATCCAGGAGTCTGCTGTCGACGGCTGAAAAGTCTTTGATCGCAACGAACAGTAACGGGAGCAGCAATTCGATCTGGGGTATGCTTAACGATGGGAGAACGCATTCGAGCTGCTGCTGGGAAATGAAATGCTGCAGGACGGTCAGAGCCAGCTGCTGTTCAGCGGCGGGTGTCTGCTTGTCGAGGAGCACTGACAGCAGCATATCAGCGACTTCGACAGATTGCGGTAGATATTTGGTGTCGCACTCGAGGCAAGCTCTGTGTAGTCGTAACAAGCTTTCTTTGGTCAGCTGCTTCGGTAAATTCTCCAAGACCTGCGCGAGGTTGTCATGTCGGATCGACGAAACCACCGAGAGCGTGTCCTCCTCGCGTGTCGAACTCGAAGATATCGACATTGTGCGCTGAAAATCGTGAATCACCAGGTTATGAACGACGTCTCGGATTGTGAAAATGAAATCGAATAATTCCAGGTGTCCAATCGTTTCCCGCTCCCGTATCGATTGAGAATAACTTTCGCAACCCTCTCGAGAATCTAGCTCTTGAGAATCCCCAGACTCTAGCGATGGGGGCCCAGCCGCTCGGGCGGGACCAGCGTAGGCACGAGGGAAAAAGAGCTGTGGATGTAATTTACACAGAGAGAAATTTTATTTTAACAGATACTGAAAGTAAATCAACAGAATATACAACAGTAGGCATCGGCCGTCTCATTCTCTCCTGTGTAATCTCTTCTCTCGTTACTGTAAGAATCGCGGATGGATGAAGGTTCCAATGCCAAGATTTCACCGCCGGCTCGGGATCATCTCCTGTGACTCTACTTCTCGACAGTGACCACAGTAATGTTGAGGGCTGTCGAAAGAAAACCGCGGTCCACTGAGCTGAATTTAATCAATCTCGAACCTTCGAGCAGTAGAAATGATCGAGAGTTACGTGAACGAGCTCGGTAAACAGTTATTTAAAGCCAACCACCGCCGCAGTTGTGATCGTATGCAACTGCCGTCATATCATGGATCGTTCTCATTGTAGTTACTTAACGTTATTCCTCAACAGAAACTTTGCCTCAAACGTAACTAAATCTAGCAAACAGTAGAAATTCCTCCTCCAAGTTCCAAGCAGACTTTCCAGTCGCAGAGAGGATCTACCTAGCTGACTAGCTGACTACAGATATTGTCACTGGCATGGAGAAAAGTTGAACTAAAAGCGTTTCATGTCTGCTTTTCTCTCTCGCAATCTGGTTTGCTTCTGTATCAGCTACGCTCAGGTCATACTGGAATGGGTTAGAGATCAGTCTGAGATTCCTAGAGATGATGTGATTGAGTTAACGTGGACTTCGTCGATCAGTCTCTGCGTTTCCGTTTCGGCTGTCGACGTACCTTCCCCTCAACGCTCACGAGCCCGCCCCCACCATGATCTTTCTCCCCCCCCCGCCCTCCTTGACACCCTTGCCCAGCCATTTCTTCCATCGAGAGGGAGCGCGGGACTCTTTTTCAACCTTTTCGATGATTCCTCCTCCCACACCGTTCTTCGGTCTGAACGCCCAGCGTCCCGCTGCTTCCGTTCCCTCCCAACGACCACCCTCGATCCCGCCGTCCAGATCGATGAATTAGTCGAGATCGCAGCTCTGAGCTCTAGCACAGGTCACCGGACTCCTGCAGCTGGGCTCGGATTCTCGAGAGGATTTCCGTATTCCATTTGTCGAAGCGCGTGACGCTCTCGTAGTCGGCAACCGCGTTCTGGAAACCTTCGAGGTCCTGATCCTCGAGTTTGTTGGCGAGTGTCTTGACGAGCTTGTATTCCCGCGAGTCCTGGAACGCTGGGTACATTTCACAGTATTTGGTGATCGCCTGAGTGGCGTTCAAACTGTCGATACAGAGATGACATATGGCGGCCTTGAAAAAGTAATCCTTCGCGCTCGACTTGAGCAAAGCGTTGTCGACAGCGGCCCTGCCAACCTCTTCGTAGATGAAAATGGATTTTTCGTACTTCTCCAACATCGCGCTGTGTTTGGCGACTTGCAGAAGGCACTTGTTTGCCGTACTGTGCGCCTCTTCGCCTTTGTAGAAGTCGGCAGCCTGCTCGTAGTGGTAGATCGACTTTTCGAAGTCCTGGATCGTCTCCTCGTAGATCTCTGCGATCGCTTGATGATTCTTAGCGGCCATGGTGAACCGTCCCATGTCGGTATAGATCTCGTTGCCTTTTCGAAGACACTCGATCGCTTTGTGGGGCTCGGTCCGCTTGTAACAGTGGGAGGCTTCTGTGTAGAGAGTCGCGGCTTCGTGTTTGTTGCCAACCTTGAAGTGGAGCTCTGCGCTTTTCGAGTACGCAGAACCGCCCGCCGACCATTTTTTTGAGAGTTTGAAGCTGTTGGCTGCTTTCGAGTAGAGCTCGCACGCGTCGATGATCTTCGATTCGGCATTGAACATCGAGCCGAAAAATCCCTGGGCCGACTTGAGTTTTTTATCCGCGTCGGCCAACAGCTGCATAGCTTTCTGCTCGGCGTCGGCAGGCATCTGCAATTCAGACAACTGGGTTCGTTCGACTCTTCTCCCATTGGGTTGCGGGCAAGGGCTGTCTAAATACGACAACGACCGATTGACCAACCGACCAACCAACTAAAAAGGAAGGAAGAATGAACTCAGTCGAATCAATAAGTTCGAACGAAGCTTTCTCGGGAAGTGGGGCTTCAGCACCAGGAAAACAAAAGAACGGCTCTAGAGCATCGAAGTCCTCGGGATCGATCGAAACAGAATACCCAAGGGGACGACGATTCACGGCGTGCGGTTCTTATCTACGTATCCTGATTCAAAAATGATTGCACTGCTGTAGCGACAATGATTATCGCACGATTATTATAACAATAGCGATAATAATCATCATCAACTCCAATATGCGCTGAGCGATTGCGGGCTCCCGGAAGCTGGTCCGCTATCACGGATAAGCTCAATGGATCAATCCGCTGAACTCTCGAAAATCGTTCCATCTACATCGCCAGTATCGATATGGATAGAAACCTCATGAATTCTTTCATCGAGACTCATCGACAGCACAAATATGGCCCAAGCGCTGCTGGAAGCAGGCTCGGCCAAGCTGAGACGTACTTCGATGTTCCAGAGGGCGATGACTTCCAGAATAGCCGAAGCCTTTCGCTGGCGCCTCGAACGGGAAACAATCCGCGAAAAGGGCTTGGACTCGAGAATCCGTGTCTCTCTGGGTCAGGAGTCACAACAAGGGCGGAGAAGAGGAATGGGCGTTTCGTGCAATACTCATCGTGACCAAGTTTCGTATCGAAGCATGCGACGCTCTAAAACTAATTCCCGAAAAGCGCACGTAAGTCAACGGGGAGATGGCGAGGAAACGGCTAACGTCGAAAGAAACTCACCGTTAGCTCTTTGACAACTCAGCTGACAATACACATCCGATGAAACTACAGCAGTAGTGAGAGGGGGACGAGCGAGTGGGAAACACACACAGTCCGGAGAAACGGAGAGCGTGCGGTTCGCGCATTTCTCGGCGCGAAGTAGATCCTCGAAATCTCGGAATTGGTGATCTCATTGGATTTCCTGGAGGCCGACGAGAGCCTCGACTGAGAGTTTCTTCCCGTATGTCGGTAAACCAGAGCTTGAATCCGTTTTCGCTCGGGAAGGTTCCGGAATGGAAGCAATGAAACCACTGCGCTGACGTTAAGTTCGGAGATCTCGTCTATTGGCGCTAGTCGATCCGCTCAGCGCTTAGCGAGGGTTCCAATGGAGAGAGAGAACTGCTCCTGCTCCGTGATTCTCTGTCGAATAAATTCGATTCTTTTCATCCTAGATTTTTCACTCGCGAGTGCCAGAGTCGTGAGTCACGCATCGCTTCCCTTGTCGGAGGGCGAATGCTGGGATGTTTAGAAGTGAACAACGGGGCGAGAACCCGGAAAGCAATCCTGGAGATTTCGAAGTTTCTGCAAAATCCAGATGCTCACCGAACTCCGCCAATTGACCATATTTCGCTTGATTTTCGACATTTGTGAGCAGAAACACGCCGGCGTCCCGAATACCGAACCTTGCGGGAGAGGGTAGGAGAACGGAGCCAGGTTTCCGGATGCCTGTAAAAGCGCTTCATCCTATTCAGTCCGAAAGTCCACTTCGGTGGCAACGAACCCCTCCGCGTGATCACCGTGCATTTCCCCTGGGTGCCATTGTCACGCGTAACGCGGGTTAGCGGCGCATGACTCGTGGAGCGTGAATCGCTGACATCTGAACGAAGGAAAAGTCACATCGGTTCTGCGCGGAACGATATCACCGGTCGCCAAAAATGATTTTCGTAGACAGCCACTACCCACCGTAATTGATGATCTGATCTGGGAAAATTTCAAAGAGCGGCTCCGATGTGTTCCGATGTCGCAGCTTTAGGTAAACTTGTCCATGCCTTCCCGGGGGAATCCCGAACTTCTTGGTTCGATTCGCGGATTCTACATCGAGTCGATCCCTCAAGAACCAAAACTACAGTTGACATGCAACTTGCTCTCACTCGATTCGATTGGGAGCTGAGCCGTGATACCGTCTACCGTCCCTCCTATGTGAGCAGGATTCGAGGCCGCGGCGCAGCCTCGGTATTCTGCGGGCTCGTTTCGCCTTGTAGCGATCTCGGTTGGTACTGGCGGGCCTCGCGCATGATCTGCTCGATAACGGGATGGAAAACGCGAGGATGCTTGATTTTGTAAACTTGTAAGATATTTATTGTTCATGGCGGCAAGCAAACTTTTTGCCGGAACGAGGAATGACGGTTCAGAGGTTGAAAAGCCGTTGCTCCCCACGATGGAAATCGATTCCTTCACTCTCGGGACGCTGATCCTCCAACAACTCGCTGAGTCTCCGATGAGCAAATGAAATGTCCGAATGCGTGAAAAAAACCGAACAGGAACTGTTTTGCTCCAAACTCTCTGACAGAAGACGATTAGAGATATATATGGTCATTTGGGTACGTTTCTCGATGATGATCGAGGGAAAAAGATAATGACTTGAACAGGGATTGAACGTTTTGTTCTAGTGCGATTTGACAATATTGTGTCATGTTCCGTTCGCGGGTCAGTGAGCTTAGGATTTCCATTCATCGAAAAGTTTACAGATCTCACTGAAAATTGCGTCCTTATCGTTGCAGTTTGCGTCGATGCTTCTGACCATGTCTTTGGCTTCGTAATACTTGATGATGGGCATCGTGTCTTTTTGGTAGGTCTGGAAACGTTTTTTCAACGATTCGAGGTTATCGTCGGAACGACCGCTACCGGCCTGGCCTCGCTTCAAACAACGCTCGGTTGCGACCTGTAATCATAGCGGGTCAAGCTGAGCGTAACAATCGCAGGAGGACGACGGATGACTCCATGAGACAGCTAATAATTCACGGGCGAAGTAGAATCAATTCAACCATATCGACGATATCGGTGAAGGGCTCGACCCGGATCAGAGAGCCCGCGGAACCAGTAGAGATGACTCACCTCCTCTGTGCAGGAGAGAAGGAGAACGTAAACATTCTTTCACTTTGTCTCCCATTTGCTTTTGCCACCCGTCGAGATTGTCTCGGTTCCTTGGGAAGCCGTCGATGAGAAATCGATTCTTCCCGCTCTCCTTCATTGCTTTCTCGATCAGCGAGCAGGTAATTTCTACCGGGACGATGGTTCCGTTCCTTATGTGACCTTCGATCAAGTCACCGTATTCGGAACCGGGTGTTGAGCGCTCGGCGCGGAGCAGGTCTCCGGCTGACAGATGAACGAAATCGAAAGTCTGCTCAAACGATACCCTCCGATTAGAATCGAGACTGAACCAGACTCCCAGACTATTAAAAATAAGCACCATGATCCCGTTCCTCAACCTAAAATAGTATATACATCTTCGTCCTCTAGGAAGAATTCCCTGGGAATCACAGAGGAGTTTCTTGACGTCCTCGTCGGTTTTTTCATCGAGAGAGTACCGCACCTTAACAATGTTGGCGCATTGTGTGCCCTTGCCAGATCCCGGAGGACCAAGAACGAAGACTACGTTTGGTGATCCGGCCATATTTCTCGACTTCTGGGAGTGTATAAGCGAACTCAATGAACGCCTGCAAAATGAATTCAGGATTTCAGTGCGAGAAGGACGTTCCCGAGCGAGAACGATTTCCGCTGGGAATCCCAAGCAAAAAATAACAGTTTTAAGAAAAAATGAGAATGTGCACCACGATCGCTCAGTTCCTTTGAGCTCTATCTCGAATTTCCGGACTCGAATTCCGTACCGCCGGAGCGCGATACGCAGTGAAAACGATATTTCTGCGATGAATGTAACCCCTATATTTACAGGTTTTTATTCAGTGATAACAGGTCGACAAGGAGGAGCGCACTCAGAATCCTCCACAGTTTTCAAAATCCGTATTTTTTCTGCGTCTCCCTCTTCGTCATGCGATTTGTGGCCCATTGATTTTTCAGCTCGTTCTCTCGAGCTTTCGCTTGGAATGCCAGATGCGTTATGTGATGCTTTGATTTGTGTAATCGACTCAGCTCGGGACCCTCTTTGAGCGATGGTCGAGAATCTTCCACGGTGAGATTTTTGGAAAGATTCGACCGAGCTTCGGCGGTGAAATCGGCAGCGTCGATGGAGAAAATCTCAATCTTCTCCTGCCTTCGTCCTCGAAGTTTCTGCAGAGCTTCCTCGGGGATATCCTGCGAGCCGGAGGCGCTCACAGCCGGTAAGGGCTCGGGCTCGGCGGCCGGTTCGAGATAGGTTGGAAGCACCGGGCCCACTTCTGGACTTGGGGGTCGCTTCTCTCGAGGTTTGATATCCTCCGCGGTAATGAGCTTCTTCAGTTGCTCTTCGGATAATTTTGGTTCCTCGAAGCTGAAGAAAGTCGACGGTGCGTCGCCGTCGTCATCATCGACTTCAGGGCCCGGCGCTGCAGCTTGCAGAGGAGCTTTCGGTTTGGGCTTCGGTTTTGGGGGAAGCGGTTTCTTGCCCAGACTATGAGGTGTCAATTGGGTGAGCTTTGTCACCGAGCCCTTCGCGATCGGTGCCGAAGACGGGGGCGGCAACATTTTCAAAAGACTTGAACCAGCGGAACTTTTCACGACGCGTTTCTTGGCCAACGGCTCATCGTCGTCATCCTTGTCGAGCTCTGACAGCTTCGGGATGAAAATCTGTCGTTTCGAGGGCTTCGAAACCGTTTCGACCTTATCCTCAAGTTCAGGAATTATTTCAGCCGGGTCTTCCCTCTTCGGAGCCGGCAGTGAGGAAAACAGAAACAGAGCAGGTCCCGCATTATCTGTGGAGCTCGGCACCTCGGGGAAGCCGAAGTCATCATCGTCGTCTACGATGGAATCTATCCCGGACGCCAGATTCCCTTGCGCCTGCTCCCGCGCAGGTTCTTGTCGCTGTGGGACTTCATTCGAAGACTGTTCCTCTTTGCGCTCGTCATCGCTCTCGTCGGAGGAAGAAGCGTAGCCGGCCAATGCTTGCAGGGACATCGAGGAGGTTTATCGGGGGAAAATTCTCCGGGCCCCGCTAATCTCCAATTTTAAGAGGCGAACTCACCTTCGCCTACACTCTCCGGTGCCGATTCCGCTCGGCGAAGCTGTCAGAGACCTATCAACAGGCTTTCTACAAGTAGCTCAGCGTGTTATCCGCGGCGAAGTTTCCCGACACGTCCCAAGTGCCGTCGACGAGCGTCAAGTCACGGAGATGCTGGGCACGGAGAGCGAGGGAAGGTAGCGACAAGTGTTCTGTCTGAACAAATTCGGGCTAAAGATTCAGAACAATTGTTGAGCTAGCGGTGTATGGATACCTGACAAGGTTGAAAGTTTGTTGTTTCACGAGCGACGACGCGGGTATCCGCCAACATGAAAACATTGAGCCACCGGAAGTGCTCGTTCTTTTTGTCAACAAATACCGGAGCTCCTGCCGGCCTGAGGGATATTCCCGAGTCTGAGCAAATGTGAAATCCGGGTCGGAAGCTTGAATACTGACGGCTTCACCTAACACGGGAGGAGCTCCCACGGGAATGATTACTCGAATTCGGTAGAAATGGAACCGATAGTATCTAACTAAGCACATGCAGAGAGGTGCGGCGCAGTCGTAGACAATGATGTCGATGATTTTCGCCTGCTCAACGATTGGAATCAGGCTGTTGCACGTGAAGTCACCCCGATCTAAGTAATCTACAGAAGAGGTGCACATACGACCTCGGATCGATAACGGTAGGTTTTCCGATACACGGCCCCAGCAAGAGGCGACTGACGATTTGGATGGCTTCGGACAGGAGAGCCAAACCGGAAAGCAAAGTACAGCATGAGCTCCGACAATCGTTCATCAGTGAGACCGCGAGTTCAAAGGGTGGCGGTAGACGGAGCCTCCGGTCAGCGCGTGAAACATTCGGAATGTTCTTTCTAGAATGACGTTCGCCGCTTAAGTGCTGATGCTTGAATGATCGAGCTCTCCAACGCCCCCGAATCCGCGCACTTTCAGCAAAGATCATTGACACCATCATATCCACACTCTCCCTTGCATCGAATCCATAGCAGTTCCCCGGTATTTTTTTCGGGGAATCTTTTAGGGGTTCGAACGTGTGCAATAATTCGCGCAATCAAGAAGTTTTGTACCTAGAGCACGCCGTATTTATATATTACTCTGCGCGAGTTAATTTTTTCGGAGAAAAGTTTGATAGAGGGGTAGGATACAGAGGTCCAACTATAACATTGAGTGCGTGCTGCTGACGTGTGACCGGCACGGGGAAGAATCGAACTGTAAATGATTTCCTCGGAGGGAATTCTGGCCCTCGTGGCCATTGTGAGCACTGTGTCTCGAGGAACTCTGGGCAGCGATGAACATCGGCAGATCTCTCGCGTGAGGGGTATATCTCTACAGAGTGAGTAGTCCCCAATGATGGGCCACCGATCGAATTCGCCCCGGTCAGATAACCTTCCGCTTCGCTTGGAGCTCTCCGGGACGACTCTGAGGACTCGCGCGGACATGAATCACGTAGCATGAGAATAAGGCGGACGCGTGTTGAGTCGAGTTTCTTCCACAGTGAAAGCCTTCTACGACCCTCTCAAAGACTTCCAATGCCTCGATGGATCGATGAGGTTGCCCTTCTCGTACGTGAACGACGACTATTGCGACTGCCCTGACGGTTCTGATGAGCCAGGAACTTCGGCTTGTCCCAGAGGGAAATTCCATTGCGTGAATTTGATGCATTCCCCCTTGGACATCCCATCATCCAGAGTTAATGACGGACTCTGCGGTACGTTCATCGTCAGAGCCAGTGATTGGATCGATATAATGGCCGTGCTGGCTAGTCCACGTTGAAATGCAGTCCATAACTGATTCGTGTTTTCCGAGGACAGACTGCTGCGACGGAAGTGACGAATACGATTCCGGCGTTTCTTGTCCGAATACCTGCGATGAACTCGGACGGGCAGCTCGCGAGGAAGCTAAGCGCAGGGAAGAACTTATCAGTCAAGGAGGAAAACTCCGCCGTGCCCTGGTAGACGACGGAAAACAGAAGGTGCCTCCCCAACTTACTGCACCGGTTCATTGCTGCGTCAAAATATAGACAGGGTTTGCCGGAGTGATTTTGCCGCTCGTGGTAATGTTTTCTCCCGTGCAGGTGAACGAAGCGAAGCAAAAAATCGACGAGCTGAAGACCGAAGTCGAGAAGGCAAAGGCAACCAAGGACGAAAGGGACGCGCTCAGGAAAGAGGCCGAAGAAAAGGAACGGGTTCTGCTCGACGAGGAAGCCAAATCCAGACGAGAAGCCGAAGATCAGAACAAAGCGCAGGACGAACAAGGTGACTTTCCGAATTCTATCCGGACGAGGAGTGCGGAGCGTTAATAATTATCTTGGCATTCCGGAAATCACCTGTCCCAGAAAAAAGCGAAGTATGGTCATTTGATCCCGATATTTTCGCTGGTTCAAGATAAAGAACGAGTGAACAAATATGTGGAAGAGGACAAACTCCAAGCGGAAGAAGCATTCCACGACCTCGACACAAACGAAGATGGACTCGTAACCTATAGCGAGGTCATGAATTACCTCCAGTTCGACCAGAACAAAGACGGCACCGTCTCCGAGGACGAAGCAAAGGTTCGTGGGCTGATCTCGATTGTTAAGCTCCCTGGGGAGAAAATGATCCAACCTAACGGATCCAATTTTATAATTTTTAAATAATGATATTAATGATAATGAATAATCATCACAGTTTATAAGAGGCAATGCGGACACTTTCTTCGGAGCTCGACTAACTGAGATTCCTCTGGACTGTTTCAGTTCTTCTTGGCCTATCGAGAGGAAGTGGATTCGGAAGAATTCTCCGGCACAGCCTGGCCCCTGATCAAACCCGCGTGGCTGTTGCACAAAACGGCTCCCTTCCAAGACCCATCGGAAGCCGAGGGAGGAGCCGGAGCAGAAGCCGATGGAGAAGCCGACGGAGAAACCGAAACCCACGACGGCGAAAACCCCCCCCAGGACGAAGACTACGAGGAAGTCGACGAGCCCGAAGCACCATCGCCAGCAGCCTCAGCTGATGCTGAACGGGATCCTGCGGTGAAGGCCGCGGTGGAAGCCGCGGACAGGGCTCGACTCGCTTACCACGATGCCGAACGGAAGCATAAAGAAATCGAACAGGAGCTCGAGAAATTCGAGCAAATTGTCAGCGGAGATTTCGGAGAGGAGTCGGAGTTCGTTCCCCTCCGTGGCGAATGCTTCGAATTCGCGGAGAAGGAGTACATCTACAAAATGTGTCCTTTCGACAAGAGTTCACAGCGGTCAAAAGATGGCGGTTCCGAGACAAGCTTGGGCCGATGGGTACGATGGGAGCAACGCGACGGGAACAGATACGCGGCGATGAAATTCGAAGGAGGTGAGTTCGATTTCCATCCTTGTCGCGCAGTCAAGAATACTGATCCGAGAATCGAGTTCCCTCCGAGGGCGTCACGCATCGTCGTGTTTCCAGTCCTTTAATTGCGTTCGTTTCCGTCCTGAACAGGAACTGGCTGCTGGAATGGTCCGTCGCGTTCCACCGTAGTCCTCCTTCAGTGCGGGCTGAGCAACCAGTTGGTCTCAGCGACGGAGCCTTCTCGTTGTGAATACCAATTTGAATTCGCGACCCCAGCGGCCTGCGTCGCCGGTATGCCGATCGCGCCGCAGGGCAGCGGCGCCGCTTCGGGGACTGAGCACGATGAACTTTGAAGTACCGCACGTTTTTTAATAATTATATTTCCATGAGGCCTCGGACTGATCCTCAATGAAACGAATAAAGCGCGCGAAGTTGGCGTCTTTCATTGCGACAGAATTTATCTTCTATGCGCCTCGACATAATGTCGCTCCAATCTGGATCTCCCATCCGTCTACCGAGTTCCTCTCACGCCACAGCATTCCGAATTTCGTTGATCGGGCCCCCTCCTATCGCAAGCCTTCATAGTGCCTCCTCCACGTCCTTCACTCGACCGCAACGCATCCATACTCTGCGAATATTCCGAGGAGAGCTATGTGGAATCATCTTCTGCAGCTCCGATGCGATCGATTCTTCCGGAAAATCGGAATCCTAGGGGTGGAAAGGCATTCCAACAAGTGCACATGCGCTCAAAAGAAAAGTGAACGGAGACCTTGGTCAGCAACCGTCGTCCCCCACCTACTCCTTCGTTCGGCTCTGAAGCTCCAAGTTTCTTTTATTTGGAACCATTGATTGAGGGTCAGAGAGTGATTTCCGCTACAGTCGCGGTTTGCCTGATCTCACGATCACGAATTCGATTAGGCCTGTTCAGGCGGACGCTTGCGTGCCGTGAGGTTTGCACAGGACACTGAGCATAAAGCCTCTCTCGGGATTCACCAAACCACCTGACGAAATCAGATCTCCAAAGGTCACAGCGGGACATGCCGCTTATGAATGAGCATGATTTGAACGAATATTCCTACTCTGAGTCTCTGCTCCTCCTGTCGCGAGCCGCATCGGCAGCTCCGCTGTCATAAGCGATGTTGGTGTTGTTGTCCATTACAGTGGCTCCGCGTTCCAAACATCGCGAAAGTTTTTCCATCTATTTTCTGAGTCTGGACAGCTGCTCCACTCCGAGAGTCCAAGCGCTCCAAGGTCCAAGGTGACCCATGAACTTCTCTCGCAACAAGTTGCTCCCCTGACCGGTCCGGTGGCCTTTTCGAATCCGGATCTTAGCGCAGTAAGTTGATAGTTTTCACGGCTCGAGTACTGCGGGAACACTTCGTCTCGAGTCTAGAACTTATGTGTCTTGCAAGCTATCCTATCGCCCCGAAATCTGGATCTCGTACATGGGGCTAATGGAGTGAGCTCGAAACCGTTTGAAATCAGAGATGGTCGAAGGGAGCCTCGCATGAGGTGCCTCTATTTCGCCGATAAGCCGAATGTTGTTATCACGCCTCTGCGCTACAAAGGACAAAGAAAGTCCAATCGAGTACTCGAGCATCACTTGCAGAGCCCTGACGAGAATCGGGGGAAGAGGGGCGAGGGGGATCGGGGAGCTCTGAGGGAAACTTCTGCAAGCGCGGAGAAACAGTCCAGGTAAATAGGGTCGAGAGAATGGAGAGTACTGCAATGAGGCGCTCATGTAATCGTCGTTGACCATCAGGAGAACATAGAAGGCGAAAACCACGGATTGCTTGTGCGTGATTGTGGGAAGAATAAAGACGCTCTCACGTGGAACGTTCCTGTGGCTCCCGCAGCAGCAAATAAAGAAGGGTCCTCCACTACAATCTCGAGCGACGCCAACGAGAGGCTCCAGAATGTTGGTGTGACACCATTTGACACTCGAGTGCCCCAAGAAGGAGGTGACGATTAGCGCACCGAATTGGACCGCGGAAGGTTCCACGAGCCGCCATTCGTCCCCGGTCACCTGACATCCGATTGACAGTTCCTTGAAGGATTAGGTCAGCCGTCGAACCGGTGGGATTAAAACCCGAATGTCCCATGAGTGCATTCACTGAATTCACCGGCAGGCCATGGGGATGTTGGCGGCGCGGCGGCGGCGTCTTTGACACAGGAGAGAACGAGCAAGCGGCCTGGCGAGGCTGAGACTGACTGACCGACCGAGCGGACGACGAATACGATCGAATTAAAGAACGAATCATCCCACAATCTAAACATTGCTCCGCAATAAGCCTCTACAGACCTATCCGCAGTCGAGAGACAGCTGAGCAGCGGAGTCGAGCCATGGAGTCGGCGTCGAGTAGTTCCAGTTTAGACAGCGAGGGAAACCAGCACAGACATGACTGCGGCCGGGTCTGGAATGGAATGTCGGTGGGGATGAGTATTGAGTGTTTATTCCTCGCTTCAAACACCAACGATCGTGCTGGCGAACCCTGCCGAAGCGAGAGAAGCGGTGAGGACGACGCCACCGACAGCAACGACTGAGTCAGGAGAGTTTCAGTGTCGGCACCGAGTTCACCGTGCACAAATTTCTCTCGATCGGAGAACCAGTGTCGACGTTGAGCGAGTTCACCTGTCGACGACTGAGCGCGGTCGGCCCCGTGACTCCGGAGTCGCAACGGAACTCCAACTCACCTCATCGGAGCTGTCGATGGTTCTGTTGTCTTCGTCACTGCTCCCCTTTCCCGTTGTACTTCAAAGTGACGTTCTTGGCGCTCCGTCCTGAGAGTCTGGCGGCGGTGTTGTGAATCTTCTGTTGCGTATGCGAAGGACGAGGGTCGCTGCTCGATGAGTTTCTCCAACGGCCGCCGAGGCCGCCGGCACTATCACTCTCACCATTGCCACCGCATGTGAGGTTCTTGACGTGAGAGTACGTGTGCTCGGGTGTACACCGCACAAAGCCCGGCGCGACCACTTCGATAGAATAGCTTGTCAGTCTTGTCTTCCGTAACATACGTCATTCTCGTGTATAGCTCTGACGTCTAACCAGAATTTATCGTTGCGTTCTCGATTGATGTAGTGGACTTGTGGTAAGGTGGTTGAGCTGAGTGTGGCGAGTGGGTGGCGGTCACGATTTCTGTTGCCGCCGTATTAGACCGACCTGACGATATCTTGCCTTTTGCGCTAGCCTAGCTTTCTCGGCCAATTACGATCGCGTCCGGTGTCGAGGACCAACAAATGCTCCGAACTCCTCCAAGAGGATTCGCCTACGATGTTCGATCTCCGTCGCTCGACGCTTGGGTAGTTGTCAACACCTCGTGCCGTGTCGCTGCACTAGATATCGCTGGACGTCTCTTCCTACCCACCTACCCAACTGGCTGCCTGCCTACCCGGCTACCAGACTGTCTGCCTACTCGATCGTCGCTGCCAAGCAGGCTGGGAGGACGGGCAAGCCGCGTTCGTCGACGACGACGACGTCGTCGTCAATATGCTGCTTTCTTGGAATTGATGATAGTTGTGGTGTTTTGCTGCTACACTCTCCGATTGAGAGAATGGTCCTCTGTCGTCGCCGAAAGTGAGGTCTAATTCTGCTTGAATCTTTTTCAGATGGACGCGAGATACATCCCGGCTCTCCGACGACTCGTGCCGCCGGATCATCGGGCCGTTGGATGCGTCCGATGCATGATCTCGAGGGGCCGGAAACGGACACCGCAAGTTTGCGTGCTCGTGGAACATATGCAAGAGCATTGCGTCCTGATATGCGCGGAAGAGGGAGCCCTCCCGAACGCAACCCTCAAGTCGGACTCGCGCTTTCCGATCAACGTAGATTTCAGAATTGACATAGGTGAGTAGCTGGACGCTTCATCTCCTCCCATCGACTAAATTCTCATCGTCGAGTCAGAAATTCGTGTACTCGAATCCGGATGGGAGACAGATCCCTCTCTCTCTCCTGTTGCGAGGAAAACGGCGTCTGAGATCCCTGTCTGCCAAATCTTCTGGAATTGTTCCCCTTCGGAGGCTGAGACGCGTTTTCTTCATTATTTTAGAACCAGTCAGCACGGTGGGAGGTTCCCGAGTCATCACAGCGAACCTTTCGTATAAGCGGAAGAAACTCATCTTCGAGGCCGACTACGACGATACCGCCGACCGTTTCGTCAAAGAGATCAGCAAAGCTTTCGAGAACTCGAAATACAGAAATACGCCGGCCTCGGACTACCTCTGGGTGGAAGTCTATAAGAACAACAGCAAGTGAGTTGACTCAATCGGAGTGATTCAGTAGCTTTTGTGCCGCCGCAGTAGCATTCATGAGTGACGCTCGAGAAGGATCGTTGTAGGAACAGAGAATCGAACAAATTCACCACGGAGCTATTTCCAGATTTTTCCTCGACGTCAATCCCGAGGACGAGGACGATCTCGGCGAGGAGAACAAGGCCTCCAGGGAATGCATGGTCAAGTGTCTCATGCAGGAACGAGAGGATGAGTTCACTGTGCTTAACGAATTTAGGTGAGAGCGATGACCAGGCTTCCACCGAATTCGAAGCATGTGTGATACATTTTAGTTTGATGCGTCACTCGGATTGCGGAAGAGCCCCGCGGTCGAAAGTGAGGCTCTGCGATCGTTCACCACGTCCCGCGTTCCTTCGTCGATGACCAAACCATTAATACAATTTTTCTCCATTCGGATCATTTCAGGATTTTCACTGGGACCTGGAACGTCAACGGAATGGCGCCTCCGGAGTCCCTATCGGAATGGCTCGCGAGTTCCGCGCCGAACGAGCCACCGGACGTTTACGCGATCGGTTTCCAAGAGCTGGACCTGTCGAAAGAAGCATTTGTTTTCGCGGACTCGCCCCGGGAAAAAGAGTGGCTGCTCAAAGTGAAGGAGAGCTTGCATCCGAAAGGTCGCTATAAAGAAATCAAAACAGTACGACTCATCGGAATGATGCTGTCGGTATTCGTGGAAGAGAAGCACGCACCGTTCGTTGCCAACGTCGACTGCAATTCTCTGGGCACTGGAATCTTAGGCATGATGGGCAACAAAGGTGGCGTGGGTGTACGGCTAGACCTGCATTCGACGTCGATCTGCTTCGTGAATTGCCACCTGGCAGCTCATGCGGAGGAGCGCGAACGACGAAACCAGGATTTCAACGATATCCGGAACAAACTCTCGTTCAATCAGATGCGTCCCGCGAAGTCTGTCAGCGAGCACGACCAAATCTATTGGATGGGGGATATGAACTACCGCTTGCAAGACACGACGAAACAGCACGTCGAGCAAGCTTGCGCCAACAACGACTTCAGCAGTCTCTGGGAAAGGGATCAGCTGCGAGACCAGCAAGCGAAACGAATCATCTTCATCGGTTTCGAGGAAGGCCCGCTCAACTTCAAGCCAACGTACAAATACGACGTGGGAACGAACCAATGGGACACAAGTGAGAAAGCTCGCGTACCTGCCTACTGCGATAGAGTTCTCTGGCGCGGGAACAACATTCGGCAACTCTGCTACAAGAGTCATGATAATTTCGTGATCTCCGACCATAAGCCCGTTCTTGCCGAATTCAGTTCAGGTCAGTCAAGAGAATAGATCGTATGGAGGAAATCGAAGGCGTTACGCTATTCGAATACATCGTAGGGAATTATTGAGAGTCTTCCGCATGTTCTCGGTCGGAAGGATCTGTTTAGGAGAATTGTTCACCGAACCTTGCCCGTAGGGATCCGAGTCGTCGACGCAGTCAAGCGCAAAGAAATCTACCAGGAGCTTATGAAACAACTGGATAAGGAGGAGAACGATTTCATGCCTCAAGTCACTGTCGACGAACACTACCTCAACTTCGGACGAGTGCATTTCTACGAACGGGTTCAGAGGTCGTTTAAAATAACAAATACCGGTCCAGTAATCGTGAGATTCTTATTCAAAGAACAACCCAAGGGTAGGCGCTACGCTAAAGATTGGCTCAAAGCGGATCCTCACAACGGCACACTGAAGAAAGGCGAATCGGTGAGCATGAAAAAAGAGCACAGTTCAAATGTCTCGCGCTCCTCCGTGGAATGGCATTCGTCACCTGTCTCCCGGGTGCCTAGATTCCGAAGCGGACAATTCCAAAAATTCTCAATTCCGTTTCCGCAGTGTGACATCACCCTGGAAATCCTAGTCGACCCAGCGTCGGCTTCGAAACTCAATATGGGCGAGGAGAAAATGAGTGAAGTTTTGGTTCTTCATCTGGTCGATGGCAAAGACATATTTATATCGGTCGACATGGAATATCAACACAGCTGTTTCGGCTGTTCCCTGGAAGCACTCGTTCGCCACATGACACCCATAGGACTGCTGCCGCAAGAAACTTTGATAGCTCTCGTGAGTACTCCAAGATTCTCGATGGTGACTGAACGACGAACAGAAGCGGATAATGGATGCGTGCGAGCATGACAGATCAGACCTGGAATCAACCGTTCCCAAAAGAAGCGTGGAACCAATGCCTGAGCTAGAGCGGGAAGCAGAGATGAGGCGTTATCACTCCTCAACCGTCATTGTAGGAAACGGACCCTGTGAAGAACGCCGAGCTTGGTGTACCGTTCGAAACCCCGACTGAGCTCTGGATTATCATGGATGCACTTCAACGGAAAGGTCTCAGTGGTGGGAATATCTTCGGGAAATCTGGAAGTCAAGTCGAGATTCAGACTGTTCGCGAGGCCCTGGACACAAAGAGGCCCGATGGACAGCTCGATGGTAATTGTCTCGAGATGAATTTGGTATTTCTCGCTCTAAGAAAAGCATCACGCGGTAGGCGAGAAAATTGCCCCAAATGACGGTCGACCCGTTGACTGACACTGGTATCGTTGCAGTGAGCGTCCATGCGGTTGCCGAATGTCTCCTCCTGTTCCTGAGCGCCCTACGGGAACCAGTTATTCCCTACTGTTTCTTCAAAAAATGTTTAGATTCATCGGTGACCTACACTCAAGCGAAGAGTGTGATCCAAGAACTACCGAAAGTCCACCGAGATACATTCCGTTACTTGGTGCTATTTCTACAAGAGCTGTTGCAAAAGTCTAAAAGACTGGAAGTTAACATTCTCGGTGAGTCGACGAAGGACGATTTTGCATTCCTTCGGTGAGCGGATTGCTCGCCTTGCTGGCGGTGCGGCTTTGAGCTGCCTCGGCTAATCAGAATGCCATTGTTTTCGTTTCAGCCACGATCTTTAGCGCCGTAATGATACGTCCTCCTCAGGACGGTCAGATGACCCCCAGCAAGGAGCGTATGAGATCTGTATTCCTCTACCATTTTCTTGTCAATCATTGCGAAGTTTGAGCCGAACGTGGAAAATAGATCCATCTCATCTTCAACTTCTCCGGATTCGCGAACACGGAAATCCTTCGTGGGTTTCTTAGGCGTCCAGGACCTGGAAGCTCATCGACATGATTTCTTCGTCCCGATGAAGCCGAGCGACAGGGGCACTCGAACGTGACAACGAGCATGATGCACATTTATAGCAACACACTGTGTGGAATAGGACTTGCCACCATTTCGAACAACCCAGCAGCTCAATAGCAACAAATGAACAATATGAGGCGTTATCAGCATGGTCGAGCTGGCGTCAGAGAGCTTCCCCCACCGAATTGGTAGTAGGAGACGACCTATTGTAAAAATATATCGCAACAATGACCAGCGGCGCCGAGGGTGCTCGCGCCTCCGTGCAGGATTTCCTCGCCGATTCATCTTTGTATATATACTCTCTTAAATCCCTCACCGGAATATAGCTAATATACCGGCACAATACATGACAATTCTACTCTGCTCCGAGAATCTGGAACACGCACCTCCCCCTTCCATACAGCAAATGTTACGCGTGGAATATCGGGATGTGAACAGTAATAAACGACTGGACGTAATTTACGTCCCTTCTCTTCAATTCGGAGGCGGTCATTCCCGGAATTACCATGAAATTCGATCACGGATTCTCGCTTGAGGCTGACTGAGGAAGTCCCCCGGGAACACTTTTCCACGCATATCCTGCTTCAAATTGCGATGGATACGAAACAAGAAAAACAATGAATGTGCCGTTGCTCTCTTCTTCACCATGTCCATTTATCATACTCCAGAATCAATATACATGAATGTACAGTCACCCGTTGGGGGATACCTTGAGGTTTAGGGAATCGGAACTCGTCGACAGGAATGTTCGACTGACAAAGGGCAAGGCGGAGTCGGTATGACTTCAAGCTTGTCATCTCACTACATACATTCAGACGATGAATCATTCAGAAGAATATATCGCACTGTCGCATTCCGAGGAGAAAATATATATATGTTCAGACCAGGGCCAGAGAACGTACAGCTCATAGCGATTTAACGCGATGCCAACATTGAACATAATCAGGAAGACCGAAAACTGATTTGAATCTCTGGAGATATAGGACCGCATCCTCGAGAATGTCTGGTCGTCCCGCTATAGCTTCCACTAACGCGCAGAGAGTGGCCTCGTCTTGGAGACAGAAATCCCTACAAAGCTGGAATGCCAGGATAAGAGAATCTCTTTGTTTTCTCTGAAGAAGATGCTCGATCACTTGGCAGACCAATTCCTCGGACGTGAGGAAGGAGTTAAGATTGAGACCTTGCTTTCGGACTTTCATCGTATACAACAGCTGATTACATTGAAGCGAAAGCGATTTGGGCGAATCACCCAGCAGCGAACCCGCCGTGGGCTCGTCGAAGGCGCATAGCACCGCCAGAGTAGATCGGAGCTGCTGATCAACGCCATACGAGGTCGTATTTTGGAAGGCTAGAAATTGATTCATCAACTGGACTCCGGTGTCGTCAGGCAGAACGACCAGTAGACGGATGATCTTGATGACTTCTTCGAAGTCCATGATACTCGCTTTCGAAGCTCCGTTCATGATCTGATTGAAGTTGAAGGTCGCCGTTACTTCAGCATGGTGATCTGGCAAACGCGCTTTCATGATCCATTTGTGCAGAAATCGGGCCAGGAGCTCCTTGGTCTTCACGTTCGAGAGGCTCGCCGTTTGTTCGATGACAGGAAGAACCCTCGCTGCCTCGAGGCTGAGCGCGGTGTTGAGCTTCTGCTCGAGGATCGTGTTCACCAAGTCGTTCGGATCTGTGCATCGTCTTAGATAGGAATTATCTTCGAAACTGTTCTCCCTCAGTACGAGTTCACACCCTAGAGCTCGGAATTGGGACTGGAACGTTTGCGCGAGTTTCGAAACGCCGTTACAATCCTCGGCATACCGCCAGAGCGCATGGGCAATTTGGACCTTGGTCTTCCCGCGGGGTAATTCATTGAACATGTGCAAGGCACTGCTTAGAGCTTTTTTCTCGTCGGTCATGTCATCGACGAGCTTCATGAACAATTTCACGAAACTATCGTCGCACGTAAAGAAACTAGCTCGCTGCTGATATTTCTTCACGAGATTCGAGAGGGCGAGGATCCGCATGTCGTCGGGTGCGAGATTTATCAAATGAGACACCGGAACCCAATCGTCGATATTGTTCCCACCGAGCTCGCTTTCGAGAACCAATTGAGGTTTATTCATGATGACCCTGAGCGGGATCCGTCGGGAAGCCACGTCAGGCATGAGACAAAGGTCTGGATGCAGGAGTGTCCACTGACGGTTTTCTTTCGCGGAGATCTTACCCTTACGGTTGTAACCCTTTAGGAAAAGCAGGAGATGCAGCTCCCGCTGATGATTCGAATTCAAGGCCACGAGTTTCTCGTAGAGGTACTGCAGGACCTCGTAACAGTAGTCGTCGACCTGAGTCAATGTTTCCTGCAGGGTGTCCCGCGTCTCGTCTGCCGTCAGCAGGGATAAAATGCTGTCGGCTTTCGGGAGCACTTCCAAATAGACCTGCTGAACTTTCCCGTTGTGTACGCGCTCGGCCGCTGAAACGACGAGGCTTTGGAAGAGTTTCGACGCGTGCGCATTCAGAGACCCAAGCGAGAATTCCTGCGCGAACTGGCGCAGTAGATCGATGTTCATCACGTGGCTCTGGGTGAGTTTTTCAGCGACGTCGTCGGCGTTCTTCTTGTTGAAGCCCTCCTTCAAAATTCTCTTCGCATCGACCCCGTACTCAGACACCTTCAGACACCATTCGCTAGCTTTCAACGTCGCAGCGAGATGAGCTTTCCCGGGCAGCTGCAGCATGTCGCTGACCAAGAGTCCGACCGATGCGAGCTTGTTGACCATGACGGTGCTGGATAACGACTGAGCGAGTATCGACTGGAAGTACGGAACCAGCAACTCCGATCCCAGCGAAGCTAAAACGTGCGCCGTCAGAAAGAGATCCGTGTATTTTGAGGATATGTGTTCTCTGATGAATGTTCTGGTACAGTCGGTGATCATTTTCGTGATCTGAGGTGGTTCGTCGATCTCGTAGTGACTCAAGACTACTCTCACGCACTCCAGGAGTTCACACGTGAGGTCGACGGCGGAGATCCGTTGCAGCTCGTCGGAGCACTGCTTGCTGGCCCCCAGGATCTTTTCCAACCACACTTCTGTTGACATCTCTCGAGTGCTGTCATCGAACGCGATATTCACCAGCTTGTTCACGCTCGAGACGACCGTAGCTGGCATCAGGAACCTACGAGCCGAATAATCGGAGGAGAACTTCCAGCAGACGAAAGGATCGACGCTGGACGTTCGATTGAAGTGGCTCAAAATCGTCGTCCACATCAAGCAGAGACTGTACCTGGAGTCGTGGAGATTGCATCTTGCGATCATAGTTGACAATATATCACTCATCTGGACCGCCGTGTAATTAGCTAGAAGATACTGAACGGCTAGAAGGCATTCGCGTTGGTGAACGTCCTGTCGGAGGAAACAGGACGCAATTTGCGGGACTCTGGGACTTGAGCTCTGCACAGCGTGAACGAGAATGTCGTAGAGGATGTCCTGTATGAAACATCCACGCTCCTTGCTGTACAGATAGAGCTCGCAGAAAACCTCTTCGTCCGAGTCGCCTCTGATGTTGCCCAAGATTTCCGCCATTGGCTCCAAAGGACTACGCAACGGTGCGAACTCGCCTCGCGAACAAGACACCAAGCAATGTTTGATCAGAGCGGCGGGTAATCCTTTCAGGGACCCGTTGTCGAATACGCATTGCAGACGTGACCATACGGTCGTGTCTGAGAGTTCTTCCTGATAATCACGGAGGATCTCCTCGACTTTTTCGGAGTCACCATCCTCGCACTGTTTCACGAGGAATTCCACGAGGATTTCCGCTCTCGACCAGCCGACTTTCGAAGCCATGCCCAACAGCTCATCCAGAGTTTCCCCAGCGCCGATCAATAACGCGATCGTGTCCTCTTCGTCGAGATCGGCGTACGGTACCGCGTGTTTCTTCAGCATCATTTTCAGGGGAATGTCTCGCTTTACGGATTCGAGCTTCTCTTTATGAACAAAGTCCATACCGATGGCGATGTCGAAAACTTCGTTGACGCACTGCTTCCACGGTATCGAGGCGGCTTCAATCATCGACAGAGCGGCTTTCGACATGAAATCAGGATTCGACAGAAGTTTGAAGAGTTTACAAGCCTTCGGTTCCCAATCGCCCCCTTCCGCCGCATCGGATCGAGTCCTCAAATAGTCGATGTACTCCAAGAGCATGTCGTTCAGGTCGATCTTGATCCTGATGCAGGTGTCCTTCAAGGTCCCGTGGATGAAGTTGCGCAACTCCACCTCGCTCTCAAGTCGATTCATGATGTAGAACATGAGTTCTTTTTCGGGCATACTCGAGAGCTCAGCTAAGGAAAGGTGGACGTGATACTTCTGAATCAAGGTCTGGATGAATTCCAAGTCCCGTCGAAGCGCAGCCATTCTGTACACGGGAGATCCTTCATTCTTGAGACCCTGGAACATTTTCATGGCGTTGATGACGATCGGCAGAGAAGCAGTTTCTTCGGAGTCCAGGCTCAATGCAGAATCGAATTCTCGCTGCAGGACACCTAGTAGTGCCAGCGGAGCTTGCGGGAACGTAGCGGGATCTCGCGTTTCGGCCAACGTTGTCGCATCGACGATCTTCAGGACGAGATCGTCGAGACACTCGGGGAAATCTCTGATGACGAACGTGAAGAGTTTTCCGTCGACGAGCCACTTCTTCAGGTTGTCGATCGTGGACGGGAGTGAGCCGAGGAATTCCACAACGGACACCGAAGACGCCGCTCCGCTGATCATATCCCTGTGTCGGAGCCAAATCGTCAGGGCTGAAGATGCCTGTTCGTTATTGAGGTATTCTGTGATCAGGGTCAGAGTTGGGGTCTTCAGGAAGCGTCTCCAAGTCTCGAAACTATCGTGTTCTTTGATGACCTTGAACGTTGCCAATTTGTACTGCGAGAGAACGACGTCTGCCAATTGGCTGCTGTTCCCATTACCGTTGTGGATGCGACTCAGATCCCTCGCAAGAAGATCGAGGATACGGGCCGTTTGCTCCAGCTTGGCCGGGAGCGATCTGATCACCGCTTGATAAACATCCATGGGAGAGGCGATTTTCACGTAGAGCTCCAACAATCGTTCGAAAGCGGCTTCGACAGATTTGATCTGACGCTCGTTGTCGGTGGTATCTACGTTGGGACCGAGCTTGTTGAGAACTTCATAGAGCTCTTCGAGGTACACATCCTGAACCGGTAACTTGAACATTATGGCGAGATCTTCGGCTTCTTGGAAGCGTTTCTTCAGCAGTAGGATTTCCAGCTTATTCTCCGGTGAGCTCTCGTTCACAGATTTCACAGTGATGGCGTTCAGCTCCTCGTTCAAAATCACGAGGACGACCTCCTCCGCGGATTTCGTGTGTTTCGCCAATTGAGTCTGTCCCTCAACATCGACGGAATATTCGAGCTTCATCGAAGGCAAACTATAGACGGATATGCTTTTCCTGGAGTCGGACTCGTGAAGTCCGATCAGTTGAACTTTCAGGACTTGATCGTTTTCCGTTGTTTGGGAAAGGGATATATCATCGAAGGTGAAATTCATGATGTAGTCAATCAGAATGAATGACCTCAAGCAGATTGTCGCCACGCATCCTTCCTCGCTCAAGGCGATAAGATATCGTTTCCCCCCTCCGACCAGAAGCTTCCGGATCCTGCCTCCTGGGAAAGCGGTCCAGACTCTGATCAGGTTTTGACCGTCAAGTCGATACAGAGATCCTTCTGCACCGCACGAAAAGATGAGGACGTCGTCGACGAGGGCTATGCTGGATACGTCGCTTATGTCGTTTTCCGAGAGATCAATCGACGATATGTCGAGAAAGTTTTGCAAGGCATTTTCGGTGTCCGCTTGGTCCTCCTGAAGGCCGTTGACATCCTCCTCGATTGAATCGTCCCCGACTTCAGCTGCCTGTCGTCCATTGGGTTTCTCGTTTTTTCGGAACCAGTGGACTTTCAAGTCACAGGTCAGCAGACAGACTGTCTTGGAGGAACATTCGAGAAACAAGAATGACTCTCCGCTTTCCGTCCCAGGCTGAAGGAGGCGTTGGCTGAACAAAGAATTTCCCTCGACGTCCAATACTTCGAGCTCGCCGTCTCGTTTGGCGACAAGGATCAGTCGGAAATCCATATCCGTGATTGATATGCAATCCGGCGTCGAATCGAGTTCCACTGCGGCGCAATGTTCGCCATCTCGGAAGATGTGAAGCAATTTGTCGATGCTCAAGGCGATCAGATTCCCGTGATGAGCAGCTTCGATCTAGAAACCAAAGAGAATGATCGAGTGAACGAACGTCTCTGATATCCAAGCTCGGATCCCTCAATCCAGAAATAAATAAATGCATCTGTGATACTAACGTCTGGCACATGAGGTGCAGTGGCCGAAGGATGAACGGAGAAGAGAGTTTCGGCTCGGTGAAGTCCTTGCACTGAAAACTTCTGGGTCTCTTGGGAGAAATCCGTTTCTATTCGGTCCCAGAGAGGCATCTCCGGCGTCGACTGGAAGCCAAAGGTCGCTCATGAGATTTTCTTCCGGCTAATTGTTGCCCCGCATGGGCCATACTCGACTGAGCGAGAACGTAGGATCTCGGAAACTGACGGACGTGGAGACTGCCAGCTGTAGACAGGACTTCACGTCGGACCCTCCCGATGGATTCACAATATTCAATAGACACCGCGGTTCCCCCGAAAACAGTCTAATTGAGCCCGTGTCAGCAAGTTTGCGCACGGAATTGTCACTTTCCAGCCCACGGTCATTTCGACCACGTACTCATCGAGGAGTTCGCTGGGGCTGGTCCAGCTGGTCAGATCGATCGGAGGCATTCTAACTTCCCGGATAACCCATCCCAATTGAGCTTGGGAACCCCGAGCCCGAATGGCATGACTGAGTGATCACCTAGGTATGAACACTGAGGCCCAGATCGCTTGTGCGCCAAGCGGCCCGGTCGGATACCGCGCATTGGGTAATGATCAAACAACTCACCCTTTCAGTGTCCATGCCGACATCTGTCAACGACGAGTCTCCGTTATCCATGTTCAGTCGGTCAACACTCGAGCATCGTCCTGTAAGAGCAAAGTCAGAAGATGCACGGAGTACGTTCGAAAACGTCGAACGCAGGAAACCAGGCACTTCGCGCCCAGGCGACTGGTCGCATACACGGAACCCAATCGACACTCCCTCACTCCCTCGCGGATCACTGCTCCTACGCGTGATTGACTTCGAAATGGTTAGAACGTGACCTGGCCGCGCACTGCAATCCGTCCCCCGCACCGATTCCCGTGACAGGAGGAGTTTAGAGAAAAAACTCGGGGGCTCGCTCCGGTAACGACGTTTGAATGGGATTTCCTGATGGGATCCGCGGGGGTTGCGATTCAACTACGTGAGTCCATCAGACTCCTCCCGATACATTTCTTCAGCACCCACCTAAATTGAAGTTCGCGAGAACTGTGACGGAGACACCTCGAACGAATTCCAGGTGTCACTGGACAGTCTGACAGGAAACCCGTTCTAAAGGAGCGCGATTTCTGAAACTGAGGAGCAGACAGAAAACGATGGATATAAATACTACAAGTGGGGGATCATGATCTTTGTTGAGGCCACAGGAAGCACCGGGGCGGGTCACAACCTCCGCTGACAGGAGAGTATCCCACTCACAAGTAAGCATTCTTTTTTGAAAATGACAATCACCTGGTTTGACATGCTTTTCTGAAAGTTTCCGAGCCCCGGAGCAACCCCGAGTCGTTTTTCTCTGCTGTCCTGCATTCCCTACCCCTTCTCTGCAGGCTCCGAAATCCGGAAAAAAACACTATTTTCATCGAAGTCCGGGATATTTTGCTCGGATATCAGTGGGAATGGGTCTTTCCGGGCTTCGGGACCTGGGAAAAAAAACATTTCCATCAAAATCCGAGAAAAATATCTGGGGCTGAACGCGCAGACATCGTCAGCGTACATCAAAGTCTCGACGAGCGGATGCCTCGTGGAGATTGACGATGGCAGATCGATTGGTTCTCTTACAGCAACTCGGTCATCGATCAGGAGCAGGTTCCTCTGCAGTATTGCGCTGATGAGGTAGAGGATCTTCGTCGGGACGCCGCTCATGGCCAGCTTTTCGATCACAGTCGATCTCGAGCCTGCATCGAAGGCGCTCCTGGAATCAACGAACAGCGTGTAGAGCGGTCGCCGCGGGCATCCAAGTCGCTTCTCGATCTTATCCTTGAGGATCTTACAGGCCGTCAGCGTGGATCTCCCTGCTCTGAAACCGTGCTGTTCGGTGGGAATCGCGCCGCAGGCCTCGAGGAACGGCGTGAGACGGCGAGTCAAGAGAGTTGACAGAAGTTTGTAGACGCATGACTTCTTAGCTATTCCGCGCCAGGATTTAGGGTCGGTAGGGCACCCCTTGCCCTTTCGGATGAGGACTAGGAGGGCGTTCCGCCACTTTTCCGGAATCACTCCTCTTCTGAGACATTCGTTGAACAGGCCAGTCCAGAGGGGGATGAGCTCTATCGCCCTGCTGATGAACTCATTGTAGATCTCGTCCATTCCACATGCCTTGCCCCGAGGGAGTCTGGTGGCAGCCTCGTAGACCTCAGCCGTCGAGAACTAGGCTTCGAGCTCCGTTCTCCAATTGAGTATCCAATCCTGCCACACTGCGCTGACCACCGGCATGCTTGTCGGGATCGTGTTCGAGTCGGCGAGGATCTTTAGGAAGTGGGTCGGGAGAGTCTCTTGATTGACGGGACACGCCGTCCTTGGAGTTCTCGACCCCTGGAGCCACACGTATGGGCGTTTTTCGGCAAGCTGGATGAGCCTCAGCTCCTCCCGTGACCTGTAGTCTGCCTTCGCTGACCTCAGGTCCGATCGGTAAGCCGACCTCGACTTTCCCAGGAGAGATCTCATATACGGCTTCTCTGCAGTCAATATCGATATTTGTATCAGTTTATTATTCATCTCCGAGCAGAGTGGGCTCCACCACGGGCGAGGTGGTCTTCGGCGGGGGTGGGGGCTCGGCGCACTCTCTGACCATATCAGTGAGCCGGTCGGTGTAGATGGACACGTTCTCGTGGGTACCTATCGGAGCCACGGTAGCCGCCACCGCGAGGAGCTTTGCGGTGTTCAGTCGGCGAGAGCGCGGGTGCTTCCTTGGTTCTATTCGTATAGGATGAGTTAGACGGATCCCTATGCTCACTGGCACATGATTCGTGAGCAGGCCGCCTTCCCAGAGGCTGTTCCTACTTCTTTTGTAGGAAACCTCCTCTCTGGAGAGGTTCGTAGCGAATAAGTCTAAGGTTGACGAACCCATCGGAGATCTGAATGTGTGTTCTTGCGGATCGTTTGGGATCCACAGGCCGAAATCAGTAATCTTCGTGTATTACGAGCTCGGAGAAAAATATTTCAGTCTGTTAATGAGTCGCCCATACGAAATTTATCGTACGGTCTCGAGAGACATCAAGTCGTGGTAAAGTCTAAAACCCTCCTCCTCCGCAATCTCATTTCGATTTCCCGCATACCGATGTCGATTATCATTTTGATGGTTCTGCTCAATGATAGCCAGTTGGAGAGAGGTAAAGAAGAGTCTCAGAGCTCAAATAGAGCTCGTATTCGAAGGAATCTCGTTCGAGGATGTCATCCCCGATTATCTCAAGAGCGACCGGAGATACGGAGGGAAGTTCCATGAGCGAAATCGTAGGCCTCAATGTTTTATGCCAGCGACTCCAAAGGACGGTTCCCCGGCTCCCTCGGGAGCCGTGAAGCTTCTCTGCGGGAGCCGCGGACAGGTTCCCGGTTCGAGTCGGGCACCGGACATTCAGGGTTCGACAGGTCCAATGCTCCGAAACCCATCTTCGTCATCTTCCAGCTCTGAGGTTTCTCTCTCCAGCGATGAAAGCTGGATCGAATGAACCGGAGAGCACCGGGAAGCTCACGAGAAATGCAACTCGTTTGAACGCTTCGGGGTATATCCGAAGGCTTCCTTGTTCGAACGAAGCTTCTTATATGAAAATTGTTTGTGAGCTCAGTGAATATATAGATTACATTCCTCACACTCGAAGGAGTCCGCCGCATCCCATCCAAGTCCCGAATAGAAGCATGTTTTTTCTAGTTAGGAAAGGAAAAAGAGTAGACAGGAGCCGCGGGAGCATTATCACTCGAATCTCCATCGTTTTCCGGATTGACGGCTTCACCACCGCACAAATCGGACGGTACCTCCTTTTTCTGGAAACTTTTTGGTTTGTCAACAAAGAATCGTCATCCGGCGAGACGGGTCTCTTTCGCCTCGCACTGAAGAAAACATCCAAGACTTAATTTTAGAGGATAAGCGTTCGCCGCTACGCAATTCCATCGAGTCAGTGCGATGAAGAGGGAGAGCGGTGTGGTCCCCCGTGATCCCGGTGTGGTCCCCCATGATCCCGGTGTGGCCCTCCGTCATCTCGGTGTAATCCTCCGTGATTCCGGTGTGATCCATATGATCAAAAAATCAGCATAGAAAAAGTGCCGAGGCAGCCGCCCGATTATGCCCGAAATTCTGTTCGAGATCATCATCATCATCCTCTGCACTCTCCCATCGTCAGATATACCAAATCGGTGCAACTTTACCCCCCGTTCTTTTTGTACGCTTTTCCTATAGACTTAACGTACGTACAATTGTACGCGATCTTAAGCATACGTACAACCGTACGAAGGTACGCCGTACAAAGCGTAGAACCGTACAGACCGAATTTCATGTCTATTAAGCCGTCACGGCTAGACACAGAACACAGAGCAACATTGCTGCTCCTGCAGCCAACAGTTTCACACAGGCGGAGACACATTGGCTTCGAGAAGTTCGAGAGAGACCCGAATGTGGGCATAAGTCGCGTGGAGTGAGTCTGTACTAGCGCTCGAAGCCATGCAGATCACTGTGAAAATCCTCGGTGGTCAGGAATGTTCTCTGGAGGTGAGTTTTACGATTGATTTCGGATCCGTGGTCAGCGTTGTAAATTTCTCAGTTCGAGTCATGAGCCTCAGTTCTCCTGCCGACTGACCCACTGTCCATCGTTTTGCGATGGCTACGGTTGGTTGAGCCATTCTCGAGCGTCATGCCCTCGCGGGAATAGAATGTTCTAGAATTTTGCTCGCCTCGCTTGTGTCATCGAACTCGAGACATTGTTTCATTCGCGATATCTGATCCGGATATCCATCCGACGATTCAGGTGACATCATCCATGCTGATAACGGATTTGAAGAAAGAACTTTCGGTGCGAATGAATATACCGGTGGAGAGTCAGAAGCTCGTATTCAAAGGAAAAACGATGCTGGACGCTTCCAAAGTGGGGGAACACACTCTTGAAGAGGGTAAGTTCTTTCTTTGTGAGCTCGCTTCGTAATCCATAGTTCTTGAGATGTCATGGACCAGGCTCATACCAGGTATGCTTCAAGGGAGCGATTGCTGTGCCATGGCTATTGGAGAGGCAGGAAAGGCATCGTTTTCCGTCCTTCGGTATTCCGGTTCCTGGAGATGATTTCGTTTTTCAGGAGCGAAGGTTCATCTGGTTGTCAGTAAGGCACCAGTCGCCGGATCGTCTTCGGCATCTAGTAATAATGCATCAAGCACAACTCACGAGCCGGAATTCTGGGCGATCCTTAATGAACTTCTGTCTAAGCATTTCGCTCCAGAAGACGTGGAAAAAATTATCAAGGAGTACCGAGCGGTGAGTTGCGGTGATCTTTTATGCTATCGAAAATTGGAAAGGGCTGCATGAAACATGGCGAAGTCCGGGAATCCCATGATTTTTCTGCTCCGCAGGATCTCGAAGGTGGACTACAGTCCTTAAATCTGGACGACATCGAGCGCATGGCTCATGGAATCGTTGAGGGTCAACCGCAAGCTGCATCAAACCAAGCAGTGTAAAATAAGCTTATTTTCAAATGTCAACCTTGTACATACAGTCTTTCGTGAATTTTCTTCCGGCGAAAGCTGATCTTAGGGAAGCCTATAGGGGAAAATCGATTGTTGTAAAGAAAAACCCCGGGAAGCGCTTGGAGTGATCACCGCAACGAATAAGTCTTGCAACATCTGCGTATACCGGTATCGAGTGAATTATGGAATGATTGAAGCTACGCGTCTCTAAATGTAGAAGATCCGTGTAAAGAAGTGAGTCGACTCGAATGAGCTGATTCGCGGGCCACCGGATGAAGGTGAGCCCAGTCACATCGTCGGGCACAACGAGGCTGAAAGGCGCTGAGAAAGGAATAAACCACTCCTTTTACCTATGCAGGACTCGTCCCTGTCCCGGCTCCGAAAGTCGGGCATGTCGCAATCCTTCTCCATAGGAGAAATAATATTTTGACCCGTCGTGGTCAGCATCCATTCAGGGTGGGAGAACAATTGCTTGAATGTCGAGAGAAGCTCCCAACCTCTCAATTTGACCACTCAGACTCGAAACAATGAGAGAATTCGCCGAATCGTCTTCAGTGAATTAACTGGTGACGGATCCCTTCACGCGGCGAGTGCGGTCAGCTCTCCGGAAAGAGGTCTTCAATCGTCCCGCGTGGATTCGAAATTTGGCGCCGCCTAGAACAACTGTCAGAGCACAGAAAACACTGCTCCGGTGATCAGCTCGGCCGATAAATCGGCGGCCGCCAGAGAGAAGGTCATCCTTAGAGAGCGTCTGAGCTCCCAAGAACGCAGCGCACCTCTTCTCGTCCCCATTCGTGACCGTGAGAGGGAAGAGAGGCCTGGCAGGGAGCTTTTTTGAATTCTCGCGCCTTTCGCGACATGACATTAGGGACGGCTTTGGCTTAGCAATAAACACTGAGTCGGCGAAAATTCCAATAGAAGCGCTGAAGTTGGGAGATATCAGGTTTATATTGCGTTACCTTGCGGACTTCTGACATGGATCTTGACCAGGTGGTGTCTTGTTACCAGCAGCTCATGAAAGAATGGAATTCGAAGAGACCGAACTACATCGAGAAATGTGGACAGCATCTCGCAAAACTGAAGGTAGGATAACTACTTGGACTCATTCGCCAAAGAATCCGTCGATTTGAATCATCTGTGTGTTTTCATCTTACGGAAGGGTCAAAATCTGCGTGAGCTCCTGGTCTGGATCATTCTCTCTGAGAGATCACCATCACTGTCCGAGAGATGAGGGATCGTGAGATTTTCAAGCGCTGTGCCGACATCTCAGATGTAATCGTATACCATCGAGCCTCCTCTTGGCGGTCCGTGTGTCCGAGTTTCGGGGAGCTCGTCGGTTGGTCCTCGTCCTGCCGCGTTTTCCTCAACTTGTAACTCCATGAGTATAGGGGGAAGGGGAATGCTCGTCCCATTTCTGTGGTCTGCAGGCTGATTCTGCATCCCCCGCAGTGCTACGATTCGCCGGTATGAATTGATCGAAACTCTGGATTCCCCTAATTGGAGGAATTCCTGCGTGCCTGATGTATTCGGAGAATTCGAAGATATGAATAGGCGAGAATGAGACAAATCCATTTGCTTCCCCTGCATCCACCTATGTCGTCGAAGTTCGCCGGTCTCTGATTAATTCCGACTCCTGAATAGGATGCACTTCCCGACATTCTTCCTTGGCGACTAGCCGATCGTTGATCCTCATGATTGGACGGCGGAGAGATCTACCGGAGCTGGAGCTCCGCAGTTCCCCAACGAGCTCTTTCGTTTCGAATATATTCTTAGCTGCGAAACTACTTCTGTGTCTCTGCTCACTCAGTATGTTATATATGGATTTGGTGACTCGGAGTACTTGACAGACTAGCGAGGTCCTGTTCCGACGGCAGATTCCTAGTCGGTAGCAGGCTCGGACCTAGGCGTGCGAGATCTACGCAGAGAGGCTGATAGGATTGAGATTTCAGGTCGGATTAACTCACTGCGCCTTTCTTCCGACGGCTGAATGCGAAAATAAGAAGGAACTCTTGGTGGCCCGCGATATCCTCGAAATTGGAGCACAATGGAGCTGCGCCGCGCGAGATATACCTTCTTTTGAGAGATACCTTTCGATGCTAAAAACGTACTACATGGATTACAAGTAAGATTGGTTAACAGTTTCTCTATTCATCTGTCTAGAAGCCCTCGCATCTCATTGAAGTCATGCCGTCTCTTGAAATTCCCCAAAGTATCGAACGAGCTTCCCGGGGTCGTGGCGCTTTGCGCAATAGAGAAGATCGAGTCGGTCCCTTCAGCCAAAAGCTGACTGATGCTCCGTCATGGGGTGTGCGAGGGAGGGATCTGGTGTCATGGATAGAGCCAATGGTTCCTCAAAGCGGTCTGAGCCGGTTCTTGAGGAAAAAATAGAGTCGTTCCCGCTCCAACTAATTGAGGATGATTCGATTCCAGGAACGATCTGCCGGAATCCTCCTACAAATACCAGCTCTTGGGTTTGAACTTGTTGTGTCTCCTGGCGCAGAATCGGGTGGCCGAGTTTCACACAGAGCTGGAATTGCTTCCACCGAAAGAAATTCAAACCAATGTCCACATTTCCCATCCAGTCTCAATGGAACAGTTCCTGATGGAGGGGAGCTATAACAAGATCTTCCTCTCGAAAGACAATGTCCCCGCTGCGAGTTACACTTTTTTCATGGACATACTTCTGGATACCGTCCGTGGAGAGATTTGCAGCTGTGCAGAGAAGACCTACGAGAGAATTTCGGTAAGGAATGACGATCGCAGGTCTTGATTAAATAATCGGTGGAAGTCGATCGAAAGAGTTCCGGATCCAAGGAAATTCACGAACTTCCTTGGAGGGAGCTCCTGTACCGGAGTAGCTCCTGGGCTCCGATTGCCTAATCGGAGACTCAGCGGATGTCATGCAGAAAGTTTCGGGCTACTGACGTGGTCATCTCTCTTCTTGCAGCTGCCCGAAATCAGTCGGATGTTATATTTTGATTCGGTGAAATCCGCCGGCAATTACCTGGCAGTTCGGGGCTGGAAATTGCAAGGGAACGTCTTCGTGTTGAGCTCGCCGAAGGACTGTAAAACAGAAGAAACCTTTATACCGGCTGACACTTTTGCATCGAAGACGATTGATTACGCCCGTGAGATGGAGCAGATCGTGTAAATGATTTCGTGTCACGAAGAAATATATGGAAGGCGAATGAGGGAATAAATATATGAATTTACACAATATGGAGCGACAGATACTCTTTATTGGACCGGGATCGGATTCATTCTGCGAAGTGACAATCCGCTCCCCATTCGATGCGGAGACGCTCCGATCGCGGCGATGAGATTCGGTTTCACCTCAGCCTCCACGCGCATCACGGAACTCCGACGCATCTATCCCGGGCCTGATCGGAGAGATACCTAGACCGCGAGGAGTCGGAACAGAGTCGCTCGCCATCGGATTCGCCGTCCACTCCACCAGATGACGTCACATCGATGTGTGCAGATCCGTTTGTGTTCGGGAAAGCGCCTTTGAGTGAGAGAGATGTAGCTTGCCGTCATGACCCCTGACATAACACACACACCATATGCTGATCGGTCATTTAATGAGTGCTCCCGCATCGGCGCTGTAGAGACGACAGCGTTGACCATAAGAGCGACAAATCCACCTTAGAATAAGCGCTGATTATCTTATCGCTAATCGCAATCGTTCTCTAGAGGAAGAAACTCCTAGTTTGGAGAAGGGAGGGAGAGTAAACCAACACTTGCATGATACGACCGCAATGCTAGACATTCTCCCGCGCTTCCTCGAACAAAACTGTAAAGAATGGTCCCACCGTTCGTAATACGGAGAGCTACTCCATATAAGCATTGAGAAAGAAATATCAGATCGGAAACTGAGCAACAACTTTATTCACGGAAAGCTCAGTAATTTCCGTGGTCAGACACGCATCCAGTCGATCTCTCTAACATGCATCTCAGCAATCGTCCATGCTTTACAATACATCCAACTTTGGACCCACATATCTTGGGATTTCTTCGAAGGTCTTAACAATCATGTCTATCAGCATGATTGTCGAGTCCTCCGTATAGATACATTTTCACATAATGTGCCGTTTGAGAATATCTACAAGAGGACGCTCTCGATGGAAGTCGGAAAAATAAACATCGAGTGCGTTCCCCGTAATTAGCCACAAACGAACTTAATAAATATATAGCAGAAAATTCTTTCTCACTCTGCTCAAACCCATCTCACAGAGAGACAGGTCCTCGAAAAAGCGCTGGGTTCAATGACCGTTCAACTTGTCGTTCAAGGAGCAAAGATACCGCATGAGCGCTCCGATAATTATTGGTTACCACTGATATTGGAAACAGGTTCCTTGTGCTCCGAATCACTGCCGGAACCGGTCAGCTCAGACCATCTGTTGAACCGGTTTCCGCAGGCATGACCTTCGCGCTAAGTAAACGGAATATATTAGAGTCGATCCGGCAGTGATCAGTGTGACGACTAGGGTTGCGTCATGGTAAGACCGATTCTCGATGATGAAGTTCCCCATGACGGGACCAATGAAACAACCTACGAAAGCCGACCAGTTCGTGACCGCCGCGGTCGCCGTATGAGCGGTCTTATTATCGCTGATCGAGGTAAGGTCAGCGACTGTCAGCAAATAACAATACACATACATCGGACCGACCGACAGTCCGAGGAGCAGTTGACAAATATACACGAGCCACAACGGGTGCTCGGCCATTGGGACTAGAGGCGCGAGGAAAATTAACGAGATTATCGTGATCAGCGGGCAGATCAGAAGCACGAGCTGTCTATGGGGTCCATCCGAGAGGAGACCCGAGACCAGGCTGGAGGCGGTGTAGGAACCCGCCGACAGGAAAAACGACAGCCCGACGAGGGTAGTGGGGAGCGAGAATCGATGGAGCAGCATCGCCAGCGTCGAATCGTTGAAAGTGTCCACGATGTTCGACGTGGCGACCATGAGCATGCAGATCAAGATCGTCGGACGCAACATTTTCTTCAATGACAGCCCGCGCTCTTCTTCGCTATCCGCTGGCGCATGTTGCGGGAGAAATCGGCCGGCGACGAAAGCCAAACCGAACAGCATCGCGCTGTGGTAGGTGAACGGGAGCGGGAAACCGCCGAGGTCGTAGAGCGCCCCCGAGATCGCGGGGCCCAAGGTCAGGCCCGTGCCGTACATTGTTTCCAGGAAGGGGACGGTCAGATGCGAATGATCGGGTAGTTCGACTCCGCTCACGGAATAAACGAGAGTGAAACCTATTGAGGCGCCGACGGATTGTACGATCCGGAGAGCGAGGAGCGCGAAGAAAAAACTCGATCCCGTCAGACCGAGGAAGTCGACTGATGTGATCGCGAGCATCGCCGTTGCGTCAATGAGGTAGCCGATGATGAGGAAACACTTGTCGCTGATGATGTTCAACATCGTGAATTTGGGTATCAACGGAAGCACTGTGATGGCAACGACACTGTTCGTGCCCATAATTATTCCGTACTGCATCGTGGACATACCGACACGTTGCGCGTGTTCCGAGAGGAACGACGCCATGTGCGAATCGCCGGCTCCCTGGAGGAGTAAACCAGCGCACAAAATAGTCAATATCAAGCCCACCGATATGGGGGCTTTCTTGGTATTCATGTCGCACGACCGTCGCCACTCGCTCGTTCCGCGCTTCCAGCCACGACGAAAAGAGTCTATCAACATCGCAAAGCCGCATTGGAGAGAGTCCGTCACGCTTTCCACGCTGGAGAGATTCGAACTACATACTCGGGCAAACGATTTTTCCAATTTACCATTCAGGCGTTCGATTGCGGATCACATGTGGTACGCTTTTCGTTCTCATTTTATCCCGAGCCCCACGAAATACCGTCCGTTGCGGGTGATACACCGAAGGCTCGTTCTATCGATCTAGTTGGACTGACGGACACGTTTCGTGCTGTGTGTCTCGAGTATTTCGTTTCACTAGATCTGAGCTGATACATGTGTCAATCGCAAGCAATGCAATCCTCCCGGAGATCTTGTAGAACGCGGTGTTCATTCCCTTCCGCGGATCGGTCCACGAGAGAAACCTGATGATCCGATGCAGATACGCTCATGAATCCGATCATACCATCATCGGCTAAAGGGATGCTTCACCTCGGCAAGGCGAGCAGATGTCAATCAGAGCCGCTTGTGCATGTGACTCTCATCGTAAGCAAGCTCGGCCTGTCCGGATACTTAAGCTCGGATGATCGCTGATTTTAGTTCGGCTCTGACGGAGGGATCGCTACGCGGAGCTAGAATAACAAGCAATTGAAATCGCCACAAGTGTTTTCCTGACGTCCAATGAGCCATGGAAATTTTCGAGAGTGTATTTCCTGATACTGTCGGAGTACCGCAAAACATCGTCAGCATAGGCGCTCCCCGATCAGCCCCGGCTGTCTCGTTCCGATCCGAGGGGATATTCTTGTGAGACCGGGGGATAGAGAGTTCCGGACGGAGGAGTCTACAATGCCCGTGAAAGTCCAATACTCATTCCGCCGGACGGAGCTCGCGTGAGGTTAGATTGGTGAACTATCGCGTTTCAGATGGTGAGTCCGGCGTCAGAACTTTTGACCTGATTTAAAGTCGGGAACATCGACCCCTATCAGACCGCACATTTTGACACAGGCTCCATCCCAGAGGCACCCCTTCGACAGAGATCGTGGACTGACCGATCAGCCGGGAGTCGAGAGTCTTAATCCTATGTCCTAGGATCGATGGTTCCCAGCCCTATGATCTGGAGCTAGCATCGATAGTCCCCGGTCCGGATCACGTTTCCGAGAACTTCCACTCGAGCTCTTAACCGACTGAAGTCAGATCGTCACAATAATTAATCGCGCCGACTCTACCGCCGAGCCGAGCTCTCGTCGAAGGCAAGCTTATCTTGACACCTGACCCTGAGAGCATCGCATACGGAGCTCTGGATGCAGCAGACTCGTGGAGGAGCTGTTCGTAGCTTGGTGCAACCGCAGCGCCGATCCTTTGGAATTGGAAGCAGCGAAATCCGAGAATTCCCATCATGGTACGGAGTTCTCGGGAGAAATGCAGGACCTATACCGAGAGTTCGACCCCGTTGCTTCAAAGAGAACGCTTCTATCGACGTTCGCAGTGGTCGAGTGCGGCGTCGTTCGCGCTACCGTCTCATCTTGAACAGCTTTTTCCGACGGATCATGCAGCTCGTCCGGGCCTACTTCCCTGGCATTCCAGGTATGATCTCGATCATCGAGCATGAGTCCCGGTGCGTAGCGCGTCGGAGGATCTCGGAAATCGTCAGGAAACATACCTCATGTAGAGCTAGGCGTTTCAGGCAATAAAAAGTCGCCTAATCGGCAGGCAAATTGGCACTGAAAAGTGGCAAATTAGGCACTGGAAGTCGGTAAAATAGGCAATATCGACCAAGGCGGGGAATTAGAGAAGCGCCGAGCTGAGTCCGGAATGCGCGAGCGCATGGGATTGCTACATCTCGTCGAGCATCGAAAACCTATTGGAAACAGTGATGGAACAGATGTGTTAATCACAAAGAAATTCTCTGGTATCATGTTTTATTCGATAATAGAAGCGTCGTAACGGAACTCGTAGCGGAAATCGAAGATTCCTATGCTGAGAGAACGATCTCTCGACACCAACGCTATCGAGAGGAGCATACGTGAACGCGGCGATTTCCGAGACATCGAAATCGGAAACTTCATGACAGACTCCTTCGCCGACCATGGCTCGTCGCACCATACAAATCGTCCTCAATCCGGTATTTTTTTCCAAAACTTTCTCGGATTTGGACCTTATAAGCTCAGCATTTCTGGCCGACGCTTGATGCTAGAGTCAGCCTGATATCTCAAATGATGTCGAGGGTTGACGAAAGACGCTGAGTGGTGCATTCTAGTTTTGTAATGCTCCCCGGGAGCTGACGAAAGTTTGAGGCAATGAATGCGAGGCTAGATCTGACATCGGAGTTGGCGGCGATTTCTTTTGCCTTCCGCATCGCAGCCGCTTCGCTGCTGTCGAGCTCATCCAGCACGTTGACGATACTATTCAGATTGATCGAATAATAAATGGCTGCACTCAGTCATGTGCCCCAACGGGTAATTACTGGCGCAGGGGGAAGCGCTAAAGCTGGAGCTGTTTCTCGAAAGACTTCAACTCGAGATGGAGCTTTTGAAAAAACTTTTTTCACGCTAAATATCAAAGAGTCGACCTCGGCGAACGAGACCCGCATCTCTTCACAGACTCGGTGTATGGCATGTGCCAAACAGGTTACATGTACCATTCTTTGAAAGATTGCTTTCAACTTTCAAGCCGTCTCCTGCTTTTTTCATATATGGTTGCACCCAGAGGCCATCGGAGGGACGGCAATGAGACGAGAAAGAAGCAACTTGGGCAAAATGCCTTTCGAAAATTGATTATAGGCACTAAGGAGGAATCTCGGAGAGGAAAGGCATTTTCGGGCATTTCAGGCATTTTGCCTCAAAAGCCCAGCTCTGCTCATGAGAATCATCATGAGTACCGTGAATATTGAGAATTGATGAGCAGGCCCGTCTATTTTTCGAGTCCCTATAGGTTTTCCCTTCGCTAGAGACTGCTCGTGTGATCGAGACTACTTTTCTAGATTTTGTCTCTCCAAGATGAGGACAGAGCGAGTTTTTTCCTGAATGCTCATGCCTCGGGATTCGTCGAACAGACGGAATAGTCCATCGATACCGTCCTCGGGGATCTTTCTCATCAGTGTTCCGAAGAGGGATACCAATGTTCCGGCTCGAGGAGGTGCCTATTTATTTGAGACCGCTCGTAAGTTCGCGACTGCACCTTTATGTATTACAAGCCCCCAAAACGTGCCACACTACTACTCCATCAGAGACTGCTCTTCAAAAATGAGAGGATACGATATCCACAGCATACTTGTATTAGGCGATTTCGGATGAACTTGAGCTGCAGAATGCCGGGAACACGAACGCGTTTTTCGAATGCTTCATATTCCTTCTGTAACATCAGGCCCCTGCTCGCGGCAATGCAGCGATTTCATTCTTCTCGAAGCACTTAAGGATAGTGGATCGAATCCCCCCGCCTCGCAGAGAGTTCCGCGTAAGAAAAAAATCTTTGGTCTCGTAGAGGGTCTTCGACATTCGGAATATTATTGAAAGAGATCTTGAGCTGTTGGCCATCTCCCGTAGGGAATGTTCCCCCGACGACTCGTACGCAGATGCAGGTTCGGACAATTTACGATCGAGCTGACATTCACGCGCGTATCGGGCAAAACGTTGTGCGTCCTTTTCAATCGTGATCTCGGATTTGCCGCTCCCTTGTGCTACCCAAAAAAAGTTAGGAATCCTTCCCTTTTCTCCCCTTCAGAACATCACCAGGCCACCCGATATCTCTCCCGATGCTCGCCAATCCCGCATTAAGATTCAACTGATGATTTCTCTCTCCCATGTCAGATTCGTAGACCGCCGGTATGTCTTTTTGCTCGGGACCAGTTTACCGTAAACGTCGTCATGACGAGGACTCGAGCGGCAGCGGTAGGTCCACCCATCATCCATTCCTAGAGATTCTTCCGACTTGTAGAGATTATCCTTGCCATCGCTTATTTTCGTGAGCTTTCCATGGTGAACACCGTATATTCCTCTCGTATCTCGGTCCTATGGAAGAGGGAGCTTGACATCTGATCGCACAAAGGGAAAACGTGGAGCATTCAAGTGGGCCGAGAGAACTGTTGGATACTGCTGAGGTAATTTTTTTATGGGATTCCACCCGCAGACAGGCCTCGATCCGTGAGCCTCAAAGCTTCCGCAGCGGACTCGCGATCATCGGTCAAGAAAGCGAGGAAGTTCGTCACCTGGAAGGATCTGAAGAATCGTAGGTGGCGAACATGTTTTCGAGGACACGGACTAGACATTCGAAGGCACGGCAACCCCTCTCGTTCAATGTTTCAGAAGATGAGTCCCGCGGAAGTCGCACGGGATCTTGGATCGAATATCGTCCTCACCGGGTTCAAATTCGGAAAAGCAAGAAATCGGGACAAGCGGGAAAATTGATCGGTGAGCCGAAAAGTTCATTTCACACAACGACAAGCATGCGCATTCCTCTCAGGGGTGACACACTATCAGGTTTCCGTTTCACACATTCTCTTTTCAGATCGATTCAGGCAGCTTCCCGGTAAGTCGACCTACGGTCCCGAAGGGGCCCGATCAGAACCTCCGGAACGGGACTCTATCCCGGTTCCTGAAATTGGTGGTCATCCTCACCATCGAATCAATTGCAGCTTCTTTCTTCGTGCACCTGAGTCAGACGCCTGAATCTGCTGGGAGCGAATGGGAGATCGATTCGAGTGAGTTCACGCGGATGATCATGCTCATTTTGGGATAGGACTCTCCCGATCCTGATCTCTTGCAAGTTGCGGGAATCGTGATTATTCAGGTTTATGCTAATGATTTCTCTTCAATTCTCCTCAAGTCGAGATCAAGGTCCTGGATGAAGTAGTAAACGACGGGGGATCGGAGAAGAGAAAGGAAAGAAGTTTTGTCATTACAAGGGAGAGTCTAGCCGCTGGCAGAAACAGGAGGGCGTCAGCCGGGTCGGCTGACCTCAGTCAAAGTACAGAGTCCGACGCGGACGAGAGGAGTCCAGAAGAAAAAATCACGGTCAAGACGAGAAACACTTCGCAAGTCGCGAAGGATGAGATGATGGCCCTTCTCAGGAATCGGGTGAAGAGAGTTCGCAGGCGAAAGTCGTCAACAGGTTCGATGCTCAACTTCCTGATAGGTGAGCTCAGACAGTCAACGGTCAACTGATCTGGAGCGGATCCCAGCCAAACGCAAGAATCGCTCGAACCGAAGACGATCAGTCGAGGCTTCACTTTCATGAGAGAGCTTCACAAAACTTCTCATTCCAGATCCCCAAAGCGACTGCAGCAGCTACAGTTCAGCCGATTGAAGGCTCCTAGGATTCCCCCGAGGACCTCATGCTCCCGTCATTTTTGCAACACCGTGCGACATACTCGCAGCTTCGTTCTGCGATGATCGTAGTCCGTCAGCGCGGATTGGTGATGAATCAGTGAATAAGTTCAATAGATTTTGGATACGAGCTGCAACTGGTCGGAGCAGCTGGTTTTTCCCCACATCATCGACTCGCAGAGACTCGGATGCTCCTCGAAATCATTTTACAACTCGCTTTTCTCGGCCGATGTAACTTTGTGTCTTCGTTACTATAACCGGCTTTCTAACCCGATAATTCAAAAAGTCTGTCAAGACATATCGGTTCGGGAGAATATATTGTGTTCGTTTACTATTAAGCACTGAGAGTTTTTTTTTGGTTTCGCTCCCTTCCTTGGATTTCGCAGCAGAGCGACTGAATCAGTAGGCTACAACACGGTTGGGTTCTGAATTTTTCTCAACTCTACCGTAGGGGCGCTCCAGCGTCGTTTCTCATCGGTGCGCCCATGGGGCTTGTCGAAATCTGAGCGTATGAGGAAACCTCAGCTCGATACGGAAACAATAGAATCCGTGAGGAGATGGGTATGCCTGGGGGATACCCGCCCTCGCTCACGACGGCATAGGGTCGCGCTCCGGTCCACCCATTGTGCCGTCTCTCGCTGAGATGCACGAAGGAGATGGCGCCAGGTAGAGATAAATTTGCTCTGGAAGCATTCTGTCGAATGTATACTCTCTTCGGAATCAGAATCCAAGCCAAACAGCTTCATCGCTTCGCGGATAGTCAACGGAATTCTTGGAGTAGCTGTGCGTTGTTGGTCCTCATTCGACTTCTCGTGCTCGCGTCTTTCGGCGTTTACGTCACAGGCAGCTCTCTCGCACTCTACGACTACGTTGACGACAAAGCCTCCTTGCTGGACTTCGTGCGGCTTTTCTACAACATCGCGTCGTATTTCACGATTTTCATCGGTGTGGTTGTGTTGAGTATGCACGAGGAGGAACTTTCAGAGATTCTATTTCGATCTGAATTCTTCCCGACCGACTTCGATGGCGATTGCTTTCTCAGAGCGATTTTATGCAACGTGCCTTCGTTCGCTATCGATCTGTATCTAGCAGCGGACGCTTTCGTCAGGGAAAGATCGCGGCTGATCATCACTGGCTACATGTGCGGAATTTACGTGTGGCAAGGTCAGATGGCCGCCTTCGCCATGTACATGGAATGTCAAACCGTAGTTCTCGGACAGCTGCGGGAACTCTCTGCCATGGTGCGCGCGAGCCCTTTCAACGAAGAATCCATCATCCGCATCACCGCCGCGAAGCAGTCCATACGGAATACGATTGCGCGGCTGAACAGCATTTTCGGCAATTTTTTCCTCGTTTACTACTGTAAACTATTCACTCTTATGACGCTGCGTATCGGTGCCGTAATATTGTGGGGAACAGAACATAACTTGGCTTTGTGGCTGAACTCCGCTTTCTTCTTCAGCTTATCCTTCCAGATTATCCAGACCTACGGCACGACGAAGGTCGGTTCGGATATCATCGCTGAATCCCTCAATCTTGAGCGTTTCCTCGATCAGCCTCGCAGATCGTGGGACGGTGCTCGGCAGAAAGCTTTGATGGAGGTCCGGAGAATTCTCAAATATCACGATTATTTCGATGCATTGCTAATCTCCGAGAGTTTCATCACTCAGAAAGCCACCACGTTCACTTTCCTTGGGACATCTTTCACTTGCGTAGCGATAATTCTCCAGTTTGACTGCGATATACTCAAAATACTTGAACTCGCAAGGTCAGATTTGTCATAAAAGACGGACCTTCGCGAGTCCAGGGGACCTCTACCGTGAACCTTGGAGTTTCCCCCTCCAAGGAGAGATTCCACCCGGACGATAGTCGACCCAATTACGTAGCTCAACGTCCGGGCGATGAGAGACTCCTAGGTCGAGGCTCCATCCCATAGTCCATACCGAAAGACTGTCTCGATGATGGATGAAGGATGTGAACTGTGATGGACAGTCTCCAATCAAGTTGACGGACACACATGGGTCGAGCCAATTAGTCACTATTGTAGTCCGAAATCCGTTCCGTTCCTCTCATTTTCTCTACGGATCCCCCCGCTCGCTATCCCCAATTCCTAGACCTCGATAGAAAAATGGCTCCGACTAGTTGTCGATGAACTGATACGGTCCGGAATTTATTTTTGTTGAGCACTAACAATAAATACATAAATGATCACTAGATCAGGAGGGGACTTTCTTCGATGACACACTGTTGGGCGCGCGGCCAGTGCCATGTCATCTGAGGCGGCATGTGAAGAATCTAAGCGAAGAACGACATTCGTCGGGGCATGTCGATTCCATATATCAACGTCATTTGAATAAACTAGAGAATGGTGTTGCTGTTCATCGACGCGTGCGAAAGACTCGAGGGCGCTTCCAGTGCAGCTCGTTTCTGCAGCCGACTCCGTAGTCGTTTGATAATTCTCAGTCGCTCCAACCAGTTATTGACGTAGGTCTCTCCGCTCCGATGGATAGTGGAAGCGATCTGGAATGCGATTTCCATTCAATCAAAGTTTATAAATTGAATTTCGAATCTTGGAATTTCTACCTCTGTAGTCTCAGACGGGAAGGATTGAATTGTGCCACGGAAACTCACGTTCATGTGCAGGGCGAGCTGTCTGGCATACTTCGGGAGAGCCTCGTCGTGGATGGCGCATCCCCGCGTGACCTCCTCGTCTGCTCCGATCTGGGGAAGCGATGAATACACGAATGTTAGATCGCCCGCGATTCTGATTCGCAGAGGAAAAATCTAAGGAAAACTCACGAACCTCAGCTTGTAACTCCTTGCGGAGCCACACCCGGACTACCGACGTATTCTGGCACTGAGGAGTGATGATGATGCACGCATGTAGAAACTGTGACTGTGGATCCGAAAGGGAAAGTGTCAGTTCCGAACGCGGCGGAACAGAGTCCCGAAAGGAGAGAAGACCGGCCGTCGACTCACCCTGGCTGGAGGGACGTATTCGCTGCCCGAGTTGTTGTAAACTATGACAACGTAGTCGTTGCCGATGTGTTTCTTCTTTTCAGCGCAATGGGGGTCGGACTTCTTGGTCGGCATGAGGGTGGCAACGTGGAACATAACCTGCATCACGTCGTCATGCCAAGCTATAGAGAAGCTGCCATCTTCACCCCATTTCGTGTCCAGACCCCCATTGTATATCGATGCGCCGTCGATATCCTTCAGACAGACGTACGTTCCGAGACCTTGCAGGAACTTCATGTACCTAGAAGGCGTCGAGCTTCGTGAAACGGGTTCAAAGAGCGCTGTTGGACCTCAAGACGAGGAGTCTGATCCGGGAGCGCATCGACATTCCCGAAAACCAATCGAGATTTTCAATTACGCTACCTCCGACTGCCGAATACGTTGGACAGCATGGCCGGTTCCGCCTCCTGATCCGCGTCAACGTAAACAATGCCGATTTTGTGGGTCTCATAGGCGAGGGTTCGATCGAGCACCTCGAGAGAGTTGTTGTACTCGTCGGCGTTCGGAGGGATCTGGAATTCGCAAGAATTTCGAGTATTCGCATAAACCAATGCGGCTTTCTTCATAATGGAAGCGCATCGATACCAGAGGAGGGGTCCTCGGGAAGAGAGGGGGGGGGGGAACGTCACCAAGAGCGGCTGCATCTGACTAAAGTGTTTCGTCGGAGCTCCGTCCATTCCTCGGACCGGTTCTTCAGCAAAAAGCCGATTGAAGAGGAACATCGGCGACAAACAGGCTCGATCTGTTGGGGGAACCGAGGCCTTAGATATCAGGAATCTCTTCACGCGAACTATTCGAGCGTGTGGTGACTCACCAGAATAGGCGACTTCATCTTTCCAGGGGAAAAATTCGTTGCTCTGTCTCGTCGGTGTCATGACGGATATCGTCTGAGCCCGGTCCCGGAACCCGAAGCGATCCGAAGACTCGAGCTGGGAATCTGGGGAGAAGGTGATGTTCTGGGCCGCCCTCCTCGACTTTGGCTCTTCTGGTATGGAAGCGATTTTCCTGGAAGCAGAAATGAACGGTCAGCCCGCCGCTCACCAAGTCAAACGAAGACTGCCCCATAACCGTCGTATTCGAGAAATCCGTTTAGATATCCAGTGCTATTTCTACACGGAAGTGGACTCACTCTATCCGTGGCGACTTTTTGCTTCCTTGACGTTCTTTCTCCGTCATGGAAACGGATCGCTGTATCAGAGGCTTGGGGGATGGCTCAGTTGGAGATGACGGAGCGGATTTCCTGACCGGAGGGGTCGATGGCTCCTCTTTTCGGGAACCAGCTTCGCTCTCGGTCTCGGATTGCCTCATAGTCGCAGAAAGGTTCACAAAGATGGATGTTATATCCGGAATAGCAACATCCTGAAACGAGGAGTCCCGCGTATTGATAATTGACTCCCGAAATTCGGTCGGGTCAGTTGAGCTCCGAAATGAAAATCTCCCGATCCGCAGGGAACCCTAGGCACCTTTCGATATGGTAGCTGAGAAGAATGTCTTACGTGGAGAGGCATGGTCGAAAACAGATCGTTTTGCAATCTCAAAGTCCAAGACGTTACTCCAGAGGGTCTTCGCACAGTTACCTCAGCCCAATTCCGACACCAGCAATTACAAACTCGATGGAGAACCATTCCACCATCTGAATTCGCCGATCCGGAGGAACTTGACTGTGAAGACATTGCATTTGTTAAGCGTACAGCTTTGCCATAATTCAAATACTCGGAGGGAATTCTGTTCAGAAGAAGGCCGTGAAAGCGAAGGAAAATCACTTACTGCGAGAACACTTTCTGAAGATCCAGCTGAGATACCCTGAGCACTGTAGGCATGTACGGCCGGCTGGAATGGGAAGCGGATCGATCGTACTCAATGATTCTGGGGTCTGGTCCAGATGCGAGATACTTCCATTCGGACTCACCGGCTGACTGGTGTGCTGATAGATGTGCTCGTCCGAGCTACACTTGATCTGCTCCGATGCCTTAGCTCCCCTGCCTATTCCGAGCTCATCTCTCGACGCAACGCTCATTGAGCGCGGAGCTAACTCAGATCCGAGGCTTTTCAGTGACTTCTTACTGGAGGATTCCGCGCCGTTCGCCCCGGGGCTCGGGGATAGGTTGCCCGACGACGGGGCCAGGTTCTCCGACGAGCTCTGGCTGAGGGTGTTCTGCCCACCACAATGAGTCGACTTGCACAGTTTCAGACACCGGTCGCAAACTCCGCCAGAACTCGCCGAGATATTCGTCACGCAGCCCGATGTCGTGATGGTGAGAACCTGAAGGACACTCATTCATTGCTCTCTGGGATTTCTTCCTCGTTCGATGCTCCCCTTTAATTTTCTACCTCTGTGAATCGGCGGCTCACCTTATTACCGGCGACCCATGTGATGCTCTGGCCTCCGTTCACCAAGAAATGCTCAGCTGCGCTTTTCCTCGGCTGCAACGAGCAGGCACCTGCAAGTACGGGTGAATTCAAAATGAAATAAAATATCCCATTCCAGACGAGCCAAAGACTTTTTTGCAACGAATGCTCTCCCCGTAATCAGATCGCTAGACTGTCAAGAGACTTCCGGGCTCCTCACCCTGTGAGTACTGATTCAGGAAGTCATCGGCAGCCTCCACGAGTTCTTCCTGCAATTGAACGGCACCGGAGCCGGCCTGAGGCAGCGCACCGAGCTCGGATCTGTCCCTCTGACCACCCATGTTGGCGGCTTTTCGCTCGTTCAAACTTCCGCTGCGACTTCTCTGCATCGGCTCGAAAGACGACGTCGACGCACTGTCCAAGTTGATGGTTCTGTGGGAAAGCCGTAATGGCAGAATCCGCTGCATCGATGCCGAAGTTCGAGATCGCTCATCAAAAATTACCTGCTGTGATTGCGGAGCCGTTTCATGATGAACTGAGCGAACTCCGGTCGGAACTCTGCTCTGCATTTCAGGAACCAGAGAGCGATGACATGGTGGGCTAAGGCCACTACGTATCGCGAGAACCGTACGCTGTTCGTGTACGGCAGAGCGATGGCGAAGACCTGCGGTCGATTGATGACTTGTCACTCAGAAAAGAATTCAATCCGCGATAGATGCGCGATATGGCGCGATGCATAGATGGTCAAGCGAAATGTGAGGGATCCCTTCCCTACCTTGTTGTAGTTTTCTTTCGTGAAGGAGGAGAAAATTTCCGGCAGAGTTATCAGACAGGACAGAAAATCCAGTACCGGCAGTGCCACAGCCTTGGTGTCAGAAACTTTTGCCAGCTTGTTCAAAACTATTTCGCATTTACGGTACATCTGGTCTTGTAGTTGGAGAAGCACCAAGGTCAAACTACGGATGCATTGGGGCGCGGCTTTCGACGACATGCCCTGGACGAGGGTGCCGACGAGTTTTGTTTGAACGTTGGATTGTAGCTCGTTTCGGTGAATGGGGAAGACCACCAGTATAGGAAGAACCTGGAAAGGGAACGAGGGGGTCGGCACCGAGCTCCGGAAAAATCATCGAACTCCTCCAGGAGTCTAATCGCGACACTCAATAAGCTCGAGACCTGCCATAGGAGACCCATACTTTTTGCTGGAGATCACTGAATGTTACTTGACTCGTCCGCGGAGCGTCCTGGTTCTCATGCTTGAAGTCGGCGACTTCGGAATTCGCGAGTACTTTGAAACGAGTCTGATCCGCTACCATCGAGCAAAGGAGATTGCAGTACCTGGGGGAGGGTAAGAGCGATTAGTCGGGAAGATTCGATCTGCCCGCACGAGACTGACTCGGGAATCATTCCCGACGGTAGACTGTCCGTTCGAGCTGAGGACCCTGTGCGTATCGAATCACTCACTTTCCAATAGACTGATGTCCACCGAGCAGCATCACAGGCCGGTCCTGGAGGAATCTGGACAGCCGATCGGTCATGGACATGAACAACCGCCAGTTGGTTTCAGACTGCAATATCGAGTTAGCTTCAGATTACAAGGGGAGCGGAATCAAGGGAGAGCGGAACGCTGACCGTTCCATCAAAACTGACATGAGCGATTTCGGGGGGGCACTACAGAGATGAGACATCTGTACCTCGATAAAGGCCGTGATGACCGGTGGAACGTTGCTAATGTTGACCACGACGACATCGACTCCTTGCTGATTCAGATGCTCGATGTAGGAAGTGTTGGGATTCATCACAAAAACAAACGGCGAACACCTACGACGGTCGGAAATGACGGTCATCCTCTCTATCTCACGAATTTCCACTCCTCTCTAGTTTTTCCGATCCACGAATGTGAATATGAGCAGCCCTGAGTGGTATCCAGAAAAATATCCATGGAGATCTGACTTGGTGTAGTCTCCCCCCTACTTCTCTCGGCATGGGGGTCTCATTGAGAGTTTTTCATAGAGATTTTTCCGGGTACAACTCAACGCAAAGTGAGTTGTACTCATGCACAATTTCCTTTAATTTTTCCCTCAAGCCGGCGACTTGCGACCCCGATATCCGCGAGCTATACGGATGAGATTTTCTCTCAGAGGCAATTATTCCTCACTTACACGACTGTGGAACCCTCGTCGTTGTCCTTAATGACTTCAATGCACAATTGACCCCTCGAATTCATTCGGAATGATAAGAGTAACTCCATGATCAGCTGCCGGCTTTTCACCGCAACCGTCGTGTCCAATGGAGAGGCGCCCTCGCCGGGAGGCGGGCAGTACTGTAATTTAGGGGTTTGCTGTCTTCATCACATCGAAACTTGAGTGGGTTATGGCCGCCCGCAGGCACCGCAAATCCCTTGAGCTCCAGGAGCATTTTACGAACCTGTCGATTTATCCACGAAACGAGTTTTTCGACGATTCGCTGGAGAGTGTGAGGCGTTGAAGAGTTCAGCTCATTGCGGAAAACATCCACAAGGCATTCGATCGCAACCGCCGATAGTTGCACTTGTAAAGTATTCAAAACCTGCAATAGTAAGCGTGAGATGTCATCGATGGGAATCTCCGTCGAGCTCATCCCTCTTGGCGTGTATCGCAAAACGTCTACACTGGGGGAGCTCTCTTGGGGAAACCCACCGTTTCCAATATCTCGACGCAGGCCTCTTTCGTTCTCTTCCCCGGGTTCGGAAGTTTCAAGCAAAGGGTTGAGATCGTACTGATGGCTTCCTTGCCCACAATGTGGTCTCGCTCTTCAGCAACTTTTCCTGGGGGATCGAGAGAGAGTTTTCTTCGTTCTCAATGGAAACTTTTCAAGAGAGAAAAATGTTCGGACGCCAGGCTATTTCATAACAGCATCAATGAAAATTCTCATCTCGAGTCGGCCTCGAAGATTTACCCAGGTACGGTACGATGATATGCTCGCAGATTTCCTCATCGTAGAAAGTTCCGAACGACGTAATGATGTCTTTCAGAACCGAAAGCGCTTTCAGTCGAAGCGTCTGCGGCCCGTTGTTATAAAACGTTTCCATGAGGGCCCCGAGTCGCGCGAGCCAATCACTCGGATGTCGCTTTACGTCGGCCGCGCGGTAATCCAATAAACGGGTTAGCGAAACTTCCTGGAAGCGGAGCTGGTTTGAGCCTCCTCTTCGCACGTCGACTCGTGCACAATTTCCTTTAATTTTTTCCTCGAGTCACTGAGGCTAGGTGTATCGATCACGTCAGAACCCACCGATCGCTGGTGATGGGGTGATTTCTCAACGAGCTCAAAGAGCCGCTCCTTATCAGTGCCACAGATAACGCCCTTATCGGCGAGTGTTTCAAGCAAGAGATAGAGCTCGGTTATGAGCGTTACACAAATCTCGCTGTCTCCCGGTTTGTTTCCATACTGGCTATCGGATAGCTTCGGCAGGACCTGGAATAGGGAGAGGTCTCAGGCGGGCACGGAACAGTCCCGAGCGAGAATTCAGCCACGAAGGGAATCGGTGGCGGATGGAAAGATATTTCGAATGAGAGAATCACCGACCTCGATCAGTCCATGGGCGACGTCGAGGATCAGGGTCCAGTCGAAAACGGATTCGTAGGCCCGATCGTCCGGGCCTGCTTCGGCCGTCTGTGTCAGCAAGGAGCATAGAGTTCGGCTGACCTCGGCAGCGATGACAGCTTTTCCGCTCGAAAGCGCCTTCAGTGAACGAGCTCAGATTAGCCGCTATGCCCTCGAATCGTCTGCCATCTATCCCTACTGCCCAATCGATATAATTTCACCCCGCCCTGAATATCCCAAGGGCGCGCCTGACGCGAGCAAATTCCCTGTCAGGCAACACGAGGTGCATTCGATCCGAACCTTTTTCAAGGCGACAAGGTTAGCCGTGTGGCCGCAGGCTACAGTCTCGTGGTGAGCGGGATTCATGGCAAACCCTAAAAATATCACGGCTCCTCGGGGGAGATTGGCGTCTTTGAATCTGGAATCAAATCGATGAATCTCAGACCAGGAACGGCGAGAGAGACCACAGGATAGGTAGAAAATATGAGATTTCGACGCTCCAGAGAAAAAATGAGGTCGGCGCTTTGATGAAGTCGAGTCTCCTTTCGATGAGGCTTCGCTCACCTTTCGGGTTCCTCGAGAATTTCACACATCTTGGCCACAGCGGCTCTCCCAAGATGCGTGCCGAGTAACTTAGTCATTAATTGGAAAGAAGCCTTCTGTAATCTGGGGGCGAAAAGAAATTTTCAGTTTCAGCTCCACTCTGGAGCTCGACAGCTCCGCGAAGAGCCTCGGCCTGACCGAGCGCGATGAATTCCGGGCGGAAAGGGGACAGAGAAACTCACGGTACGACGAGAACTGTTCGACAAACAGTGGGAACCATGTATTCCAGGACCTCCGTTCTCAGAAGCGAGTAGCTCACGAGACAATCCAGAAGTTCTAGAGCCAGTTTTATGTTCTGTTCTGACGCGGTGGAATAGCAGAGCATGCACGTTTCTCTGTGGATGAAAAAGAATTTCATGGCTGAGTGAACGAATCCGGATAGCGCGGAGGCTTTATGGCGATTCCGCAATCGCCACTCTCGGCATGGAGTCGCCTCGAACTCGTTTGGAATCGAAAGGTACGCACTCGATGAGCTTGTGTATGATGTCCCTGTCGAGGAACGCCGAATTGTACTTGACCAGGTTTATAACGAGTTTCAGGTAACTTGGTGCAAAGGTAGTCTGCAGAACTTGGTGCATCCATTTGGCAATGAATTTTGCTGAAAGCAGAATGGGTTTCGAGTCAATCACCGCGACTCGATGGACATCGAACGATCGATCTCCGATACGGCTCCTCTGAGAGTAACGGAACTCTCCGGCTTGTTATCGAGCGAGTTTACTCACGCGCCTCTCTCTCGAAGAGAGCGATGCATTTGCCTTCTTTTGTCAACGCCTGAAGCAACTTCAGACGTCCACCGATATCCTGGAAAGATTATTCGAACTCCTCCCTGAGCGGAATCCATCGTATTCCGAATTTCTATCAGAGACCGTCTCCCCAACTTGTAGATAGTTTACCTTATCCTTGTCCCTGGACTTCCATTCGACTAGACCGAAAAGATGTACCCTGGCTAGGCCCAACTGCTCGAACTGCGTATTCGAGACCACGCAGTAGAAATCCAGGACCTCCTCTCGGACACTCAAGCTCTGGGCGGGCGATAGCAGATCATTCGTCAACGAATACAACGTGCTGACTTGCTCCTAAAGAATGGAATAAAATCCCGTCGAAGGTTCCACATGGTGTTCTCCGCTAATCCAATCAGCATCGATCTCGAAGGGTTCGCGCATTATCGCCAGGTGAATGAAGAGTGGATGCGAGGCGGAAGCGAGAATACAATTTTCTGCGGCTTAAATTCAGCGAAGAAGAAGAGAGAAGAAGGGAAAGACCCTATCACTGGAGCTACTGGATGTTCAGGAATACTCACGGCTTCAAAACGATAGTCATTGAGGTGCTCCTTTATTTCACGTATTGTCCTGATTCGGAGCTGAATATCGTTCTTCGAGGACAAGCCCTGAAAAGCCAAGGATTCATCTCAGTACCGAGACTCGGAGGAGCGACGCCCAACCCATCTAGGACGGGGCTCTGCTGGATCTCCTCCTCCTGCCCCCCAGTCGAATAGGGTTCTAATCCAGAGTCTAATCCTTTTCCTTGGAAACGAACAGACTCGGAAATTCCCGTCAGATCTCTGCTAGTATCACCGTGGTTGTTCACGGAAAATTTCTATCCGAGGCTCAGCGATCTGTCCGTCCTCAAATAATTACGACAGACACCGCAAGGAGGAACGCGATCGTCCCTCTGGATCCCTACGTTCTGAGCCCATGCCAGAGGTCTGGCGAGCTTTCCTCTACGCCGATCAAGATCGGATCATATTAAAGAGAGAGGGACAGACTTGGATCTGGTACGGGGATAGCTGAGCGGTGACCACTCGCTTCGCTATTCCGACAAAATGAAACACTCAGCAGCGGTTTCCGCTGATTCTTCCGCCGACTCAGCTTCTTACTGTCCTCCTGACGCAACGGGATTTCCGCAAGGAATCCCGCAGCATCCATAAGATTTAGCTCGTCAGGAACAGAGCGTCGATTGACGCTGATGCGTTTTTTTTTCCGAGATATATGTCGGCTTTCGCTTTCCTCGAGCACTGATCCGAATCGCGATCGATGTCGACTCACCTCGAATACGGAGGGCTCGAACTGAAAAGCCGGTCGAGACTCGATGGAACCAGCGGCATCCCTAGGCTTCCGGAAAACGTCGAAGATCCCCTTCTTAGTTCTGGTAGCCATTCTCACACGGGGGCCCCGCTAGCCGCCTTCACCTGCACGCTGCTTCCGACGTCGCGTTAGGTGCGTGTGACATTCGTCCCGGGTTCTCGTATCGACGGAAGATTCACCGAATCGCTCGCAAGTCGAAGTAGCGAGGAGTAGTCCCCTCCACAGGGTGCGAGACTCGCGATCGATTCAGCCACCAGACGCCTTGCGCTCGCGTTTCAGAAGGCAGATGGTTCCCGCGGCGTCGGCATCGGGTTCCTACTCGACGCCGTCGACCGACCGGTGACTTATTGTGGTAACGGGATATAGTTTGTGCCGATTCTCGGCTCCGGAGAGCGGAACCTTTCCCGATTAGCTTACAAAGTAGCCCACTCTCTGGTGGTTACCACAGCTGATGGGCCGCGTATGTTTAAAAACACAGCAGACGCTTCTCCACGAAAGCAGTTCACAGATGCTCCAGCAGTACGGCGCTCGAGACCGGCGCGCCAGTTCGAATTGCCCGTCGAGATCACGGGGGCTCGAACTTTTCTTTAAATCGAAAGGCTCTTACGGCTGTACGCCATGTACAAACTTTCCGTCCCTCTGTAGCTCCCGGTCCCAGCTGCCGAAAACTGTTCGTCTTCGACTTCGGGAGGGATTCTCTTGTATTGGCCTCCGACAGACCGTCTTTCTTACGAATTCTCGAGTACTTCCTCTGCCGATAGACCTGGTTGCTTGTCACGGACGGAATCCCCCCTCCCCGAGGGCAGAAACTGGCTCCACGGTGAAACTCCACAGAGGGACCGGGTCCTGGGGCATTCAACAAAGAAGGCAGTGCAGCGTGGAACCACTTGGATGGCCTCTTTCAGACTCTCGTCTGGAGTCTAAAGAAGCGATCGAATGACATGCTGGCGCCAAACTCAGACTCGAGTCCATATCCTGACACGTCCCACTCTGAGTCCTGGTGGCGAAGACTCGGAAGGCAGCTATTGAGCGATGTGCTCTACGATTGCTCTATCCAGTGGATGAGGCGTTGTCTATCTCTATCATTGACGTCTTCGATCGTGAGACCACATGTCGTAATTTGTGGAGACGCCTCTCGATCGAGGTCTGTAGCGACACAGTCGCAGAGCTTCCGAGGAGCAAAATGGCTCTGTCCCGACGCTGAATCAGTTCCAAATGGCTGCTCTATGAGATGGGATACGAAGCTCTTCCATAAATCGAGTCCTCTTCGTGATTTGCGCGATTCTCGACGAGAAAGGGGTGAGGGGAGTACGGAGAGAGAACCCTGAAGTCGTCTGCCAAAATGTAAACAAGCAACTTGCCAGAGGGAAGCGCTGGCTCTTCGTGAACGCTGGTCTCTCATCTCTCCATTTTCGGTGGACAGAAGGGAGATATGTCGGACATGTGAGCTCGACGAACATCTATTCCCGGTCGCTGCCAAAAAAAACAGAAAACATTTGACCTTGTGGCATGAGGTGTGAGACTGGGGTCATGTCGTGAACCCGAAAACTCTCAGCCTCGAAATTGACAGCCGGGTCCATGGGACATCTGCTTCCCGGAATCTGCGGAAGATATTTGTGAACCGTCCCAAGTGATGGATTAGGCAGAGCGGCATGTGAGTCGATAAAGAAATTGAACTCCCTTCATTTCATTGTCCGGGGAAAATATATTCGGCCTCGTATATGTAGATCACAGTCGGGCACCCGAACATCTTTCCGACGTGACATTTACGCGAGCGTCGGAATCTGTCAGCGTCGGGGAGATTGGATAAAGTCCTAATCATAGGTTTCGAGATCACAGAAATAGATGGAAATCTGATGGGCTCTCGAAGCCTCCTAGTGGGAGACAAGGAAACCATTGATCGTGAACTTGTTCTTATAGACCCAGTCGCACCGGAGACTGCTGAGGCGCTGGAGGTCTCCTCCTCTCTGAGGATAAGGAGGGAAAACTCGAGGTTGACGCCATGCCATTCTCAACGTGTGCCCTCGATGGGCCCGCCAATGCTCTGGCGTTGAGTAGAGATTCTCACTTGTGCGCAGTCGCTGGTAGAACTGTATTCAAAGTATTCAATATCGATGAGCAAGACAGGATCTCCGAGAAGGTGAGCTGAGGTTTCCAACGAATCGAATCGAAGGCGTCAGATCACGCTACGCCACGTTCTCCAGCGGTAGCGCGGAGATCATCAATCTGAAACCTTCCAGGTCAATCTGCGTGTGGGGAAAAACATCAATTTGAATTATTCTTGTTCCGATGTCGTCTGGAATCCGGACCTGGAGACAGTACTCGCCACAGCTGCGACGAATGGTGCCGTCGTCATCTGGGATCTCAACAAGTCGACGAAATGCAAACAAGAACTTGTTTTAGCTTACCACAAGCGAACTGTGAACCGAGTAGTTTTCCAGGATGCCAACCTGCTGCTCTCGGGATCCCAGGTGAGCTCGATTGCGAGCGCCCTTGCTGCTACGGGACTATTGGGAGTGCCTGAAGTTCTGTCGGGGATGGGCGAGACTTCTCCGAATTGCTCGGGATTGTAACTCCTTTTCCACTCCCCTTCCAGGACGGGACGATGAAATGCTTCGATCTCCGTCGCAAGGAAGCAATTTGTACTTATCACTCGTCGGGCGAACACGTTCGCGACATCAAGTTCTCGCCGCACGAGGTAATTCAGCACCGTTGTTGGTCTTCAATCTTTGGAACTCCTCGTCTCTCCGCGCGGATCAATCGCTCGCAACACTTCATCGCTGAACAATGAAGTTGAAGCTTCGCGCTACCTTTCCCAGGTGAACTCGTTTGCCGCCGCGCAAGAGACCGGGACGGTCCAAATTTGGGATCTGCGACGGAACGATCGCTGCATCCGACAATTCACCGCTCACTCCGGCCCGGTTTTCACCTGCGATTGGCATCCCGTGGACAACCTACTGGCCACCGGAGGCAGGGACAGGGCCATTCGGATTTGGAACATGCAAAGTGCCCCAAATCTCACCCATTCCTTCAGTGAGTACGCGATCTGGGTAACTGACCGGCTCCAGGAGCCGATCGCGATCATTGGTTCGGAGCAAAAAAAATAATACGGTCAGATTGAATTAATCTCTCGCCGATCCGCAGGCACAATCGCCTCCGTGGCTCACATTCGATGGAGACCGAATCACCACAACCAACTTGCATCAACCTCTCAAGTCTGTCATTCTGACCCAATGGCTTCTCGACCTCGATGCTTTCGAGGCTCAAGAAATACTACACATACGTACCGTATTTTCTCTGATTGACGGGCAAGCCGGTTTATCTTTCAATACCTCGGTGAAATGTCCGTCTTCTAGAAGGCGCCCGTTTGATGGAAGTGTTTTGAATCTCGCTCGATTTCAACGATTTTCCCTCATTTGAGGGTTCCCGTCCATTAGAAGGTCCCTGTTTTGTTTTCGATTTCCTCGGGAGACGCCCGTTCCTCGAAGGGTGCTCGTTCATTAGAAGAAATACGGTACCATATATCTCCACCATATCAGACTGATCACTTAGTCGGAGCTCATTCACAGGTTCTGGAGCATAAAGTCAACATTTGGGATCTGCGACGGGTTCATTTCGCCGCTTACAACTTCGAGGAGCACAAGGACGTCGTCACCGGATGCGCTTTCCGGAGTCAGGGTGAAATACTCCTAAGCACTGGGAAGGACAGCATGTTGATCCTTCGGTCATTCGAGTACGCGATCCAACCAGCCACCAAAGCCAACCCGGTCAGTTAGGGTGACAGAATTTCTCTTCCGAGCCTGGAGGATTCTCTCAACCGCTCGTTTCCATTCATCAATGATGAATGGGATCATTCCAAGAATCCTGCATTTGGGATCCGCTAGCGTATGGAAGGCGTTGGGATTTCCTGATCGTGTTTCGCCTTTTGAAGGTTGCTCATCGATTCAATGCGGAAGATAGCATTGCGCTCGCGGTGTGGGATAAGCTGAAAACAGGAAGCACGAAGAGGTCGACCTACAACGTTGGCAGTAACGGACGGAAAGGAGTGCCTCAATCGAACACGGAGGACGTGCAGTCCGCATGTCGCTCCGAACTCACCGTCTTCAAGGACCTAGGTCCCGTGAGTATCTCCTCGATCCCGCGGGAGTCCCATTCGTATCCTTTCCCGTTTCAATCCGGATTCGTTTGGCTTCCCTTCCGTCAATAATAACCGTCCCGTTACATGTGTCAGGAAAACGATTATCACACTTCGTTCCTGCGACTAGCTCGGTCCTACCGATTGTTCGGGGCCCCTTTCCAGGAGCTTTGTGAGCACAACGCCAAGGTAAACGAGTTATCCGAGCTTCCGTCCTTCGGGGAGTGTGTTCTGTCTTTGACTCGAGCTCCCAGCGGAGCCTAATGTTTTTCCCCCCCTAGGTCGCAGCTGACGCGGGCATGGTACAAGTTTCTCAAACCTGGAAAATTCTCAGAACCTTATTCCCGGCACAAGGCGAGCTCGATTTGAAGAGAAATGACCCGGTGATGCAGAGATCATTCAATGATGAGAAAGGTGAGTTACAGGGTGGAAAAGATTACCACTGGGGCAGGTTTCGGAGCATCAGCAGAATCTCCCCTTGGCCAGGCGATGCAGAGTATGTGGAAGAGACCGATGCGTGCAAAGGAATTCAAAAATTGGTGCCTCCTTCCAGCTGCTTCGCAAGACGAAATGAGCCGTCACAACTCAGTAACGAATTCAACAAGATCTCGACACCCGTCTCTGAAGGATGAGGAGGATGTAAAGTCGCTCCTGGCTGCCTCCAGGGACGGAGGCGAAAGCACCGGAGGCTCTGAATCCGACGACGAGGAAGGCGACAAGGTTTGCTCTGCTCCTTATTGTCATTGATCGCAATGCGAGGGCTTCTGTCGCGACGGACCTGGCCTGAAATCAATCATCATCCATTCAGGACGACGACGACTTCATTGACTCCGAAGTTTACTCTGAAGACGAAGTTGAGGAAGCCCAAGAAATACACAGCAGTTTCTATCCGCAACCCCGGAGCAAGGTTTGCGAACAATGATTAATTATTCTCTTGCGTCTGGACTCCGGCGCAACCTGATCGAATATCATCTACAGTGGTGTGCTGTGGCTACCTTCAATTGGAAAGCTTGGTGGATGATGCGCCCGATTTTCCCATCGACAGTTCCTGACGGTGATCTCACTTCCTGTCCCGCCCACGAAACTCGAAGTTGATCTCGGCATCATAGCGTCAATGTTACGCCAATGTGTGGATCAAGGAGACGTCCAGAGCGCTGTCTCCATGGCTCTAGTCCTCGGACCTAGGATCAAGAGCGCCGTCCGAGTCGAGGAACGGTCAATCTGGATCACGAGTTATCTCGGTGAGCAATGGTCGATTCACGAGGATTCGTTTTCTCTCTGGGCGCCTCGTTTCAACCGAGGGTTTCGTGGTTGTTCTATCGTCTACCGGACTCCAGAAAAATCGCGCCGGATCGGGTTCTGGGACTGGAGCCGGCGTTCATGATTGATCGATTCAAGCTGTGAGGTGCTTATTTCAAACCTAACGGAATGCTCTAACTGTCTTCCCGCCCCTGGTAGAACTCTTGAGCCATTTCGAGCTTTGGAATATTTCGAATCAAGTCATCGTGTTGTCAGCAGACATCGATTGTATAGGAACTATGAATCAGCAATCCACATTGGTGAGTCCTCTAGGAGCAGATTGACAGCATATATAGCGGTGAATGTCATCGGCGGCAAGCAAGTCATTCGTATTCTTCCTGCAGATATACGCGGCATGCGATATTTGTGACAGACCTCTCCGCGGCGCACCGTCCGCAGGATTTTGCGTGCACTGCGCCCGTTTCGCGTCCCGCTGCTCTATTTGGTTCGTAGACTAACATACATTCATAGTTCATAAGTGGACAAATTAAACCACCGGTCCAGAACATAAACAATGGACTTGCGAGCGAGACATTCTGCTTCCGCCGCCCATTGATAACATGAGGCGTGGCTTTGCCCGTGGGGGAAGGTTTAATGAGAGGCTATAATTTTATACCGATGTTTGATGTCATCGAAGCTTATTTGGAATCTCATCGTTTCCAGTGACGAGGTCATCAAGGGTCTGTACGTTTGGTGCCAGGGCTGCTCCCACGGAGGTCACATGGATCATCTGAGGGAGTGGTTCTCGAAACATGACCAATGCCCGACGGGATGTGGTCATATTTGTGAGAAAATCGTTCGAGAAAGCCTCCCTGACTCGAGGAAAGCCGGATCCTCTTGAGAAGCCCTGGTTTAATCATAAATGATCTATCTTTAATTGTCCTTCGATCCCAAGGCGTAATCGAGGGCCTTGATGCCACAGATTGAATGGGACAGAATTTGGATTTCGAAGGAAACGATATTTAAATCCCTGTATTTTTGTACAGAATTTTTTAATTAGGCAAGTTACTATCCAAACATTTGAGCAATAAAGGAACCTAACTGTTGAATCTAAACCCTTGATGATTTTTTTTCGAGCATCTCGTTCAAGTGTCTCTCTCACGCCCGCGATAAGAGCGAAAGGTACACAAGGTCTCTCCAGATATCGCAAGCGGCTCGTTTTGGGATATTTCGAGAATCATGGCGCATCAAACCATAAATATATTGATCATCAAGGAGTTCCTACGGCCTGGAGGTCTACACTCGAAGTTTACGATGGTACCGTTGAGAGATCAAGCTGGAGATGCTTCGGCGTTTACGTTCGTGGGCGCTGGAACATCAAGTCCTAATGAAGCTTTCCGAGTCACCCAGCGATCCCATCGATTTCCACGAGAGCCCAAAAACCGCCTCAATCATCGATCTGAGATTCCAATCAGTCGAGCATTTCGCTATCATGAGAGAATTCGGGTCTCACCTGCGATATTCATTGAAACCCATCTGGATGGCATGATGTAATCCAGCCATGTTGGCCGGTCCTCCCATCCCCAGAAGAGGGACGAGAGGAGCGGCTAAGACGGCGACGGTTCCTCCGACGGGGCTCATCAGCGAGGCACGAATAATCTGAGTCGCGTTCCGTACACCGTTCATCATTATCTGTGGAACTCTCTGCGGTAGCTGTAACGGCGGCATCGACGGCAGGTTCGAGATACTGAAGAATTTTTCGAAAAAGAAACGTTTATCGTTCCGCCGAATCAGAGCTGTTCTCCGAAACTCAGAATAACGCCCAGTGCGAGATGAATGGAGCGCTCGGGCAACGCGTATTGATATGAAAACTCTGCATATTCACCGAGACTACCGACCTGAAGGGGAACAGCCCGCCGAGCCCGGCTGGGAAGTAGGCAGCGAGCGCCTGGCCGGGAGTCTGCAGCGCGTATGAGATGCCGGAACCCAAACTTTGGAGCGCTTGGGTCAAAGGCCGACTTCCCTGGCCCTCTGCGCAGCCCACTAGTATCGCGCAGCTCACGAACACAGCACGAGAGACGCGCATGATTTTTCCAAGTGAAAGTTGCTGATTCGACTGTGATTCTCCGTTCCACGCGCACGACTCATGAGGTCTTATACGGCTAATGCGAAGTGGTCTGTGGGAAAATTCTCCCCTTTTCTTACGGGGTCTCGCCCCATGGCGCGGAAACGTGCCGTGGCTTTCATCGACCGACGTAACGAACGTCTTTGGTCTCATGAATTATCAATGAACGCGGGTTCATCGAACCCCGGCAAGCCGAACATTGAGGGATTCATCCCGAGTTTCAAGGAAGTTTTGTTTTTTGAAACTTCTCCCAAGGACGAGGCGACATCTCCGTGGTCGTAATGGACATTGCGGTCCTGGTGACTCGGAGAGCTGTTTGGATTGCTGTTCTATTGTCAGTTTAGCCGAGGATCTCGTCCTTTCGACGAGTTCGAGCCGAGAGCCACACGACATTGGATAATTTTTTCGATTACAAGCAAAGAAATCCGCAGTGGGTCTCGGAATTCTTTCCGAAGCCTCACTCTGGCATCCCGGATTCCGTAGATTCCGGCGCTACAACAATAAAGTCATTTAGCTTCGAGACTGAGTTTACGAAGGTCGGCGTGGGAAGTCTATTTGGTCGGGATGACAAGCGCACTAGAACTCAATTTGTTTTTACAATCTATCACTTCAGGCTTCCATCTTTTCCTCAGTCTTTCATAGCTTCGAGATCCTCAATGTTCCCAACGTGGTGCCCGGGACAGAACGCATAATTCGATCAGGTGTCGTTGGCACAACGAGCAGGTAAGCTCTGATGATCCGATTCCAAGAACTTCTTCATTTATTTGGGAGGTTAGAATCGATGGATGCTCCACTCATTGTCTCCAATGGATTCTTTTCCTCCAAGCTCGACTCGGAATTTCGGTTCCGGCAAGCGAGCGAAAAAAAAAGCGATTCCTCCCCTTCCGAAGAATAATGACCTGGAACGGAATTCGGATCGCTTAGAAAACCGGAAGGGAAGAAGTCAGTAATCGCTTCGATTTATTCATGTTTCGAAACTGATGCATGATCCCCGCTTCACGGTCGGTGAAAGCCGCTCGTTGTCATCGGCTTGTAGCACTTCCGAATCAGATCCACGCTGGAAAGGAGAGCCAAGCTCAATCGAGCCGTGAGGTCCGTTAGTCTACGCGACGTCACGACAGTGCAGAGTTTGGCGTCCCATCGAGCTTCGAGACATGGAGGGCATCTTTCCGCGAGGCCATCGCGAGATCTAATCTTCTGTTCACAATTAAGTGATGCTTTTCGATCGAGCCTCTTCGATCGATGTCGGTCGCGATACTGACGGAAAATTAGGCTTGTAAATGGCTCTAGAAAGCATAGCTCACTGGAAGGAAAGTTCCGCTGTGATTGACTCGCATGACCCCGGAATAGAAAGCGAACCCTTTTTCACCGCGGAGCGTTTGAATTGCTCCGCTTGATCTACGACAGGGAAGAACGCCCGAAGCAGCGTGCCCATTTGTCTTTTCCTTTCAAGACATTCGTTCGTCGAGAATTCCATCCAGACTTCGATCGAAGACTGAATCTGAAACTCGTCGAGCAGACCGGACAAATTGAATCGAATATAGAATGTACCTACACATGTTTTTCCTCTCCTGGACCATATCGAGGCAGAAACTTTTTTGGACGCCTCTCAGCGCAGGACACAGAAATTAATCCCACCGATCGAGACCGGGTGTCCACATTACGGAGTTCATTCTTGTGAAACGGTCCAAACCCTAACAAGCGATAACGCGTTTTTCCTGTCCTGCGGTAACAAACGATGCCTAGACCCTCCTGGTTGATGGAGACTTGTCGGGACCGGTGAACACGATTGTTGTCTGGCTTGCCGGCTCGTTTGTCAACCGCTCGACTGTACATGCGTCAGTTTCGACGTGCTCAATGGATCGGCTTGATCTCGACTCCCGGAGCAGTAGCGATTGGAGGACTCATTGAGAGTGCGATCGCTGTCGTGTTATCTTCTCCCTCGTACATACATTTTACGGCCAGGCCCAGCGCCTGGCGGGAAACCACCTTCAGTAGTGGCATTCGTCCCAATCGTTTGCACTCGGACTCGAGATGGGTGCAGCGCAATTCGCTCTACTGGACTACCTCGTTCTCCTCGGTTTCCTTCTCGTGTCGACACTCATAGGAGTCTACTTCGCCTGGAAGGATCGGCGCAGCACCAGTAACAAGACCTTCCTCACCGGGAACAAAGAATTAGGTGAGCCCTCAATGCTCCATTCTCTTGCTCGTCGCTTCCTGGTCGGGAGGACTGATCCGCTTCCGAAGAACCAAAGTCCGAGAATGCTCTCGTCGGTTTCTCATCACTTCCTCATTCTCCGCTCATCTTCGATGAGCAGCGAGACCGGCCGTGCCGGCGAAGCATCGCACTGCTTCGGATGGGCGGTCGGAAAAATTTAATTTTCTGGAAGATGTTGTGGACGACTCCAGCGAGGAAGTTGCATGCGAAGCAGCGAAATCTCTGCGCTTGAAGAAAGCATCTACGGTGCAGACGCATTGAGTCTGCACGCGACAGGAAATATAGTGGAGTGGGTCTCCCGGGTGCGGTGACTTCCCGATTCTGCCTCGCCACGCATATGAGAGAAATGAACTCCGAGATCCCGTTCAAAAAGCAACAGACTCTCCCAGCCAGAAATTCTCACGATTGAGCAGAATCTTCGTCACAGATTTCTCGTTCGCTGACCACAGTATCCAGAGACATATCACCATCATACCCCTCACTCTTTGGTCCACCGGACAATGAATATTTCGCGAAAGTAGGGACTTTTGACCTTTGAAATAGGATGAGTTCCCTAAGAGCCTGGCAGAGAGCACCGTGAGAACTGCACAAGACATTCATATCGAAAGCTTTCTCTGAAGTACTTTCGTTCCTCCCACATTCATCGATAACCTATTGAATGCGGAACAATTTTGAAGCAGTCTGGCTCGGCCTCTTTAGAGTTTCCTCTTAGTCTCGGGACCAATGTCCCACATTTGCCCTCGATTCGAGTCCTAAGTGCCGCTGAGCTACGAGTTTGAATTTCTTCTCCAGGATGGGTTCCCGTGTCGTTCTCGATGATGGCATCCTACTTGTCGTCAATAGCGATCTTGGGACTACCTTCAGAAGTGTACAACCGAGGAGCTATCTTGTGGCTCGGAGCCGTTTCTGCTACGATCGCAATTCTGGTAGCCGCGAGAGTTTTCCTTCCAATGTACTACAACATGGACATCACCTCCATCAACGAAGTAAGCATCTGTTCTCCGTATCACTAGCTGAATCCACCAGAGGGATTATGGCCCTACTCGACGCCGCGCCGCCGCCACCCTCCTCCAATTTCTCTCCCGAAGAGTCGAGACCTTCGCGAATCGGAAAGAATCGAAATCCTCCCGGGGGGAATCAATAGTCTAGAGTCCTCAAATACTTCGAGCGTGCATCGGAAATTTCAAGCTGGCGGTCGAAGGGAAGAGCCGGCAGCAGCTTCCGAATCAGATCTGTCCGAGCTTTCCTTAACTTATCTGTGAAGTCGAGTTCCTCCGTACACTCAGCGAGAAAGAAAGGGTTCGGTGGACCAGAATCAGCGCTTTCAGGCGCGCCCCAAATAGCTCAATGACCGGGAAGTTTTTCAACGCTCTCTCAAATTACGCATCCACGTGAGTCGTCTCGTGCTTATCACTGGGTCGCCTGACTCTTTATATTTTTAGTCTGTCTACGATAGCAATTACTGTTAAAAATCTCAAGGAAGCGCCGGAATGGCTAGGACTACGCGGGAAACGATTTTTGGCCGCATTCCGCCAATGGTGCATTACAAGCCAGGGAAGCAAAGGCTCCGACAGGGTTGACACGGAGCTCGTATTCCAAAGCCTCCAAACCCTCGATATCGAAATAGACGTCCTTTCTGGACTTTCGACACGTGGCCACTGTAAAATACACGCTCCCGGGTTCGTGGAACGGAGATAGCTCGAATGTCTTAGGACCTAAGTGGACTCGGAAGCGGTAATTGGCTTAAACGAGCGCGACCCCTGGGGTCGTAAATCACAATTTTCGGCTTCGCTGATTCATGATCCTACCTTGCCGACAATCGTGACCACACTCAAAGAGAGTAAACAAGAAGGACGAGCAAAAGCAACAAGATCCCTTCCAGTGACCTTGGAATAATTCGACATCCAACTCCCTCATTCAACTGTTTATAATGAATTGATGAATCTATTTTTTTGGAACCGAGCTCCATAAGCTTTGAACGCCGTGCAGAACCCGAGCCCCGGGAATATACTCCTTCACATGTTTTGATTCATAACGGCGAATATCTTTCGCAGTATCTGGAGAAGAGATTCAACTCGACTGCAGTGAGAAGCTTGGCGGCTGGAGTCTTCGTAATACAGACGGTACCGTGTAGCTTAATAATCCATGCTACATTGTTCGTGATGATCACAAGAAAGAAGCCGGTGGCGAATACGGCGCTACAGATGGCTGGAGCTTGGATGTTCGGACAAGAGCTCCATCGCCCGTGGAGCGAACTATCAAGGAACTCTTAATGAATACAGCTTTGATCTTAGCTATTGTACATGGGCGTCGTCCTCTATGGTCCCTCCCTGGCACTCGGCTCAGTAACCGGAATCCCGGTTTGGATGTCTATTCTGCTGAACGGGCTCGTTTGCACCTTCTACACGGCCATAGTGAGTACTTCTAGTCCTCGCTTGTCTGCTACCGTAATTCTCTCTTCTCGTTCCTGAAACGACGGATCGATTTCTGCTCCCCAGGGCGGGATGAAAGCAGTTGTCTGGACGGATGTCGTGCAGATGATCTTGATCTACGCGGGATACATCATGGTTTGCGTGGCGGGAATTTCGCACGTCGGCGGCATCGGAAGAGTGATTGAAATCAATCAGCAAGGAGGCCGGCTCATCTTTGCCAAGTAGGAGTTTTCTTCCTCGGCGCTGCAAAAGCGAACAGCGATCTGGGATGAAACCTTATGAGATTTTTAATCATCGTCCCCAGTTGGAGTTTCAACCCTTACTACACGTACACAACATGGAACGTCACGCTTTCCTGGACCATAGGCTGGATGGGCGCCTACTGCGCCAGCCAGACTCAAGTGCAAAGATATTCCGCCATAGCCTCGTTGGAGAAGGCCAGAAAGTGAGTTCGGACCCGCAAATGTCTTTCCAATAGTTCCTCGCAGGTGTTTTTCTCAATTTCCCAATCTTGATGTTGAAATCCACCACCCATGGATTCCAGAGCTCTACTGTGGAACATTCCCGGAGTCTCCTCAACGCTCCTTCTATCAGTACTTTCGGGACTCGTGCTGTACGCGGTCTATGGTCATTGCGACCCACGGTTCCGCGGAGACATTGAGAAAACCGATCAGTTGATGCCATTCATCATTCAAGATCTCTTGAGAGACTATCCCGGTCTGTCGGGTCTCCTCGTTGCATCTGTGTTCAGCGGATCACTGTCGACTTTGTCTTCCGGCTACAATGCATTGGCGGCGGTGACGTGGGACGATTTCATCAGACCGAGAGTGAGCCTCTCCGATCGACAAGCCGTGTACACCACGAAAGCCGTCGGTAAGGCCACATGAAGCTACCGCATTTTCTCGGCTCATTCCGATATTAGAGGGGGCCGAGCTTTCTTCATGGGTAATTATTTCTTCCTCAGCCGGAATGTACGGTGTCCTCTCGGTGTTCATCGCCTTCTTGGCTGGATCTATGGAATCTATCATTCAAGCCTCGTCATCGCTAATCGGCGCGATGACCGGCCCACTCTTGGCTGTGTTCGTCCTCGGCATAACGATTCCATACGTGCGGAAGAATGGCGCCTTATGGGGCGTCTGCCTCGGGCTCGCCTTCGCTTGGTGGTTGACACTGGGTTCAATCATCTACCCGCGCAGCGGGGATAATCTTCCTGTAGACAACGCGCAGTGTCTCGCGCCGAACGCTACGCTGTTGGAGAGAGGATCGTTCGATCCTCCGAAGACTCCCGATGGCATCATGGCGTTCTATCACATCTCGTTCATTTGGATCTCTGCTTTAGGTTTCGTCGCAACTTTGATTTTCGCCGTCGCCGTTTCGACTTTCTTCGGTGAGTCCCGCGGGTCAAAATACACACTTCTCTTCTTTCGAAAGAATCCGGTCCGCGAATGACACCGATGATAATTACCGAGCCGATGCAAGGGCTCTGTACCGGTCGTGAAGTCGATGAGGGTGTCAAGTTGGGTTCTATTTCGCAGATGACAAGACCGAGAAACTCGATCCTCGGTACATCGTTCCCTTCGCGAGACGCTTCATGGATCTGGGAGACGACCCGATGAAAATGACGTCATACAAAGCTGTTCCCACAAATGAACAAAACCGAAACTCCCATCTGTAATCTGAATTGTATACCTAAGCCTAGAAATCCAGGTTTCGTACCTGGTGTAAATATTTTTGGAAATGAATTTCAAAATATCCAATCTTTCTACGGGACCTCGAGATGACCCCACTGATGGCCCGATGCTCTATGAGTGAAAATGAATGATTCATGAACGAATCTTTATCGGCTGAATCGGGTGTTGGATAGGGATTGGCGAGAAAAGAACCTCTTGCTGAATATCACGGATGGGAGGAATCCAGGCGGTAGCGAGTACATATTACTCTTTCCAAATCGACGGGAACTTTTTCGATCGTTCGAGTGCGCCCAGAACATCGTAATCGAACTGAAGGAAGATCGCTGTGCCCGTAAACATGGTCGCGATGTAGGTGAACATGTTCGCTTTACAGTTGGCTACGTCGTCGACTACCTTCAACGCATCGAAGTCCTCTCGATACTCGAGTATCGACCTCGTTTCGAGCACGTCTTGACGCGATACTCCGAGCCTCCCGAAATCCAACATACACGGTTTACACATCGAAGCCTCGATGCTCTGGGAATGTCGTATGATAAGCGTGCCGAGACAACTGAGAACGTACACCTGAGTTATCTGCAGCAGGGCGCTCGTGAAGGAAACCACTTCGAGAATGTGATGGTGGAGAGAGTTGTTTTTCCAGAGGATCACCAAACCGAACTGATATACGCAGAGGAAGAAAACTTTCACGTAGATCGTGATCAACGTTTGAGAGAAGACGTCGTTTACGTCTTTGATCATGCTCCGCAGGAATAGTTTCGAGCCCGCCACCCGTATGCCGGTCTCGTAGTTAGCCGCGGGATTCCTCATCATTGCGTCGAGGCAGAAGAGCTTCCAACGTAGAGCTGCCTCGATCTGCGCGTACACGCAAAACGTCAGGTACTGAATCGGCCAGACGTATACACCGCAAATGTTCCCCACTTGGAGCATGATTGGGTCTTTTTCCATGACGCTATTGACCGCAACGTTTATGTCGATCCCGAAAGATGACACGCTGAGGGCGAGTTGAGTGTAGAATGACGCCGAGCAGAATCTGGCCGGCACGACCTCGTTGCTGAGGATAATTCTCGACAGCTCCCGGTCGTTCTTCATCATGGTCAAACCGCCGGAAATTATGATGGCGACATTGCTTAGGAACTTTGCGAGCTTTGCGATTTGCAGGAGCGACGGTTTGAGACTTGTGGTCACGTAGGCCTCATAAACTTCACCGCCGACGAACAGCATCGTGAGAACCCAGACAACGTATCTTCGCAATCTCGTCCAGAAATCCAGCTTCGTCGAGCGTTTTTCCGCCGCTCTTTTTATGCAGACGCCGTAGAGGGCACAGTAAGCAGAGAAGAAGAAAAAGGCAACACGCGAGCCGCGAGGAGGCCTCGTTTGTTCGATTGGATACATTCATAAAGACGTTTGGGGATTCACGAGCAAGCGATCAATCGAGTCTTCGGAAGCTCATACCGACTGGCTAGGTCACTGGTCTCGACGATACTCAAGGGTGCGCCACCACGGAGCGCTGAATTATTCGAAATTATTTCCATGAGGTCGATGGATACGGGCAAGGAATCTTCTGTTGCCTGAGTTGCCAAACCAGTCTGGAACAGTCTCTGGAAATTAGGGATCGCTACGCGACGATTTCCAATCACACCTTCAATCTGGTCTCGGTCAAGACAATGAAGATGATTACAGGGCTGCAACGAGAACATCTTGCGGAAATCATTCTTTGTAGGCGAGACCTTGAGCGATTCTCTGGAGGGAGCCATGAATGGAGACATGGCTGGCGCAAGGTCGCTCTGCCTCAGCCAGTCTCGGAATTGAGTCAAGGTCGGAATGATTAATCGGGAAGATCTAGGCTCCTGGATAGAGGGTACCAGGCTGAGAATGATGGACACTCACTTGAGGCCACAAAGCTTCGCATTCGCGCTGCTTCGAGAGCGGATCCAGAGTTCTTCCGAGGAGCGGCGCGTTCAGTTGAGACTACGAATTATCGGGAAGCCCCCGATAATTCCGATCCTCCGAGAGTGCACGAAGGGGGGAGGGGGTTGGCTGTGAGGACATCCACTGCCTCCCTGAATTTATTCCGGGGCAGAAGCCCGTCGCACAATCGTTCCGCCACAAGATTCTTTCTCTCCGCGGCTTTGGACGGATCTCCCTCGATCAAACGTCAGAATTCGAATTTGGCGCCACAGCTGGTGAAGTCAATATGGCGTCCGGGGATCGGCGGCGAGACAGGAGGTGTTTCTATTTCTGAAGAAATCCTCCCGGACGGATTCAGGCAAAAACGGTGTGGTGTATTCCCGTCACCCTACACCGCTCCACGGTGAGTCCTTGAGGTCTCTTCCGGAATCGAGCGGGAAACAGCACCGGTAGTACACCATAACAAGCGACTCGGACAGGTTTTCGAACGGACCTCCAGTTGATGACAGCGGATTGCCAATTTCTTTTTATCGAATCATAAGTACCCTCCGCGGAACTTGTGCAAATATTGCGGATTCAAGCGAGAGGAGCGCGTGCTCAGGAGCCACAATCAGCGATTTTCCCGCATTCTGAGAGAGATCCCGATTGGGCTTGTGCAACTACAGAATTCCTGCGTTGACACGCGTATACACCTGACTGAGTCAGATTTCCCTCAAAGCACCGTCACGATGCGCTTGATCTGCTGGCGATGAAACGCAGACGAGGCTCAATCCAGAGCGCTGATAATCCGGAAACCGAAGAGCTATTCGCGATTTTATGGATTCGTGAGAATCCATCGCTCGATTCGGGGCGTTCCACCCATCGACTTTCGATGCGCTCGCGGGATGGAGGCTTCGCTAGAGGTTTTACTCAAAGCGTCCCCGTGGCTTCTTCTGAACGATACTTCATATTAACCTTTCAGATGATCCGGTTCATCCTGATTCAGAACCGAGCCGGCAAAACTCGACTAGCGAAATGGTACATGAATTTCGACGACGACGAGAAACAGAAGCTTATCGAGGAAGTCCACGCAGTAGTGACAGTTCGAGATGCCAAACACACGAACTTCGTCGAGTTCCGAAACTTCAAGATTGTTTACCGACGGTACGCCGGCTTGTATTTCTGTATCTGCGTTGATGTCGGCGACAACAACCTGGCGTATCTAGAGGCAATACATAATTTCGTTGAGGTCTTGAACGAATATTTCCACAATGTGTGCGAGCTGGATCTCGTCTTCAATTTCTACAAGGTAATTGGCGATCCCTTTGATCCTTTTTGATGATTGACCGCTCGATGAGGAGTTTCGCATCACTTCCTTCCCCAGCGAGAAGGAATTGAGGCAAATGAGTTCCGAGCATGCCCCACAGCATCGATCGTAAGGGGGAAGAATTTAAGCGAGAGCCTTTCCCCCTCAGGTTTACAGCGTGGTAGACGAAATGTTTCTCGCGGGTGAAATTCGAGAAACGAGTCAAACCAAAGTTTTGAAGCAACTCCTGGTCTACAATTCCCTGGAATAGATGAATGCATCGATATGGTTGTACGCGTGAATTATTTTCGCATCCATTCTAGAACATTATATGATGAATACGAACACCATGGTTCCGACACCAGGTGTTCCCTAATAACCTAACATACTGGCAACGGTTGCGGCAGTCTTTCAAGGGCGACTTCGGACGTTCCCCGAACTGTGTTCTCGGCGGAGTTTTGTTCAGAAGGAGAGATTTGGATGAATGAAACTCGGTGTATTAGAAGCAATATTACGTTACGGTCATCGAATGCCTAAAATCTCAGAGAGCCGTTGCCACTGACATTTCCTCTGTACAAAATAAACGACTCAGAACTTAGGCCTGCGGCGTCATCCTTCCTACCCTTAGGACGAGGAACATCAGGGGGAATTCCCCGCGTCCGCGATATCGAATGCTGCTGATCGGGGACGAGGGTAAGGGTTCCGATTCGTCAGGAGCTGCTCTGATTGGAGCGATATATGCCCAGGTTACACCGAAAGCTCCTCCAAGATTTCGTCTGCCATTAGAGTTTCGGGTCCCTAAGACTTTCTTTGCTATTCCCGCCCGCTCTGGCGGCCTCTGCGCAAAGCTTGCATTGGCTTAATCGCGAGCTCTCGTTAACAGAGTAGTGATCTTAGAGACGCGCATCGAGCTATTTATCCTATTCTTCCGACGGTGAAGAGGATTTCTTCACTCGCCCCGATTACCGTCGCTTCGCGTCGACGTATATGGACAAATCATACACTGGTCTCGAGATCCTGTTAGTCCCTCGCCACCTATCCTAATCCAAGTGTCGTGGAAACTCTCCGAGCTCTCTCATGGGGTCCGATTTGGATCAATATGATCGCAGCGACACGAGTCGAGTAGTCCGGACCCGAGTTTGCCGAAGTCTTATTTAGATGGAAGGTTCTCTGTACTCAGTAGAGTGACATTCTCACTGAACAAGACTGCATGCTTGCAGTCTCTTCGTCCGAGGGCTCCTTTTGTCTCGCGAGAATGATGGTTGCCCAACTCTGATATGAGCCCGTATGTTCGCTCCGGGCTAATTTATTGATTTCCGCCTGAGAGGAGCTTTGTTTTCTTGGAACCACCGTCGTGAGGCCGTCCGTTCTTCCTTGACACAACAGCTCGGATAATCGCTAATCGAAACAATGCCTCCCAACAGCGGGGTGTACACAAAATTAGATAGTGAGCTCGTCCACGCGGCAATCACCGCTACCGCAACCTTGATATCATTCGGAAAGGGACGCGGTTCGAACTCACGTATTTGTGCATCAAATGATAGCGTTGCATCGGGTAGTGAGACCTGTCTTTCGAGGTCCGTAGGAACTCCGTCGAACTAGGACGCCTTGTGTATAGAACCGAAGACAGCCCACGGTCGCGAGTTCCGGAGAGATGTGCCAAGTCACCGCAAGCGGATACGATTTCCGGTGAGAAGACTGTTATGAAGTGCTTTTTCCTCCTCTGTGCGGAAGTGTCTCCATGAGCTTTGCCGAAGTCAGTCTCGAGGAGATGGAGAAACCCAAGACGGATTTCAATCCTTTCCCACTATACGGGGTTTTGCGCAATGAGATGACATCGAGAAACCTCACTTTCATAATTAACTGCGTCAGGCGCGATTACTTCAGGTGAGTTGTGGAGAATGGGGTTAAGTGGCGGCTACACAGGATGAAATTAGAGTGTTTTGGTAGTTCGACGATCTTCGTATCCTGGAACGCTTGTACTCTTGCCACACGACCGGAAGTTCAGTAGATATTAGTAACGCTTCGCCGGATCGCGAAATTTGTCACAGGACCAATTAGTTGAAATTCCCTCAGATACGAGTTCGCCATCCAAATGGTTCTGAAAACGATACGAATCCCCTACCGGATAGTTCACATGGACAATGTAGACTTCAAACACTTTATTGCCGAGTTCATCCTCCACCGACTCACGACATCCGGGGAACAGTGGTGAGACCTTCCGAAAAATACATCGATGGAGTCCGAGCCCACTCGGCCATCGGCTGGTGATCCCATCGGCAATGAAGGGGCGAAACATGATCTTGTCTCGTTTTTCTTCCAAAAAGGTTCGATATTTTCATGCTGTGCTGGGATGATGGGCGAAACAGTAGTCCGGATTCTGGGAGGCAACGACCTATCGATCAACTCGTAGAAATCTTCCGAGAAAAGAACCACGAGATGGGGAACGTCCGATGGTTATTCTTCACATGGGAGGCGATAATGAAATCGGTATATCAGCAGTATTATCGAGGTATGAGCCGCTGCATGGCCGCAAAACTGAATTTTTTCGAAGTTGGAAGTTCTCTCTTTCCAGATACAGAGGATGTGTGGCGTGATTTATGTCGACCTAAAGCAGCGTCCCGCGAAAATCTTCTCGGAGTCCATCGACGAAATTCGGAAATGTGGCGGGAGGATGGTGTTCTTGGACTATAAAGGCGGACAGGAGCACCTATTGCGGAATCCAACTATTGTCAATGCGTCGATATTCGAGCACGAAATCGAGTTTCAGAGGCTGGGCTACCTGACGGTTCTCTGCGAATTCAGCTCACCGGCTCGAAAATACTTCTGTGGCGAGCAACCACAGAGAGAGATATTCGATGCCTTGAGTCGAAAAGTCAACATCAGTTTGAGGAAAAGTGACGCTCGTCACTTCGGTAGATGCATCGACGATGACAGTGACAATATTTTCCTGCGCGGCAAATGCAGCGGTGGGTGGCGAGCTTGTGAGTCTCTGGCGATTCTTATGCCTGTTTGATTGAGTCTCCATCAGCGCTTCGCATTACCATGGCTTCCCGTCTACGGCTTGCAGGCTTGCTCTCCGACATGCAGAAACGTCTTTTCGATCTGTGCGCCGTCAACATTTATCCAACTCAGAATATATCCATGGCGTTGGATTTAGTGTCCTCGTACTACCGTTTCGATCAGCTGACGTTCTTCGCGCCTCCCGCTCAGCGCATCATCGGCTCCTTCAGATCAATTCTGTTGCCATTCCAGGACAATGTTTGGCTGTCGATAGCCTTGACGATGATCGTAACGTCGATTTTCCTATCATTTATGACAAAGCGAGCCTTCGACGCATTCGGGTGAGGAGGAATTTTTTGTACCAATTGGCTATTGAAAGGAATCACGCCGAAAGCGCCTTCCCAGAAATGTGCCCTCGTATAGAGGAACTCTCCATTACAGCCTTTTGAATCACTTATTCTACGTGAGCATGATCGCGACTGGAAGGGTTCCGACTATTCCGGACCGTTTCTATCAAGTCACCTACATCGCGGTCTTGTTGGCCGCCGCATTGTTGGCCAATACCCTCCTGTCACATTTCTACGCCGCGGTCCTTACGTCTTTTAGACAGCATCCTCCAACAACACCCGTGATCGACACTCTGACATCTCTAGAGAAGATATTGAAAAACGAGCCCAGTGCTGTGAACGTCGCGGTTCTTAACGACACGAAATACAATGCGATACTAAATCCTCGAGAACCAACAGATCTGATGAAGCTTATCAGGAACCACACAACATTCTGCGAAACCAAGTCAGAGTGCGTGGAGCTCGTCCTGGAACGCAAGCATGTTCTCCTCGCGAGTGAGTTTATTCTCCTGACACAACCGCCGTAAAGATTGTGGGGCACTGACCTCGTCATTCTAATGAATTCTTTCTTCGATCTCGAATTCGATGTCTACCGAAGCCGACTACAACTTGAAGACGGAGATAGGCACCAATCCTCACACTCAGGCCATTAGCCGAGCTAGGGACAACATTTTCGCTGGAAGGTACTCATTGCCTGTACAGAAGGGGTCGCCCATCAGCAAGCAGGTGATGAAGCTAAATGGTGGGTTTAAGCGAATTATCGAATCGAGTCTTTCACTCCTCTCTATTCGAACGCTATTGTCCGAAGTGGAAGATGATTCCTCGATTGGACTTCAAGGTAAGCTTTTCGAGGGGGGCATCTTCCAACGGATCAATGAGAAAGAAAATTACGAGATAAAGCCTCGTTTCGAGAAAGAGAAACCCTTGCCGCCGAACTCGAAACTGACTCTCAAGGACCTGAAAGGTGTGTTCGATATTCTCACGTCTAATATGCCCGTCTCCACGAGACGACCCCCCCCCCTCCTCCATCGAGATCTAATTCTGTTCTGGAGCGTCCCGATATGTCGCTATTGTTGTTTTCTCTATTCCAGGATTGATGATATTGTACGCAGGTACGAGTCTGATGAGTCTAATTTCGTTTGTTTGCGAGAAAATAGTGCACGGAGCTTTGCGTGACTGCCGTGCGAGGGACCGACGCATCGCTTCACTGTCAAGCCCGTGGAAGCCTCCGGAGAAGAGCCCCTGCGACGATTACGGGAAAGTTCCGAACGGAATCCAGTACCACTCTACGGCTGGATATTCCTCGACATCCGTCCGGAAAGAAGAGACAGTATGCCGCAAGCACAAGGCCAGATCGCGGAGGATTTTATTATTGTGCGACAAAGACGGCAACCCGCTCGATCCGATCTAGTACAAGCAAGAATATCCACGGATTGGAACGAACGAAACTCACGTTTGTCGTGGTCCACGGACCAGGACTTCCCCACTTCATCTATTGTTCATGTCCTTCCTCGAGGATGGGCTCGATTGTGGGACATCAAAAGCGGTCGAATAATACCTCAGTCGTTCGATAGGCAGACAAATTACTTAAATTATTCGTGGCTACCGACGGCAGGCTGCTCATCGAAAGGTGAGCCTGGACAAAGCAAATTCGAGCGACGGACCTCACAAGCAGCTACCTCGAATGAGCTAGCAATTCTATGGAAAACCCTCCATTGGGTTTCATTGTACCCTATGTGTACCCCTCGTCTATCGGGCGCCCCAAGCCACACTGTCCGAAGGGTCTGACTTGTCGCTCGAGCACTCTACCGCGAGAACTCAGTGGACAGTGCGGAGAGTATAATGTGGGGCGATATAATGATCTCTGTCGATAGAAATCACGCCGCAGAATGGTACTGTCATTGCTAGGCCTCCTACCGGGACTTCCTCCGAATTTGTCTCCGAAGCTCGAGGATCCATAGGGCTCATAGAATTTCGCGCTCCATGAAAAATGTTGAGTCGCCTTGTGATAGTTTTCGTGATGATTCAAGAACTTGAGGCTCAAGAAGATCGTTTTCGCAATATCAGTGAAAAGACGAGTGTCGACCCCGAAAAGTTGTTTTTCCTCATCAAGGACGTGATGAACTCCACCGATCTGCTGTTCGTGCTTGACGAGAACACCAAGCATAACGTCAGGTTTGTCATAAGGAGTCCCCTGTCGATCGCTGTGTCTTTCCGTCCTTTCCCCATCGAATGTGACCCGTCGCGTCGTTGAGTTAGCCGACAACCGGCAACATCTAAATATCGAAATCGGGCTTCGAACTTCGGCGACTCCGGGTGTCTTCTAAGAATGATCGGCCGATTTTATAGATTTGTTCTCAACCTTCTTTCAGGGGAGAACTGATGTTGAATCGCTTGCTGAGAGATTGGCCGATGCCGTACGGGATCATAACTGCCAATCAGACGCATTTCACGCACAAAATTATCCACGACATACTGCATAATCTCTCAACCTCGGGAGATCAATGGTGAGGAGCTTATGGATGGAGCGGTTTTACCATTCTTAATCGACAGCCGCGGCTTTTCAGGGAGGCTCAAAGCGATGTGAATAATTATCAGAAGGCGCAGAAGCGATGAGTTTAATTTAGTTTACGGACTCGTTACTTCCTTGGGAAGGGTGATAGGTGACATGTTTCCCTGGCCTCTATCATCCGCAACATTTCCCCAGGGTGGCTTCCGCCGAAAAACGTGCGGGGAGCCACGAGAACAGATCGTTTCCGAAACTGCGGGAGACGGGGGGAAAATGGTGAGAATCTATTCCCTGGGCATTTATCCTCAGGATTTTCGAACATTTCAGGTTCGACATTTTCTTGCCCTGCTGGGTTAATCGTTGGGAAGACGATCGATTAAACCTCTCCAAAGGGTTCGAGAGATTGTTCACCAGATCCAATCACCGCATGGGGAACGTGCGCTGGATCTTCCAGGGGTGCCGCCACTTGATGGCAACGGTGAGCTTTGGCTCCTTGCCCTCCGATACCGGGTTAGCCTCTTCCTCGGGTCCGATGGACTCGAATAGGTTGCATTAAATCTCACCAAAAGAATATCCGTTCTGCAATTAGTTACAACAAAAGTGCGGGATCCTGTACGTGAACCTCATGCATCCCGATCGAATTTTGGGCGAACCCTTAGACCTGATCAGCAAATGTGGAGGTCGAGTCATCTTCGTAGACGGCCAAAGCGGCGGCGAGACCGCGATGCGGAAACCGACCGAGCTGCGCAGCAGCATCTTCCGACATGAGATAGAGTTCAAAGCCTTGGAGAACCTGACAGTCCTGTGTGGATTCAAAGGCTCAAGCAAAGATTACTGCGCAGACAGCCCTCAATATGAAATTCTCCGATCGTTGCGAACACGAATCAACCTCCTCGAGAAGAAGACATCTCAGAGAAGCTTCGGCTTCTGCCGAGAGAGGAAAACGTGCCATGGTGAGAAGAGGTCTAACTTCGTGAGGGCTCATTCAACCTTCCCACCCCTCTTATTGGCCCCGAACAGAATGATACATCCTTCACATTCGAACTCGATTTGCATTGCAGGCTTGCTTGGAGATATACAGGAGCGCAGGTTTGATCTGTGCCTCGTGAATATCTATCCAACGGAAGGAGCATTGGCTGCCCTCCTCTTCCCGAGCTCGTACTATAGATACGATGAGCTTACATTCTTCGCACCTGTTGCCATCAAGATCATAGGTTCTTTCAAATCAATTTGGATGCCTTTCGATCGTTTGACTTGGGTCTTGTTAGTATTGTCAATCTCTTCCTCGTCCCTCTTCGAAACCTTCTTGATGAGGAAAGAGACCAGCCGCTTAAGGTTAGCGTCCAGAGACGAGGGCTCATTTCTTTGAGATCACAATGACCGGAATTCTGCCGCTGAATGCCCGCATTGAAGGTGCTTTGGACGGACGTACAATATTCTCCAATATACACATACATGAATGTAGTACAGTGGAGTCTCTTACCTACGAACAGCGTCGCCGCGGCCATCTTCATAAGGCCGAACGAGAAATCAGTTTTCGTTGTGCTCTTCTCAGAAGCAACGTCGAACCAATCGCTTTCGAATCGAACTCCGTTGAAACGAAGCTTCCAATTCAATTAGCGAAAAGATGCGATTTCACATGGGGATCCGCTAAAAATGACGAAATTCAATGCAATGTCAACGCGCGGATAGCATCACCTGCGCGTGCAATGAGCAGCCAGAGAGCTTAGCAGGAAGAATCGAGTCGCTCGTCCCGAAAGCGCGAACGATTCCCGAACGAGCGCCGTGGATATTTTTGCTCCGGATGCTCTAGAATGAGTATGGGTCGCCCATCACTTGATTCCCCCTCTCAATATACGAAATGGAAGCTCAGAGTAGAAAGTTCCCTCCTCGATCGAGCGAACTTTCATGACAAGGAACTGTTCCCCCTGGTCCCGCGGGATTCGTTGTAACGAGAACTTACGGCACAATATTATACATTGGAGGGATCATCCTGTTTCCCTCAACAGCCAGACGGGAACCCCTCCACAAGAACTCTCTCTAAGGTACTGCCTTTATCACAGATTTGAGAATCATCTCTATTGGATGGTCCTTCCCATAACCGGGAGAACTCCAGATGTTCCCGCCTGCCTCAGAGATGTCGGCTCACTCAGACTCCTGCTCGCGGTCTGGTACATTGCGAGCTTTTTCATTTCGATCACCTACGCCGCTGTTCTGACATCATTTCGACAGCATCCACCAACGACATCCGTTATCGAGACTCTCGCATCTCTCGAAAGAGCTTTGCGGTCTCCCACTCCGAAGATTCGAGTGGCGGTTTTCAATGACACCAAGTACAACGCCATTCTGAGACCCGAAGAACCGTCCGAGTTGATTGAGCTCGTACTGAAGCACGCCACTTTCTGCACGTCGAAGCAAGACTGTATAAAATTAGTACTGGCCAGGACCCACGTATTTCTGTCCAGTAAGTGCCGTTCGGAAGAATTCTGTGAGAGACTTCAGCAGGAGATTTCCACAGAGAGCACTAAGAAGTCTCCACCCTCAGCCGACTCTAACGTCAAAGGAGAGGTCGGAACCGATCCGAAGTCTCGTATCATCCACCGAGCTAAGGAAATTATCGACATGGGTCGGTATACGATTGTGTTGCAGCCAGGATCTCCGATTCAGAGGCAGATCAAAGACTTCAACAGTAAGAGTCGAAATCATGCCGGAAATTCGCTACTGGCACTTGTCATAAAGAGCGGCACTAGCATTTGCTGCCGTGAAGGGTTTCCAGGACCTTGGATCCTCACTCCTGTCTCAAGGTGCGCCCTTCCCTTCCAGCCATCCTGTTCGAAGCCGGTGTATTCGATAAACTGGAAGGCTTCGACAACTACCGAATTAAGCCGAATTTCAATCGGAGCAGGGCATGGTCTGGCGGTACAGATTCACCGCTGACGTCTCAAGACATCTCTGGTGAGCACGACTTTCGGCCCCGGGAGACTATTATTATTACTTTTAATGTATGATCATTCTTCAAATGGAGAAGTTCCTGATATGTCATCATTGTGAAAATGACGTGACCAAGAACGGAAATTTCAAACGACGCGAAACTCTACAGGTACTCTGCAACTTTTCGTCGGGGGGAAGATCATCGCAGTTTCGTGCTTCATTCTCGAAAATATTTCGAGCATCGTTCGGCTCCGGTCTTTTGAGGGAATTAGCTTCTCTCGAATGAGAAAACGTCTGAGCCCAGACTCCCTCGATGATGACAGCGTGAGCTTGAACGCCCGTATCCACAGCGCCGACGCCCCACCAATTCTGAATTATGGCTTCACGCATCTACCTCCGAGCCTCGGAGACGGCTCCGAATGGAGATCCCATTTTGGCTCTGCCAGAGAAGGAGAACATCATGGACTTCCCCGACGTCAACACCTGAACCAAACCGCCTGAACGATCTTGTATCGGACAGGACCAATGCCACACTAGCTCGTCGTCGGCTGCTCCTCGGTCCTTCGTATGGAAGTCGGGCTACAGAGGGTTGCGCACAGTGGTCCAGAATCGGCAAAAAAAAGTTCGCCACCGAATGCTTCCAAAACGATTTCTCGGCATAGGTCTCGATGCCCGGACTCCATTTTGGGTCTCGGAGGCTGCGCGTTTTGTGCGCGGAGCATTCTAATGGCGATGTTCTCTGACGGGAATTCATCCCAGAATATGGTTGTCCGAATGAAAGGAGAATCATTCCCCGAAGTGAAAAGGAAAGAAAAAGGAAGAAAAAACAAAGAAAAAAGAAAGGAAAGAGAAAGAAGAAAGGAAAGAAAAGAAGAAAAAAAATGGATTTCCCGAGCTAGGCGTCCTGGGGAGCCCTGATCGGTCCTCTTTGGACGCTAGAGATTAGATCGGCCATCTCGGGCTGAGTCTCCACTAGAGAAATCATTTCCGATTTCGCGACTCTGAAAGAGATCTATATTGAAGCGCTGAAGCTTTGAACTCACCCGAACAACAAAGGCGATTAGCCTTTGATGTCTGCACCCCGTCATTTCGGCACCACATGATCCGTCAAGTCCAAAGAAAACTTCTACATCTGTTTGAAGAGTTTGATGCGACATGTGGCTCCATTTGGGTACTTGCATTTCGGGGTTGTAAGTCAAATCACCGACTCAATCGAGCATCCTCTCTGAAGAACGCTCTCTGTCTCTCCACCGGAGCCGTATTTCAGCAACCAACGCTTGGACATGGATGCGCTACGAGCTCTGTGTGCGGAACTCCCTACTACTACTCTGCTTTTTGCTACGTGATCAAAGCCTTCGAGCTAGTTTCGAGCCGATTATCCCCAGAAACTGTGATCAGGGGTTCCAGCCTCCAAGTCTTCCACCATTCTTGAGCGGTACGAGTCTCGCCCAGGATCGGTTTCCCTTCCGGGCGAGACTCTCATGCTCTGGAATCACGGACCGTGTCCCTGACCACCGTGGTCGCAGGTTTGGTGATACGAGGAGGATTCGTCCCCAAGGAGTGATGGATGTTCGAGAAATCTCAAACCGTGAGCTCGCCGAGTTCGCATTAGAACACAGCAGAGATAGGGCGAGGATACGGCAAGCTCTCGGAGCGCGATTCCCAACCCTGAATGGAGACCAATCGCAGGCCCTCTGGGATTACATGGACCAGTTCTTCTTGAGGAAGCTCGCTGGAAAATGGGCGGCCGCAAACAGGCACGCGAAACGTTTTTCGACGCAGGGAGTAATCAGGAGTGGTTAGCAAATACCTTCAAAGTGACTCGTGAGGCGGGAAATCGTGGCGAAGGCTCATCTGATGCCGGATATAACCTCTCGCAACCATCTACCCCAGAATCTGTTCGCGGTCGTCCTCGGAAGAGTTTCAGTGAATCTAGCGATCGGGGCCAACGCAGGAAGATCCTAGAAACAAGAGAGGATATCGACCCCGAGCTACTGCGACGAGCAAAACTTATACCCAGCGTCAATCCCCTGAAGGCTCTACAACTCTTGCTCGATCTGAACATAGCGAAGGAACTATACATAGATCTGAGACTTGAATTGAGGAGAGAGCTTGGTTTTGATGCTTTCCCTGCATACAACAAGGTGTTGACTGAGAAGAAACAATGCTATCCGACCAACATCGAGGCAACAGAGAAGCACGCTTCCGTCCCGCTGAAGGATCTCCTTGAGCACTCTGTGAAGCGATTACTAAGCTCGCTACCGGAGCCAGAATTCAACCTGTTGGAGGAGCACTTGACTTTCTTGTCAAAATGGGGTTGCGATGGATCGTCTGGACACTCGGAGTACAAACAGGCGTCCTTGTGTGATTCTCTTTCGGACGGTAATCTATTTATCGTTTCTGTGACCTCTCTCCGACTCAGCAAGACTTCTGAGGAAACGGTTATCTTCTGGAACAATCCCAAGCCTTCATCTACGAACTATTGTCGACCCCTTAGATTCGAGCTGACGAAGGAGACACCGGAAGTGATCAGAGCACACGTAGCTCGAGTCGAAGAAGAGATATCGGACCTCGAAACATTCGTGGTAACGGTGAGAGGATCAACTCTCTCAGTGGACTTCAAAATGATCCTATCAATGATCGACGGCAAGATTATCCAGATCATCAATGAAGTGCCTTACATGGCTCAGTGCGTAATTTGCAAAGCCAAGCCACCTGAAATGAACTCATTGGACTCAATATATGCGAAACCGAGTCATTTGCCGCCTTCGCTTATACCCCTATCGCCTTTGCACGCCAGGATTAAGGTCATGGAAAACCTCCTTAAAATAGCCTATAATCGGCAATTCGAGCTATGGGGTATACCGACAGCTTTGAGACCTCAGTGTAACGCTATCAAGGCGGATATACGAAGAGCCTTCAAGGCGCGTCTTGGCTTGATCATCGACAAAGTGAAACAGGGCTTCGGTACGTCAAATGATGGAAACACGTCGAGGCGGTTCTTCGGGCATGCTGAAATATCGGCCGAGATCACGGGGCTGCCCTGGATTTGATTCAGAGATTGGGTACAATCCTAGACACGATAAACTGCAACAGCAAGGTGAATGTAGAGAAATTCTCTTCATATTGCCGTGATACAGCTAGGATATACGTGGACTTGTTCCCGTGGTACCCGATGAGCAATTCTCTGCACAAAGTTCTTGTGCACAGCAGCTCAGTCATCGCGGCAGCCCCTGTGCCTCTGGGTGCACTTAACGAGGAAGCGCAGGAAGGCCTGAACAAGGTGTATCGTCGAGTGCGAGAGTCACACTCACGCAAATGCAGCCGAACGGCCACGAATGAG